AGAGTTCCAGAGCTTGTGGGCATAACAGGAGAAGGCCCTGTCACCCATACAATGTAGACGGGGTTGGGGGACAGTAAGGAGAGCAGAATTAGAAGAGCGAAGGTTGCGATGTGGGGAGAAGGGTGATAATAGTTCAGACAGGTACTGAGGTGCCAAGCCATGCAGAGCCTTATAGGTGAGCATGAGGATTTTAAAGTCTACACGGAATTTGACCGGAAGCCAGTGCAAGGATTTCAGGATAGGAGTAATGTGATCATTTGCACTAGACCTGGTCAGGATTCTGGCTGCTTAATTTTGGACATACTGCAGTTTGTTCAGAGTAGATTTAGATACCCCAGCGAGTAGAGCATTACAGTAGTCAATTCGAGAGAACACAAATGTGTTGATCAGCTTTTCAGCCACAGTTAGTGATAGCATAGGGAGCATAGGGCGTAGTCTAATGATATTTCTAAGGTGAAAAAATTATGTTTTGACAGTATGCTGCACATGTGGGTCGAATGTTAATCCAGAATGTAATATAACCACAAGGTTTTTCAATTTAGATTGAAGCTCAAGTACAGAACCATCTACAGATAGGGTTATAGGACTTTACGAAGTTGATGGGGGGTGCCAATAAGCATGACTTCAGTCTTGTCGTTGTTAAGATGAAGGAAGTTTTGAGTCATCCAAATTTTTTTGTCAGAGATGCAATTAGATAGAATAGAGACAGCCACATCAGTGTCAGGTTCAGTATGGATGTATGTTTGAGTATCGTCAGCGTAGAAATGAAAACTGAGGCAATGTGATCTTAGAAGCTGACCAAGAGGAAACATGTAAATGCTGAAGAGCAAGGGGCCCTGTATTGAGCCCTGAGGAACACCAGACTTAACAAGACCAATTTCAGACCTGTACCCATTAGGAGAGACAAAGTGACAGCGATCAGTGAGGTAAGATTTGAACCATTTAAAAGCAGTGTCAGAAACTCCAAACACAGTCTCAACACGAAAAAGTAGGATGTTATGGTCAACAGTGTCAAAAGCAGCACTGAGATCAAGAAGGATGAGAAGATCGTTATTGACTTTGACCAGGGCAGTTTCTGTGCTATGAAGATGAAGTAAGCCACATTGGAGGGGTTCGAAAGGTTGTTTGTCATGAGGTGACAGAGAGAAGAGAAACAGGACTGAAATAAAGTGTTGGGAATGGGATCTAAAATATTCTTAACAAGCCGCAGTGTGTTCAGAACTCAGTTGCTTAGATTTTGTGAGATCATTTTTTGTACATACTAGGATACATTTCTACAATCTATTGTGAGAGTTTGGGATAATAATAATAATAATTGCTTACACTTATATAGCACTTTTCTGGACACTCCACTCAAAGCACTTTACAGGTAATGGGGACTCCCCTCCATCATCAACAATGTGCACCACCCACCTATAATATAGTCCTTGCAATCCTGCATTCCTTGTTAGAAATTCCATATGATAAAATATGTAACAAAAATTAGAATACAAGAGCATATATCTCCTGTTTTAGTTTCCTTGAATTAGTGCACTCTAGATTTCAGAATAGTTTGAGCTCTTCTTTCAGGTAAAAGAACAAGTCTTTGAACAAAGGGTGACCATTCTTTTTTTCTGTTGCTACAAGACTGTCAGATAATTTTGGAACTCAGACCTTGCAAGTCCCAACTCAAAATTCAGTTTTATACTCTTGCTCCTTAATTGCTTAATATACTGTATTAAAAAGTGTATGCTTTTATCAATTATTTTATTGTAAAGAGATGAAAAGCACTTTATTTAATAATACCACCTTTGTAGACCATTATACATGAAATATGAAGTAAATGTATCGTATTTATTTCAATAACAATTTTGTTTCTAAACTAAATGTATTTGACTAATTTTAAGATTGTATTAACGTTCCAAACAACAAACTACAATAATGAATATATCGCCTCCTGGCCAAGCCCTCACCCCCCATCATGAATTAGGTTCCATCAACTATCTTGAGGGTTATAAAGAGTAAAATTCAACAGTAACCCAATTAAAATCAAATCTACTATTTATCCATACAGTACAGAACTAATATAACCCCATCTTTATCTTTGAAATTTTTGCAGCAAAGCAACTACACCTAATTCACTGTTTTATAAAAACATGTTAAAGTGCTCTGGGATTCCATTAGCAGCATTTTAAATAACACAGGAATAGAGAGCTTTTACATTGTGCTGTCCCTAAGCAGATTTAAATGTACTCCTTCCTGCTGTAATTGAAGAGTGCCATGTCTGGCTGAGAATAAAAATCAGATTGCCCCACTTTTGCCATTACAATAAGCACTATAATATCTATCATACATCAGCACAACATAGTTTCCATTCTTGGCAATACGTTTTTCAATGGTCAGTCATGTGGGTGAACTAATGTTGATTTATCTAGCATCCACTGTATTGCTGTTATTTAACTAAAGGAACAATCTTTATAGGGGTCATAAGTCCAAAACAAATATATTAGAGTAGGAATGTGACATATCTCTCTTAGATGAGACACATACAGTTTTACTTTTCTTTGTCTAGGTAAATTCATTTGGTATTCCAAAATGTTCTAATAATATTAGTTGAGTACCTTAATCATTAGGGGGAAAGAAACCTATTAATTTCTTTAGATCAATAATACTGTCCATGGACACTGAATTTATGAATTATGGTGTGGTTTCTGTTTTGCTTGTGTGTACTAGCTGCTTTAAGTGGTGGCAAACAGGAACAGTAAGTCAAGTCTATTTCTTCCAGAAAGGAGATTTGTTTACTCCTTGGAAAATACATCTTGAGGAAAAAATGATCCTGTACATTTTTTTTAAATTACAGTATGATCAGGAGATGCCTTTTTACCTAAATATGGGGTTTCCAGGCTTTGTTTATGGGAGTTGTTTTGAACTGCACTAACTAAAAATATCCCTAGTCCCTAAAACATATCGGTTTCCCTGTTCAGCATATTGTTCCTCCCATCTTACAGTTCACTCTCCTTTCACAGCTTCTCAATCACATATAGCATTCCATACAGTTGTTTGGTTTGTCTTCATATACAGCGTTTTCCAATCATGCCTGTATTTCCATAAATCATTATTTCTGTAATGCTACTTTCAGTTGACTCCTAAGTTTGGTCTGTTTCTTTAAAGAATATCTTTACCTAAAGTCAAGATCCCGATGTACTGATCTTAGTCATATTGCACTTTTTCTCTGAAACTCACACCACAGATTAGGAAAACACTTGTCTCAATATATGTAAATGAAAACATTCTCCCACTCTTGATCAAAATAGTACATCTGTTGCATGTTCATTTGAATGGACCTGCCTGTGCATTCATACAATGAATGATAGCAAAATTTCCACTAAATTTTCCACTTAAACATTGATTAGGTTTGTAAACTACTCCCAGGTTCCTCGACAAGTTGTACATGTGTGTTTTCCATTGTTTCCCCAGCATCCCAGGATCCTGTGTTAGGTCAGATGTAATATTTAAATTTTAAATATATATATATATTTTGTAAAGATTAAAATAAAAAAATCTAAAACAGATTTTTTGCAGATTGATCATTATGTGTTTGCATCGATTAGGTGTTTTAATCTTCATTTGTTGAAAGTTTCGAGAGATGTGGACAGATTACATTCAGCATGTACTGTACGTCAATCACATAGCTGCGTCCTGAATTATATATGATCGAGTTAAACCAGCAATTGACTTCAGTTTCAGTTAACATGGCATTGTTATAACATGCTTAGTCATTATCAGGTTATGAAGACTTACAGGATACATTAATACAGTTAGTTTTTAAATACTTTGCTGAAATGCAGATAATTTGTACAACACCTTAATGAGTGAATCTTATTTCAGTTAATCTCTGTATTTAGTTTTCTCACATAAATATTTCATGCTGTAACTGAATAATTAAATAGATTTTCAAATGGCAGAAATGAACAAGGTAAGTGTAACAGACAGTGGTATCCTACCAGTTAAGACTCTCAGTCCATGCCTTCCTGTTCCCTTTTGAGAAATTGCTTCCTGGACATTAATATTCTCATATAACCTTCAGACATTGACATTGTGACACAGATACAGAATGGAGAAAATGACCCTTTGCAAACAGTGTAAATCCACAGTCTTGCAATTACAAAATCACAGCATGGAAGCAACTACACCAAAGGGCGAGGTTTAGGTATCAAAAAGGAGCAATGAAAAGCAGCACTTACAGAAAGACGCCAGGGAAGTATTAATGTTATACTAACAATATAGAACATGGCTGTAAACATTTAGTTTTGGATTAGTATTATTTGAATATTGTTTGTCACCTGGAAGTTCTTCCTCATTTAATGTAATTGTAGATCTCTGGATGTTACGACGTCCCACAAAAGAATATATGCTGCTTGAGGCTACAACTTTAAACTGTAAAACTGTAAATCCAAAATCTCAGTTTTATTTCATTAACAATAATCTTCAGAGCACAAGCTTTGTGGACAAGGTGATGGTTCAGAAATAGTCCATTAATTTTGCATTAATCACAATAATTTTTTTAATCTCACATATTCCCAGACACACAGATTTTCTGAAAAAGATTTATGAGAAAATAGAAAAGGACAGAATCCATTGTTTTTTTTCCTCAGCCAAACATGTATTCTTATTTGAAAGAAAGGTTTATGACCAAAATCCACAAATACAGTTGGAACCAAATAGAAAAACTTGCGAATAATAACAATATAATAACACCATGTCAAAACATAAAATGAGTATACTTAGAGTGGAATATTAACTTGATTTAGTATGATCTTTGAAATGATTTCACAAAGATTATACCACTTTGAGTGTGGCATTAGCACCCCTTTAAATGATATATTTGAAAGGAAAAATATGCTAATCATTGACCAAATCACATTATTCATTCATATAAATATATAGTCTTAGTAAGACTTCCATTAAATTAAAGTGAATTAATAACTTTCTGTGGAAGCACATGCATAAATAAAGGTTACCTGACTGTGGTGACTGTCTATGTGTCTTTGAACTGAAGGAAGAGCTGTGGAGCTATTAAACCTCATGTGTCCTTCATCTTCTGGTAAACCTTAAAAAAAGCACATACTGTATATTAATATGTGATGAAGGTGTAGAGTTATAATATCACTTGAAAATTCTTTGCTTATACAGTAATTCTAGTTCTTGGTTTCACAAACCAATCTATTCCATTCTTATACAGGCTCCTGCTTTTAGTTGATCTCTAACATATCCACAACATCTCCACTCTATAGAACAGCAACAGTATCATCACTGAAATAAAACAGCTGTACCCCATTTTAAACTAACCCTTTTAAGACCTCTGCTCAGGATCAGTTTTGTGGTAATACATTGTCAACACTGAAAAAGTTTTGTTTTTTAAAAATGTAAACACCTCCTCTGAGGCCTCTATAGTATTGACTTTGTTTTTCATTTTTTTATGATTATGAAGCAACAGGCCATAAACTATCAGGACCATTTTTTTTCTTCGGATAAGGTCTTTCACCAGATAATGTTATGATTGTTTGCAAAAAAAACAGCCAGGACACTAGTGATTTATTGAACATCTATTCATCTATTCACTTTTTTTAGCATAACATCAAATCAAATACTTTTTAATCATGAATTCCAGATGTAGGACAAAGTTCAAGGGTGACGTAACTGAGGCACTTGTATGCCCACAAGGTTACATTCAGGTAATCAGTGAAAACACCGATGCTACAGTGAAGTGTTACTTCAGTGTTATTTCACTGTAACAAGAGCTCTGTAAAGGGCTTTACCATTTGACAGCTGATTTCCATTTTCCATGCTGACAGGACAGGGTGCTGCCGACGAGTGGGTAGTCACACGGTTATTGGCGTTTTTATCCCGAAGTTCTGGTGACATGTCACTGGCGTCCTCTCGGCCTGGCATGTTAATGTTAGAGATAAGTCCTGTTATAAATGGACAAACGTTGAAGATATCAGGACTTCTGTACCTACTGACTCATATAATCACTGTACTTTTAAAACTGAATTTTTGTGATTTGCTGACCAGGTTTAGAAACGGAAGAAATATTACAACCAAGAGATGGCCATTCACTCATTCATATTACTGTCAGTTTACCGATCCATGGACTTTGTCCAGGCAGGTTTTTTTTTTTTTTGATGGATCCTAATAATCTGAGGAAGTGAAAGGTTTCCTGTAAAGAAAATAATTTTAAAAATCTAATTTCTGTGTACTATATAATAAAGCATTATATATTAAAATCTAAAAAATACTACTCCTTTTGTCATTTAAAATAATCTCTTAGAGGCGATTTTACTGGTAGTATCCCCAGTAATGTGAAATTGCTAATACGATGTCCCAAGGGGTATGCTTTCTGCACAATAAGGAAGGATTGCTTTCACAAAAATAATCAGAATCACAGGGAAGCTGTTACTTAAAGATATTATAACATTTAACAAAAACAACGTTGTATTAAATAATTAAAAATGTACTTAAAATTGCATTAATATGTCTTGTAACCAAATAGGTCATAGATTGTTTATGATAAAAGATGTTTACTTCTTCAAGTATTCACTTAATGCATGCACAATTTCTTGTATTATGCAGTAAAACATTAAATAATACATTTTCAGATTGTAGAAAGATGGTATCTTAATTTATGGATTATGAAGAAAGCACATATTTCAGTTTAATTTTCTTTGAATCAAATCCTGATAGGAAAATCACAAAGTACATCTTTATAAACTGTTTATTAGGTAATAATTGGGGTGATCCTGTGAACTAATTTTAGTAGTAAACGGAGATACATATTTGAACCTTTCATTTTATGAAGTGACACTTTGATACACAGTTATGTAACATTTTAAATTAGTGTAATCACAAAATGAATTCTTTGGGTTTTAGACTTATGCCTAACTTTTCTGTAGAAGGTTTTACAAAAACATTTTTACTGATTCCTGACAATCCAAATACACCTCAGCATGAAAAGATTTTGGGTTGGCTGAAGAAGAAATAGAGTTATGGGAGAAGTGGTTCCTGATGTTCTTAGATGAGAAACTGAATCGGAATTAAAGTTAAACTACATGTATACCATCCACTCTCCATAATATTTCTCAGTGGGGCATGAGTGTTTTCTCAACATGAGCTTGATTTTTTTTACATCAAATACAATGCTGATGAGCATTTCCAATTCCTCGATTTTCATTTAATCTGACCATGTAAAACTGCTTCAGTTGTCATTCAAATGATGTTTGGCAAGTTTGAGTCGCCTCTTTTTTGGTTCACCCTCAGAAGAGACTTCTTCCTTGTGAACCAGCGATGAATGAATTTTCAACACTTTGTATCCAGAAGATGCCAGTGTGTATTGGAAAGCTCTTATTCTTGTCTTTGGTTTTAAATTTGCCTCCTAAACCACTTGTTTCACAGCTCATGGTGACAATATATATGTGTCCCCTTCCTGATTGGCAGACTGTACCATTCACCTTAAATAACTTAAACACTACAGTGGAAAGTGAACGTTTCAGCATTGTATGGATTCTTTTATAATCTTCCGCAACTTGCGAAGATCAATGACCATTTGCCAATAAATCCTCAAAGAACTCTCTGACTTTAACCTTTTAATACATTAAACTACCAGATGTTTTCTGTGTATTACCTCCTTTTACCCTCCAGGGAAATGGACACTACACTGGAAAGTTATGAGTTATAAGGTTTTTAAGTCATAGATGTCAATGAACATTTGCCTGCCATCTTTGAAGAGCTGTCTGTCCTTAACTATGGTTCAGATTATGCTACTACTAAATGATATCTGCGCGCTACCTCCGTTTATATGCCAAGGAAAAATACATTTTTGGTGGCCTCGATATAGGTCTGGAGGCTTCAATTGCATGTCCTAAGGACAGAATGTTGCTGTATGTTTTTCTGATTTTTTTTTAAAGAAATACATTGAGGTTCCTATTTCATTGGAGACTTGAGTAAATGTGGAGGGCACTGTACGTACTGCATATATGATTTTGATTGTAGAAGTATTTCTACATTAGCTTTCAAAGCACATTCAAGCAGAACTATAATACATTTCACTTTTGTTCTGATTACCAGAGACTCACAATTCATGAAGGGGCCCATATTTAAACCTAATCATTTTTTTTCTGACATATGACATTACCAGCAATCTCCTGACTCATGCTAGTAAGACACTTTGAAACATTTGTCAATTTAAAGTAAAGTTGTTGCATAAATAAAGGTTGCTTTCATTGTAACAATAACCATTTTTTTCAATAATTACATTACTTATTAAATTAAGTTACATTCTGTATTTGTTTAAGCAGAAGCCCCACATAAGATCAATTCATGACAAAAATACTTCAAAGGTGACTAGTAATTCTGGTATTGCTGTATTTGGAGTCAAACATATATAATAATATAAGTTGGTTGAATTTGTCATTATACATTACAATTTAGAATGACCCTGTGTTCAACACAGTGACCCTTTGACATAGCCCTACCAATAAACAAATCTCTCTGAACTTCTCAGTATTAAAAACTTAATTTGGTAGCATATTTCCTGATATCAAAACCACATTAATAAGCATTTACTGCTGTCTGCAGACAGAAGCATGAACTGACAATATAAAGACAATCATAATCCATTAGGACAGAACAGATCCAAAACACTGCGTCAGGGCATCATGTGTTAAAACCTAATCTCTTTCAAATGAAGACTTGTACTATTTTTGTTTTACAGTTTCCTTTGTAAATGTTATAATATTTCTTTGATGAGCACTTTGATCATGGATGTTTGTAGAATAAATGGTTCTTATTAGAATTTTGTTTATTAACAGTGACAGTGGTTGCCTCCAGAAGGAGGGTTAGGGTTAGGGTTAGAGTTAGGGTAAGGTTAGGGTTAGGGTTTAATCTTATTCATTAAAACTGACTTTTTGATAAAGAAAATTTGCTATACCAATATAGCCATTTTAAGTTATCAAGGTATATTTTTGTCCCCCAACAGCAAAGGCATGAGTCCATATTTATCTCATAGTTATATAAAGCTATGGGGTTTTAAGATATTTAGCATAAGAGTACTCCTACTTCAATACCAAACCTGATCTTTTCTCTGTTTTCTTTCTCTTGAGTTTCTCATTGGTGACCCTAGACTCAATTTCAGCATAGCCTATGGTGGTGGAGTGCAAGAATGAACTTTGTTTGATTGTCTTTATAAAATCAATGTGACTACCATAAGTATTTTCTCAGATAGTCCACTACTGAGGCATAGCCTTGACTAAAAATCTCCTGCTAGAAGACTGGAAAAAAGAGATGCATTGTATTTTAGAGGAAGGCCTTTCAAGGGACTTTTTTCTTCTTTGCAAAAAAAATACATAGAAGGTCTTAATAAACTGTGCAAAAGTCGTACATAGATTTGTAACAGTTAATAGGATGCTTACATGAGCTGCCAGATATGAAAAATGCGTTTGAGGCTTGCATTTGACAGCCATCAGAGTGAAGTTTGGGTTCCAGCTCATATTTAACCTTCACATTGGACTTAAGCCAAACCTAAACCCCTAAAGCCTATCCTTGAAGTGTGTATTTTGATGTGACAAAACCCATATGGTCATCTGGTGTTGCACAATTGCAGATTAAACTGCAAAAGAGCCACCACCATTCAGGAAATCTCTCACTGAATGCACTGAATGACAAAAGCGTGTTTTTAATTAGATTTGTTGATTTACACATCAGGAATTGGGATAGAATTATCATAATGTGTATTTCTCCAAACACTGCTGTATCTTAATTGTTTAGCAGAAATTTAGAAACTTAAGAAACATAAGTCAAGACTTGTTATCTAGAGTCCCCACTTTCAATCCCAGCGGGCCTCAATTAAGGAGTTTTTCTAGGTCTATTTAAGTCATCAGCAGCAACGGACCAGAGGGAAAGGGTTAAATTTATCCAATTAACACTTTTCTACTGAAGTTGTTGATAATTTAAAAGGAATAGATTGTGACCTTGGAGGACAAATACTGGAGTTTCTTGGTATAAATCGTCTCTATTTTAAAACTAACAACAATAATATGACTTTATACACTCGTAACAAATTTGTTCATGCAAGTAAACAGAAATACTTAAACTCATATTTATTAAGTACTGTAAAAGAAATATGTTACTTATTTTTGTTTAAACCACACAAAGGACAAAACAGAGATGCCAAATTCAACTGTATGTTTAAATGAATTTTAAACCAAGCTTTTTGTGATTCTATATGTCTACATTAGAAACCACGCCTTACTTGCAAGTGTGTCATATATTCCTTCTACACAGCAGAATCATACTTTCAGAATATTGTGTGTACCGACTCACTTTCAGGCTCTCTTATTTTCCGTCCGGCAGCTGACTTTCTCAGGAGGCTTCTCCCTGAGCTGAAGAGTGTGTTCAGTTCATCAAGTGGGCTGGTCAGGGGTCTGGAGTTGGCAGGGTTGAATGGGAGTGGGGAAGAGGAACAAGAATGTGATTTCCTGTGTTCTGTCCTTGGCATCTTTACTGGAGAATAAGGGGGTTTGGCGGAGCCTGAAGGGGCTTCTGAGAGACAGTAGCCTGGCTTTTGAGGTACCTTTGAAGAGTCTGAGTTTGAAACCGATGCTGTTTTAGCTAAGGCCAGGATACTGGCATCAGGTGGAAAAGGGAAATGAGAGGGAGGTCGATAGGGGGGAGGCAGTGATGGGGGAGGAGGCAGAAGAGGAGGAGGAGTTGGGGGAGGGGTAGATTTGTCAGGCATATTAAAAACCGAGAGATTTGGCGAAGAAGGTCTCTCACTTTCTGTTTTTTGCTGTCGAGCAAACTGAGGAGACAGTGGACTTGAGCCTTCAGTCTGCCCAGAATAGTTCAGGTTTGTTTCTAAAACTGGGAGCTTTTTCACCTCTATGGGTGTGAGGGGTGATTCATCAGAAGCAGGAGAACAAGTAACAGGAGTTGGAGGAAAAACTAGCAGAGGAGGCCGGTGAGGGAGTAAGTTGGGGAAAGGTGGTGGAATGTCACAGGTACAGTCCTTGCAGTATGTTTTGCCTCCAGGACCAGAGTGCAACTGTTCAACTATGAAAAGTTTTTTGTTCTCGTGAAGCTGCAGAGGAGACCCCTCGGATTTTGCCAAATTTATCTTAGCAGATGTGCCTTCTTCAGGCAGAAAATATTTCATTTCTTCATAGACAGACTCCCCCTGCTCAGCACTATCCACTTCTGGTAGACTCATGGCTCTGGCATTTCCAACCATCTCAATATAAACACCCTCTTCCTCCTCCTGGGAACTGTACAGACTGAGTGCACCATACTGAGGCCCATCAGCTGAAGCTGCCCGTTGAATCATTCCAATACAATGTCCTCCTTTAGCAAAACAAGACAGCTTAATTTCTGCTGGTCTGGGACCTGATATCTCCTCATAGGAACCACTCAGTTTTGTGTTAGGGCTTCTTTTAGGCTTTGGTGGAGGAATCTTCTTCATTGTGCTGTAGTCGTCACTATGAGGTCTTGGTTTTGAAAGAGCTGCAATTAAAAATAAAAAAGAAGAAAAAACATTGATTAAAGAGAACCACATGAACTAAACTCTACATGCGAAACAGTTTCTCTTTTATACCAAAAATGTTTTATGGCAGTAGAAAAGAATGGCAAGATTACAGTTTAAAGCACAACAATCTGAAAGGAGAATAGTACAGGTCACAAAATCTGTTGGCGTCTGAGAGGTTGGTCTAAATATATTTTTGAAAGAGGAAAACTTTCAGTAGGAGTATTTGGGAGCAGTGCAAAAGAAAGAAAATACACATTATGCTTTAACTGAACTTTGTGCAAATGCAGTGTATATTAGAAATTGGTAGACTTTGTTCTAAAAAAATCACAAGAATATTCCACTGTCCTCTCCTGCAGAAAAAGGTCGACAGAAAGGTCAGAAGTATGATTTTGCTATTTACTGAGAAGGTTTAGGAGTTCATAGCTTGGTCTAACCTTCACAGGATGTTTCTTGAGATGCAGCTGATAAGCAGGCACTAACTGCTTCATATGAAGCACTGAGCCTGGTGTTTGGGTCCCTCTTTGGTTTGGGAGGAGGCTGTTTCCGTGGTGATGGCAGGCAGCTGCAGTCGTCCATGCTGAACACTGATTGCAAGGAAGGGGACTTGATTGAAGACCCGGTGGTGGAATGGACCAAATCGTCCATAACCATAGGGACTGGCACAGAGGTGTAATGAAAGTGCTTTGGTGTTCGGCATCCCCCAGAGCTGCCTTCATTGACCTTTCCATACTTGTCTCCAGCTCTGTGAGATAACATGATACCCAGAAGCATTATTCAAATTGCAACAATGAGATTGTTCACGCCAACATAATGAAGTTTTCTTTTCCTTGTTTTTGCAAAGATCCACCACAACACAAAGCACAACCATACCTTATAACGGGCAATGACCAACTGGACTGTTTCTATATATCCTGGTAAGATGCCACAAGATAACAAATATTAACAAAAGTTGTAACCATAAAGTAACTAATACAAAAAAATAACAAAGTGCCTATTTTATTGCATTAATCCCTACTTATACCAGATAATAAATGATAATCTACAGTTTTTCATAATAGAATCTGATACGCTTTAATCCGATATGTGTCCCTTACTCTCTCACCATCTCTGGCTTCCATCAAGCTTCCTCTAAATTAGGGTTTATACAGCTTGCATTATATCCTATAGGCTAAATGTATGTTCTAAGGTTTGTAACTCTTTATTTGTATTATTTTGTAGTTTAGAGCTATGGATAGGAATAGAATAAGAATTAGACACGGGTGTTTGATTGTTTTTAGCGGTATGTGTAGGGTAATATTCAAGTATAGGTTGGCATTTTTATCAGCACACAAATGTAGCCCATATCACCATATATCAGTGCTGCAAAAAAAAAAAACAATAAATTTGAAACCTTTGGACCCAGCAGGTGATTTGTTTTCTGCTATTGTGTTTAATTATAGTCTCATGAGCAGGAAGAAGCTTCTCTCCGACATAATTGGGAGTAATTCCAAGCTAATTAACTTGATCCAAAAATAGTGACTAGAGTTACCACTGTTACCTTAAGTAGTGTGGTGTCTGATGTCCCGAAGTGTTTTGTAAGACTATTTATTGGATTGTATTTGTACCTGATTTAGTTTTGTGCAGTAGAAACATGGAATTTAGAAACATGTAGATTTTTTATGTAGATGTAATAAAGAGCAATACAAGCAATGAAAAATCAGATAAACTTGAACTTTTTGAGCTATTTTCAGAATAAAATATTGGAAACCCACACTGACACACAGCACAACAAGCACAGTACATTACAATAACACCCCTTCCTTCCTGCCCAACATGCAAACACACATACACACACAAATTAGAGGAACAGTAGGATTCTTTGTCTGCCTCTTAGATCAATAGCTTCTTCCTGAAAGGAGATGGGAGCCTCCAGCAGTATCAGCCTAGACACAATTGACAATAGCATGGAGAAATCTCACAGGAGAATAACAACCAGACACAAAAGGTTTTGCAGCCAGAATTCTCTAGAAACGCTCACCAAGGAAAACAAATAAAATAAAACGATTAAATTATTTGTACCTCCAGAAGTATGCAATCACATTTACTATGTTGAATGACTTTTCCTGTACAGTGGTGTAGAAACAGGATGTTTTGGTATACTTTTGGTACACATTTCTGATTCTGAAACAGATCTCTCAACCTAAAACTGCAAATTTACTTCCATGTTTCTTAGGAACAAAGCTTTTAACTGTTTAAAAGTAAACTATGCTTTTAAAACTGCACATTGCAGACAGGTGGGGATTTATTTGAGTTTACAAATTGAAATGTTTTCAATTCGCAATTCGCAATTCGCAATTCGCTTTCTCTCATTTTCTAAGCACAATTTTCCTTAGGTATGACTGTATGTCTGTCCCATTGTCATATCCAGAGAGATCAAATTCTTCAAGTTCTGTGGGTACTGGCCCTTCCAATTGCTTTGGCAGTGTTTATTTTTCACTTATCAGAAATGTCTGGCCACAGCTGGTGAACAACACAGTTTCATGTTAAACTGGTAGACTGCAGGCTGCAGATTGCAAAGTTACATAATGCACAAAATGACAGAGTTTTACTGGATTAGTCACTTTTAAGCCTGCAAACTAACATTGACATAACTTGAAAGGCTATAACTGTTTGTGTAAAGATTACATATCCTTATACAGGACAACAAATCATTTGCAAATCAAACTTACATAGTTGAAAAGGTACAGTAGGTTTAAAATGTATGGGCTATCACAGGTACTCAGTGTGCAGTAGCCATGTATTCAGATAGAAGAACATTAGGCTTTTCATTATATGTTTAAAAGACTCATGATATTCAAGTGGTGTTCCCTCAAAAATAAAACAAGAGGGACCTGAAGCTCTCGGCGTATAATTTTTCTCACATAGTTCATTGGTGCATTGACAAAATATTGTACTTAATGGTGTTGTTGGACAGACGTTTGGATGGCGGACAAATTCTAATGCTCTTCTGCTTCCCTGTGCATAAAAGCTCACTGAACGCAGCTCCCCACCTGAACACTGCAGTATTGCACAGCCTTTTGAGCTCCCCTCCATTGCAGCATTTCTCCCTGGCTCATACCTCATACTGTAAGTACAGGGGGGAGTGGCAGTGTGACAGAGCTAGGCAAGGGTCAGTGCCATCACGTCTTCTGCCAGGTCAGTTAAAGCCAAAGTACTAAATATACTCTCTGTATTCGTCAGCTCATTTAATCTTTATTAGATATTGACAAACAGCTGAAAATAGATTTAAAAGGAACAAGTAGAGGTTAATTCCAATCTGAAACACAAGAAAAACAACAATGTTTTAGTTTGTAGACCCTTCATCAGGTGTGTGGAATTAACATCTAATTGTTCCTTTGCAGTGTATACACTGACGCAGCTCCCCACTCAAACTTTTCTGTAGATGCAGACTCGATAAAATGCTGAAATTAAAGCTAAATTAAAGCTCAACTTCAAGGTAAATGCTCATCAAATATTTTCAGGGACGTAAATGTAGATAGAAAAACAATATGCATGTTCAAGATCTGGGTCTTAAAAGAACTCCTACATCACCTACTGTCAACAGACACTTCCCAAAGCATTTGCTTTACCTTCTCATTGTTTCCTCCTCCATCCCCCGGCTTTCCTGTTTTTCCTTGGACTGTTTCTCATTCACTTCATTCCTCAGGCGATCATTCTCTCGAGCAATGTCGGAAGCATTCTGGATAACGAGGCTATCATATGCTTTCTGCCCCCTGTCTTCCATATGTTGTAGGAAGCCTTGCACAGAACTGACCTCTTGCTGTCTGATGCTCATTTTCTGCAGAAGCCTCTGGCGTGCAAGAAACCCTCTTACAACTGCCATGATGGAATAAAAATACAGTCCAAAAATATAAGAGCCCAACCAGAGATATGATCAGTCAATAATGCAAAACTAAATATTAGTGTGCATTCATCTATGAACATGGCAATGTGGGTATGACCAATCAATATCCATAAAGAGAGAAAATGCAGGGACACTATAAATCAGCTCCACATGCTCAGACTTTATTTGCATATTTTTGGCTACCAAAAATTGTATACATTTTTAATTGTCAAATTCTGTTTCAGGGTTCAGACATTTTTACGTATTTATATACATAAATGTTTTAGTTTATGCATTTTTATATTTTGTGTTTGAAAGAACAAATAAAAGTGAGATTTTAGTATATGAACATGTCTCAGGGCCACTTTTATCTCTCCCCATGGTTTTGACATTGGGAGAGTAAATTCAGACCTCTCAGAACTGTAGGTGAACATACAGAAACCTATAGGAAAATTACTCAAATATGGCATTCATGAAAGATGGGAGTAGGCTTACAACAGTTGTATCTGCAAACAATGATGATGTCTCATATGGTGAACTCCCAGGCAAACTGTTTGCTTTGCTTGTAATAATATTCATCTTTGTTTGCTGAATTGAATTCACTGCCATGTGCACCATGATATTATCATTGGCTCTTTCAGTACTTTTATATTTCTTCAGTTTCTGGATTCGATCCATTTATTTGATCTCTAATCTACAAGTCTTAACATAGACTGTAGTGTTCCTAAAGTTATTACTGATTAGTTGTAAAATGGATATAAGCATTTCTGAACCACACACAAAAATCTTTAAGGTGTTTAGTATTTGAATTGATTAACTGATTTCTTACATGACGTTGAAGACACTTCAAATGAGGAATAATTAACTGAAAATCTTTTGGTGTTTTAATTGTTCACTTTCACAGATTAATGAATTTGTGCAATGAATACCATACACATGGTGCACAAAAGGAATAAAAACAGTCACCCTTTTTGCAGAGCTTGATCTTCAACAGAAGAAGAAGGCAAGAGTCTAAGGTAAAGAGAAGGACTGTACTTAAGCACTAAGTCCTTAAAATAATATGAAGCTAGACCATTTAGTGCCTTATATGTGAAAATAAGAACCTTAAAGGCCACTAAAATTTTCACATAGAGCCAGTATAAGCTATGAAAGGACTTAGTTCTGTGCTAATGCAGAACCCTTTTAGTTAATATTTGGTCCACAGAATTCCAAACATACTGAAGCCAATGTAGTATCTTAGAAGTTATACCTATTAGAAAGGCATTACAGTAGTCTAATCATGATGGAATCAAATTTAAACAGGTTAGGACTAACTTATCCTGCTAAATAATCCAAACATTCACAAAGCATCCAATTCTTGGATGTTGTTGTCTCTTGTGAAATTAAAAGTGAAGATGAATGATTCTGTGTTCTGGCCAACATAACTGCTGATGTCATTTGAAGCATAAATGGCTTTAAGCAACATTACAACCCCTTCCCTTCTGTTAATAACAAAGCATGCAATCTAATAAAAGTATGCATGGAATTATCCAGTCTATACAGTATATGGAGATACAATATATGAATATAGGTTTTCCTCCTACTGTTAACTTACAGTTAAAAGCAATCCAATTAATTGTATTTCTATTAAGCTTACAAGCAGGTTTATGTCAACAATACAACTAATAAAAGATGAAAAAATATGTAAATAAGTACAACAAGTGTTATTCACTCACTGAATGGTGTCTAATTGCAGAGGATCTTTTCTAGTTAATACAAATTATAGCTGTGTTAGCAAGAAAAAGTACAAAGTAATAGTTACCTTTCTGACAGGTTATAATCTTCTTCTGCAGTTGAAAGCAATAGTCATTAAGATGATCAGCTTGCCAGTATTTCAGGAACACTTTGCTATGGCCCATCTAGATATGAAAAGCAGCAGGAGGAGCAATAATGAGCAAAAAATTTTGGATCACCAGTGGTCAGTAAGTAAGTGTAACTGGCACAAATGTCTTTTGTAATCTTAGGTACCAGAAGAACATTAAAGAAGTTTACTTTTTTCTTTGATATGCTACTAATTAATAGACTTTTGACACACTATCAAATTGCTCTAATATTTAATCTAATAACCAATTTTTTACAAATGCTGTTTCACATGAAAAAAATAGTGCTAGTGCATTATGAACACAAAATATGGAGAGCCTTTCATATTTACCAACTATGTGAGGATCTCCATTTGTTTCAGTCTAGAGTAAATTTAGAATAGATATTTTTGTTGTATTTTTTTCAGAATTATTCAGAATTATTCAAATTCCATACACAATATTCTTGTTAATATCATACTGTATGTGGTTTCTAGCTAGTTATGAATAGAGATTTTACATTTCTTTTAAAAATAAAAGGGTAGAGTAATATTTGTCTTGCTGTTCAAAACCTGATTAAATCTGAATCATGTTTTAAAACATACACTTCAAACATATAAAAACAGTAACAAAAGCAAGGGCTTGAAAAGTGCAAGCAGATAACGTACTGCACTAATGATCAGAAAGGCTGTTTTCTGTGGAATTAGTTAAAACTGTCTTCAGTTTGTCTAAGCCACCATAAAGTTCATCACAGGATTTAATTCACTACAAAGGTTTGGCAAAAGATGAATCCAACGTTTAATTTAGCTATCTTTCAATCCCTTATTTATTTAATTCATCCAGTAGGAATAGTTAATTGACACACTAAGAATCACAGTCCAGGACACCAAATCAGATGAATACCTATCCTAAAAATTAACACTTTCCAAAAACTTTTTTTGTGCATTGTAATTCAGATGTGTTGTGCTCTCTGTGTTCTGCTGAACTGTAAATCAGTCAAGCTGTTACTCCATTTGCACATTCCTGCAGAAAGCCCAAAGCCTTTAATTATTCCCTTGACTTTGTTTAAAAAGGCATCCAATGGTCTGAGAGCTGTGTGAGAGCAAAGGCATGCTCCTATTAAGTCTAAGGAATAGAAATTAAGAATAATTGACAGTAAAGGCCTCAGACTTGGTGTAGGGAAGGTGATGCATGTGTGCTACAGTGACGTAAGGGGGCTTCCACTTCAATGGATTTAATCCCACAAATGGTTTGAGAAGAAATCCCAGAATGTCCTAATTGACCATTTTCTCACTGGTTTGGAGGTGCTATGTTTTGCAAGCAACACTTGTAACAGTAGGAAAAAATATTTTTTTCAGTTCGACGTTTTTCTCTCCACTCCACTTCTTGAAAAGTCAGGCAAATGATCTAATGTAGTCAGTTTAGTGGACATCGCACATCACACTCTGTAACACAATATTGAAACTTTATGATGTGACTAAAACAGATTGGAAGTTTTAAAATTGCACCTCAAAGGATCGTCTACACAAAGACAAAACTTTACACTATATATGAAATCCGGTGATACATGTTAAGTGCCTAAAACATGGGTTAACATACAATTTATCCCCAAATATGCTCATATGAATAATTTCAGTAGTGGCATTAAACAATTTGCTTTTAAATGTTTTGCCTAATGTTTTTTTGTTAATAGGCATTTCTCTCATAAATCAACTATTATAGTAACTGAACTTTCCTTTTGCTTGATTCCTATACGAATCTCAGCTACTCTGGCTCTGAAATTAAACGGGCTTTATTTGGTACATATGCAAATGATTATGAAGAAAGGCCTCTGTTGTAATTAGACATTCAAGTTGTTCAGGACTCATTTTGTGAGAAGTATGTTATTCAAATTAATTATGGTTATCCCTCGTGTTTGTGTTGTAGCAAACCAAGTGAGTTATTATTTTATATCGACTTGTGTTTAAACTGATTAAAAAAAACAGAAAAGGTTTTGTTAAATTAAAATAGATGTCTGTTTAAAAGTCAATACATGTGTGCAGTCTCCATATTCAAAATTTTTTAAAACTGAAAGATACTTCAAAAAAATTTTCTATAACTGAAAGAAATTTGTTTTACACAATCCTTTTTAGGATAATTTAGTTCAATGGTTTTGCTACATAGCTCACATACAAAACATGTTTTTGACTTCACTATTTTGTGTTATGCTATAGCAGCAAGCTTTAAATTACACTACTATAAACAATAGGAAGTGAATATTATATATAGGACCACTCAGATGGATATACAATCATATGCATTACCCTATAGGAGTACAGTATGTTTTCCCCATCGCCTATGTGATGCACAACATATTGAAATGGATATATGTCAGTTCAGAATCAGGGTAGAATAGAATGAAATAGCAGCAAAAATGTCTAACATAGATGCTGGAGTCACTGATGAATTTAATACTTATAAAAACGTATAAAGTATATTAATTTATTTACTGTTACCCAGTAAAACACACTTTTAATACACTAATGTCTTCCCATCTGTTTGTCTTGTAGCATCCGGAATGTGACTGCCAGTTTCTGAATGTACTGTATCTATTTGAAAGTGATTGAACAATGTGGCCAAAGGAAATATAAAATTCCCTTCCCGTGATTTTGCAGTAGGTTTGTGAATATGTATCTAATACAAGTGAAGAAAATAAATCTTTTTTCTTTGCTTGACACGAAGGTGACTCAGTTGAACTAATGTCTGTGGAATGTATGTGGTTTACAGTAGGATGACTATGATGTCCTTAGCTCACAAGTAATTTGGATGTTTTTACTAATTTATTAAGTTGACATATATAGAGAAGCATTAAAATCAGGTCAAATAAGTAATTAAATCAATGGTATCTGTTGTATTTTTTAATAACTCCTGGTATAATTCCCTATTTTTTTTAAATGCTCATCTTAATTTAATTGGTAACTGAATTCTTTCTCTGGTTCTGCAAGCAGTGCAAAGCTTGTTAAATTAATTGGATTATTGACTTAAATTTAAAGTATAGCAAACCTCTGCATTATTATTTTCACAGGGGCCACTTCTAGACCAGTGTGAATGAAACTACGCAAGGCATACAGAGTGATAAAGGAAGGAAGAAAGCAGTAAGCAGTTTAATGAAGTTGGCTGGTAATATCTGCTCTGAGGAGTAATAGTCTCTATTAAAATGTGAGGTGCAGAGTCTTAAATATCTCTCTCATTGTCTCTACTCATCTGCTCTAGCTGCTGGTTGATTGTCTTGTGTGTCCTGTGTTTCTAAATAAATGTACTTAATTTTTCAATAGCTATAATTTGGTATAACTACATCCATTTATGCTTATGTGAAAGTGCAGCGATACCTTAATTATTTCTGCTTTAACCATTTCTTTCAAATAAAAATGCTATTTTTAATTGTCTGGTTACTTCTTACATATGTTGCTCCCCTGGATTATTAAAAAAAGCTGCATTGAAGATACAGTATGCAACTACACATGAAAGAAAATAATAGCTATTCAGAGGGTACTCTGGCAGGTTGGATAGAAAGAGTGGATTTTGCAAGATATGGGAAATGCTTTTATTTTTTTGTTCAGTACTTACATTTGTTATTTTCAAATTAAATAATTTGTTCACAAAAAACAAACAAGCTGGTTTTAGTTTTAGTAGCAAATTGCAGATCCCTCATGCTAAATACTGAATCCTGTCAGCTTTACTTAACTACGAACTACTTTCTCTTACAATGTGTATTAAAAATAAATGACAGCCTTATAGTAATTTTTTGCGAGGGAAGCTCTGAGTGCTCGAGAAAAATTAAGGAAAATCTGTTTTGTGTTGCATTGTGTGTTACACAATGAATCCACACGATCTGATATGCCTGAGGAATGAAAATGTCAGATCTTTTGATGATGCTATTATTCCCCCTACATGCATCAACCCTCAACTCAACGTTTTTTTCCCAGTCAAGCCAACATGAGCATGTCAACTGCTCGAGAGTTCTGTCTGTGTCATTCCTGTGGGCTGCAGAGGGTAAGAATGCAGTAGCACTGAGTCAGGTGTGAAGGAGGAAAGTGGGTGTAATGTAGGCAGTGTTAGATCATACTCTGGCAGAAGGGAAGGAGTGCAGATCTAGCTGTGAAATCCTGTTCCCTTTTTTGAATATGCAAAGAAGAAAACTATGAAATTAGCACTGTGGGAGAATCTGTGATTTCCTCATGACATCCATGCAAAAATAAACAAAAGAACTATTTATCACTGAAAACAGCAGAGGAGGAATTAATTCTGCTGATGAGTGCTTGCCGTGATGAGCAAGAATTTGTCACTTCTAAACAGGTATTCAGATTACTCAGATTAAGATAAGATCACTTTATTGGCCATATACAATTTTTTGTATTAGGAATTTGTCTTTTTTGCACACCTGAAGTTGCTCTCCATGAGACAGACAGACAGGGGGAGAAGCTTGGGGTCAGCCATTTATACGGCACCCCTGGAACAGTTGGGGTGAAGGGCCTTGCTCAGGGGCCCATTGAAGTAGGATTCCTCTGCCGGCCGCAGGATTCAAACCAGAAACCTTCCAGCCACAGGCGCAGATCCTTAGCCACAGAGCCAACACACCGCATTAAGGACTCTTACAACTCCAATGATGGATCAGGGCTAGGGTATTACAATCCATCCATTTTGTTACCACTTCATTCAATTCCAGGAGCCTACACTGGGAAGCAATGGGGCGCAAGGCAGGATACAACCTGGATGGGACACCAGTCCATCACAGTGCACAGACAGACATGGCCATGCCCACACTGAAACTAATGTCAATTTTCCCAGAAGCCAAATAACGTCATCAGACTGTGGGATCTTAGACTTTCTGTTGACATCAGTAAATGGAGAAAATGTTCACCTTTTTTTACATATACCTACTGTATATATAAGAAATGAAAAGCCAATGATTACATGCAAAAATGTGTGATCTCTGTTCTTGAAATAATGTGCACATGCATGTACAATATTATCACTTTCAGGTTCATAAATCCTTTCGTCCAATGTTCAAATCATTGAAAGAGTACCCTGCTGCATAATAATGTATATCTCACAATACTTACACTAAACTTTAATACGCAATAAATTCCACTTTTGATTGGAGCTCGTCAATTCTCAATAAAGGATCTTTTCATAATACTTTCCTTACATAACTATTTAATATTTCAAGATTAAACTCATTTTAAATGACTGAAGTTTAAATTTAAGTAGTAGCAGTGGTCTCTTACAATTCAAGTGTTACCTGAGTCATTCGGGGTAAAAGTGCACAATTGTTGGTTCAAGGAGCGTTAAAAATAATTTCAAAACAAACTTTATTGCCTAAATTTGTAGGTAAGCCTTGTACATTACAGGAGTCCCCACTTAACACCTCCCTGTTTTTACGCCACAGGCTTTTTTGATCATGGAGGTAAATCTAAAAGATAAACAAAGTATAAAATGTCAAATTTCCTGTGAATCTGTTGCAAAACTGCTTTTGTATGATCTAAAAATCATTATAGATATATACTGTCATTGTACAGTATGTGTTTGAGATGTTTATATAATTTTCACGTCTTTTCTATGTTCTGACTTTATGTCCTCTAGAAACCAGAACAAGTCGATAACCGCAGACTAGGTTGCTAAGTCAGTTAAAATTTAATTACTGTATACAGTATTACATGTCCTTATTTATCATGTGTACAGTATTTAATGTAACCTTATGTAGTACTATACTCTCTCACACAAATACTCCCAGCTTTTCTTCTCACAAAATCTCCCTCTTACACAAGTTCTTTCTTTCATTCATTGTTAATTTTCATTGTTCAAATTCTAAACATTTCAAACAAGGCTAAATTACATTTAAGTGTTCACCTTAATGGGTCATTACAGTAATCATTCTGTTTAAACACAGAGAATGTGAACGTACCCCTGTTTCCATGATGTTTTATTGGAAATAATTGGTGGCGTAGATTTGCTTTTAAACCCATTTTACGGTTCCCATTCAGGACGTTAAATGGGGACCCCCCTGTTTATAGTTCTCTTATATACTAAATTTATACTTCACCCGCAGTACTTCAAATAATATATCTTAAATTGGAATTTGAAAAGTATTGTTCTTCCTTATTGAAACATCTTCAGTAAAGTATAGGACTAACAGTTAATTTCTTTAAACAATTACAATTATTAGTAAAAGATGCTTACTTGTGTTAGGGGCTAAGTCTTGAAGTGTACACATGATTAATGCTCTTTAAGCACAATATTGAATTCACATGTACAGCAGCTATTCAGTTTCTGGTTATCATTAGATCCTGAACACCAAAGAGGATTGACCTGTGGTCAATGCAATCATGTGGCAGAGCGGTGTGTAGATCTGGTTTAATCTAAACTAAGGATTATTGCTGTTTAGCATTTTAAGTACTGTTACTACACAAGTTGATTCAATTCAGACATATTAGCTTTGTTCCTCAAACAGGACACAAAAAGAGAAAGTGAAAGAAGTCAGATCTTTTTTACTGCCCCATCATTTTCAAAGTGGTAGAACATAAAGACACAGGTACTGTAATTCTTATGAATCTGGAATTACTTTACAGAGAATTTTATTGCACTTAAGTAGATATAACAAAAATGTAAAAGGTTAATGTCATAAGGGTTCCTGGCTGAGTTCAAGAGTGATGATTGTTGCTTATAGGACCATATACTGTAGCTTTTCACACTGTTTTTCATTTAGATTTAAATCCATTAACATTCAGATTCAGGAACGATTATAAAGTGTAGAGGCTTTCGTGACTTGTAAATGTAGACTGTTCTTCCAAGCAGAATTTTGAACTGTCAGTTGTTTTGAATTGCCCCATGGAAATATTTGGTAAAAGAAAACCAGTCAAATGGCATGTATTGTTATATTAATTTCAAAACTATGAGATATTCCTTATTACTGAAAAAGCAAAAACTACCATAGTCTTATATTTTATATGAAAGATGTCATAATGCTAAAGTAATTCTAAGTATAAGAAAATGGTTCCCTCCAAAATTCAGAATTGTTTATTTAAAACAAATAATTAAAACAATGATTTTATGTTTATGTTAAAGTCACAGATTGCTGTAAAAAAAGCAGTATATAGAACCTGGTACTGATAATGCTAAGCAAATAAAGACTATTGTTTATTTTGGGGCATCTTCATCTACAATGACAAAGTTGACCCTATTTGCTGTAAAGTAAAAACATCTGTTCATGAATAGCAGTTAGTTGTATGCACTGTATGTGCAATTAAGTGAACATTGGTTTTTATTTGCAACTTATGATGCTTAGCTCTTGTCATTATCCATCTTTGGCTTCTAACTTTGTATTTTTATATTCCTAAAGTGGAATTGTACGTCTCAGTACACACTTCCATCTCCCATTGTTGTGAAATGGTAAGAGCTGATTAATATTCATTCTCATTATTCACAACAACTGCATGCTCTTAAAATCCTATAACCCTGAAAACTATTTCTTGTTAGACTGATTGAATATGGATATAGTGATATAGTACTGTGCTGTATATATATACTGTATATACAGTATAGTGATAGATATTATAGTATATAATGTATAGTGACTATCAGGGCGGAGTGGTGGCTCTCTGGCTAAGAATCTGCACCTGTGGCTAGAAAGTTACTGGTTCAAATCCCACAGATGGCAGAGGAATCTTACTCTGGTGGGCCCCTGAGCAAGGCCCTTACCCCCAACCCCTCCAGGGTTGCTGTACGATGGCAGACCCTGCACTCTGACCCCAGGCTCTCTCCCTGTCTGTGTGTCTCATGGAGAGCAAGCTGGGGTATGCAAAAAGACAAATTCCTAATGCAAGAAATTGTATATGGCTAATAAAGTGATCTTATCTTATATAGGCAAAAATGAGTGAGAAAAATCTTACATATTAATTTTGGTTCTCATCTCTGGAAACTACAGTCATAGTTATGACAGCAGCTCGATTTTAAGAGGGATGAAATTGAACTGCTCCAATTAATTTTAAAAAGACTTCATTCATTCATTGTGGTTGTATAGTGCATTTCATCCCAAAAGATCTCAATGCACTTGGGCAGAGCGGTGGCTCTGTGGCTGTGGCTAGAAGGTTGCCGGTTCAAATCCTGCAGCCGGCAGAGGAATCCTACTCTGTTGGGCTCCTGAGCAAGGCCCTTAACCCCCAACTGCTCCAGGGGTGCTGTACAATGGCAGACCCTGTGCTCTGACCCCAGGCTCTCTCCCTGTCTGTGTGTCTCATGGAGAGCAAGCTGGGGTATGCAGAAAAATAATTCCTAATGCAAGAAATTGTGAAGGGTTAATAAAGTAATATTAAAGACATAGGGGAGGACCCACTTCTTTCACCCATGAAGTGCAGAGCCTGGACAAGTGAAAAATGGCTTCACTAATTGAAACCCTTTAGGTAGATTGTATAAGCCTGAGGTGAAATTTACCCAGGCCACTGGGGTAAAACACTGGGGTAAAACTCTTACAAACAAGAGTAAGTTTATTGTACTCTTCAAAGATGATCAGAAGAATGCCTCTAGATGTATTTAAGGTGTCTTGATTCTGGCAAACATTGTAAGAAAGAATGTCGAATTTCACCTACCTGCCACCCCTGAAGTTTGCAATATTGGAGAATGTGGCGGCACTTCTCTTCAGGTGATACCTTCGTCTTGTCTCCGACCAATGTTTTGGCCAAATCCTTGTATCTTAAAGGCAAGAAGGGATGGACATATAGTATAATATTTATTTTTAGCCTTCTTGTGTGTTCTCATAAATGTTTCATGGTAAACAAACATAACCAAGCAACTAAGGAGAGGTCCAAGCTTAATAGATTCACTAATCTGAGTTCATTTGTTTTAAATTGCCACCTCATAATGTTTCTAAAACATGTTATATAACAGTAACAAATAGTACTACATCAAATAATAATAATGGTTAAAATAGGGTCCTGTCATGGTGGCACAGTGGCTAGAATTGCTGTGCTGCCCTGTTGGGATGCTGTCTGAGTGGAGTTTGTATGTTCTTCCCATGTTCACATAGGTTTCCTCTGGGTTCTCCAGTTTCCTCAAACAATCCAAAGACATACTGGTGGGTTAATTGGCTGGTGTGAGTGTGTGTGCTTGTGTGCCCTGCAATGGACTGGCATTCTTCCCAGGGTGTATCCTGCCTTGTGCCTGTTGCTTGGCGGGATAGGCTCCGGCTGCCCCAAGAGTCTCAATTAGATGATGCAGTTGGGAAATGGATGGATGGAATATGGTCCTATTGAAATCTTCACACCCATTATATTTCTGTGATTTGCGATTTGTTTATATATAATATCCCAATGAAACTATTCTGACACAATATGCTTCCAAAGATGATCTCTTAAAAAAAAGGTTAAAAGTCAATCAGATGCTGGTGTCACATCTGAATGTCTGAATGGTGGAAGGTGAAAACCATATCAGCCCAGCAAGACGAGGGATGATTTTAAGCAGGTGATGGGCACAGGCAGGGGACTGGAAAGAGTAGCTGATTTATTAAAACATTTATTCCATTGCAGGTCCAACAGTAAGGTATTGAAGGCATACTGGGAGATCAAGCACTAATTGGGTTATGTATTTATTGGGATTTAATTTGACAAATGGTTCTTTTCATTAAGGTCCTTGAGGCAATGTGCTAAAAACTGCTTTACATTCCATATAATTCCAAATTACTTAATCAGGACTTTCTTGGGGCTTTTTAAATGTATGCATGTTTTTCTTGTGAAACCTAATACCACGAATCCTCCTTTTGTTCTGTAATTAGCTACAGTTTTCAGTGAACACCATCATGTATAGGAAATATGATTTTTCCCAGAAGCCAGTTAACCCACCAGTAGGTCTTTGGTCTGTGGGAGGAAATGTGAACACAGGGAGAGCATTTACACTCCATGCAGATAGCACCCCAGCTCTGGAAATGAACACAGGTCCCCAGTGCTGTGTGTGACCTCAAAAAATATTAAACAATTCATTTCTGACTGGCTAATTCAAGTACGGTAAAAGCCATTTAAGAAACTAAAAAGAGAAAAAACAATGATTTGATTTTGTTCAAGTAGGTAGCTCAATCTGTATGTGTAGGCTGTAAACGAACAAGTAAACGTTCATTCCATGCTGAAAAGAAAAGAGACACAATGTTTTGGCTGTGAAGCCTTCTTCAGGCATGAACAACAGCGTGAATGGAATAAACCTGATTATTGGATTTCCCTTTACTGATTCAAAAAGTTATTTAGAGTAGACTGCTGCCTCAAGAGAGTAGAACAAACATTTTCTAGTTACTGAAAGATGAAGATGAACATAAGATGATTTATAGACATGTGATGATCATTTGTAATGGGCCAATTTGGAGAATTGTTGGTACTCATAAGCACTTACTTCAAAGCTTCTATATTGTTGTTTAGTTCTAGGTGACATGAGCATTAATGTACATATTGACACCCTTCATAGCCAACAATGTTATTTAGTCATTTGCAATGTTTAATAACTATTGTTAACCTACAGGTATATAGTAGTGGAAGTTATGTGTCCTGCAAATAGTAATTTAGAACTTTAGAGGAGGAAATAAAGTCAAATATGGGGTACCAATACATTATACTAATTACATATAGACCATAAGAATGCTTCCCTATTGAATCTGAACAAGAAAACAACCACCAGATCAGCATGTTACTTTTGGTTGTTCCTCATGCAGACAAGCAATTTGTCACAAAGGTATTCAGTTACATCAAATCTTGTGTTACAGTTGGGCAGAGTAAACTGTGATCTCAGATTTTGAAATATCTCAGTAGCATGTGATATACAGTGAAACGATTTCTATAAACAAATACGTCTTTTTTGCTGGACTTATACACATTTTAGAATACATGAAAATCTCTAGGCCTTTTTACCACATTGTCACAGAGGTAGTATAAAAACAGTATTAGTTATTTGTTGTGAGAGGTACAGTATGGTTGGTTAAATCTTAAACTGAGGTCTGAAAGGTAACTGACACAAATAAAAAACACTCTAGTGGGAAAGGCTAAGCTATGTGATATTGTTCTTTTAATCTCAGAGTATTACTGTCTGCTTCCAATGTAACTATGTAGGGGTTTTAGGTCCTCACAATATGCCTGCAGAATGATGAATAGCATACTAAATTATAGGTCACCTCCTGGGAGCACATACAAAGGCAATGCAAATCAATATGAATTTAAAACAACCTCTAAAAAGGGGATTTACATTACAATTCCTTCCTTAGTCTGGTCTGATGCTGGATGTTGACTGTTATAATATTAACTATGGAATCCTATAAACAAATGTTACACATTTTGTCCTCCATAAACAGCAACACAAACATTTCTTAACATTAGAAAAAATACCTCCGAACATGTAAAGGGAAAATGATAGTTTAATTAAACTGTGGATATCATAGTATAAAGCAGGCATGAGACATCAAAATATCTAGAGGAGGATGTGCATCTGTTATCCTGGAAATTCACAGCCCTGAAGCGTTGATGGATTGTCTTTATTAGTCAGTTAGCTGGGATCTGAAAAACGTGTACTGCGTATGTCACAGTGTGCCAACAGGAAGAAGGGAGAAGGATTATGGGCTGTGATTGAGTTGGCATGTAATGGCCAGTGATTGTGTCAGTATTTTTGTTTTTATGTCTTTTTATGTGTGTTTCCTCTCCAAAATCAAAGACGTCAAACGCACACAGTGGGACAAGAGGCAATTAACAAGGATGCAGGAATACAGTGTTTGATCAGTTTCTTAATAAACGTAATATGGAGGTGTCTGGTGGTAATGGACCAGACCTTAGGCAAAGAGGGACAGGAAATGAAACAAAAGAGTGATAGGCCACAACGACACCTTGAAATCTGAGATCTGACAGCTCTCAAACAACCTATATTGTTTCACCAGCTTTCCTCCTGCCACCAACTAGACTACCTGCACCTGACTGAGCCACTGGCAAACCCCCACTGAGTGGGATTGGCCAGCCGAGAGGAAATTTGAAATCTGGTTAAAGGGGCTTTGAACAAAATAAAAAAGCTCCAGTCAGACAACTCATAACCTTGGATTAGGGAGGATTGCGAGAGAGATTGCAGTAGTTGGAAACAGTAGAGGATTTGACTTGAACACCAGGGACTGGACTCAGAAACATACAAGGTAGAAGGGGGAACACCAGGAACACATTGTTCAGGACACTCAGAACTAAGGAAGATGGCCAGGAATCACCAAAGGAGGTACTCAGAGGACAGAATTGTGGGATTGCATTATTTTGGGACATGTGTTCTAGTAACTGGGGTCCATGGAGTACTACTGCTTGTCTGGATTGTGCGCCCCTCGGAGATGTCATGGGTCCAGGATGTTGGATGTTTATGTCATGGGTCCAGGATGTTGGATAGACAGGGTGTTGCAATAACTAGAAAATAAAAAGGCCACTTAAGGAATGCAGTCTTGTCTGGTCAGTGGGTATATTGGTTCTGGAAGATAAAAGAACCTGAGGCAGGTGAAGAAGGGTCCTATAATCATTTAGAATTGCTAGGTGTCGTGGGTCGGATGCAAAATAAAAGGAAGTTCCTAAATTTAGGGGTCACCCAGATGTAGTCAAATTCCATTTATTACTCAGCTGAAATAAAAAATAGTTTGTAGACCTGATAAAAAGGGCTTTCCTTTGTCCTTGAGCTAGTAAAAAAAAAACATGGCTTAGAACCATAAAGATACAAAACACAAAGGAAGTTTAAGGTGTTTAAAGCTATTTAAAGCTAGGATAACTAGTATATACACATGTGTTCAGTTTCTTCAGCTATTTAATTTAAGGCACCCTCTTTCCCTTTTATTATCTCCAACTGAAGATGCAAATCTAGATGTCACTTCACCAGTGAAAGGGTGAACAGAAGTCCTTTGTAATTCATTTTAGGATTTTGCTTGCCTCTAAGACCTAACTCCACGTTCAAAGCCTGAATTTGAATGTTTAGCCTAAACCAATATTTAAAATAAGAAGAAGTTTTCACAAAGTGAGGGAAAAACGCAAGGTTTTCTCCTAATCTTCACACCTTTGTTACTAACAAAAATATTATAATACAAATTGAATTCCCACTGAAAAGTTTATTCGTATGTATACTTTATATGTCTGCTGTATAGAAGTAAATAGAATTTAAGATCCAAAGAAAAACAGGTGGTAATGACAGAAATGTGAAGTAATTTGACATAAGTTTTTTGTTTTAAGGCTACTAACACAACTGCCCCCAGAATCATATCCATCCGCAGCCATTTATTAAAAGATCTCAGAAAAGGATTTTAGTAGCTTATCTGGGTAATTCTTTTCAAAGACTCTTTCTAGTATAGTGTGGGTGTTTGGAACAAACAACAAAGTAACAAGATGAATTACTAGTTTTCCAGCACCACCTGATATTTTTGGAATATTTTCACAATGATAATGATTAAACGCTGACCTACTGTATAGTCCTACCTGTAAATACCAAACTAGTTCAGACATTTTCCTTCATCTTTCAGCATGTACCATTCTCTTCAAAAGTTAGATAACCGAATTATTGCCTGGTTGTTTGTTTTACTTTCACATCTAACTCCCTTTTATGCTGACAATATAGTAATAATTAAATCCTATATTATTTAATTTCAGATTGCTACTGTACAACAACCAACCCCTGACTTTGTGCATACCATAAGAACACCAATCAGTCATGTATTTTAATGTAATATTTATAATTGGCTTATTTTACCATGTATATATATTTAATGGGTTGCTTTTTAAAAAGGTAACTTTTTAGTTTTCAAATGTAAAATCTACTTGTGGAGCCATTTTTCCTAAAGACGAAATCATTTTATTCAACACTATGCTGAATTTAAAAGGTGAAATAATACTTTTTTTAACCCACAGAGCTTTAGACAAATGAAGACAGATTACATTTTGTATACCAAAAATGAATTATGCACTTTACTTGTTACTTCATTGAGCTATTTTATTTAATAAAATCTCTTTATTATTTTTGGGTGAGTCATACTTTTCTTCATTTGGAAAGAATATTAACATTTTATACTGTGGTAAAAAGAGTTTATTTGGAACAATATTGTGGCTCTGGTTTATAATGTCATATTGAATTTACTAAAGGATTAATCACAAATACTCTGGAAAAACTTGAGCTTTACATTCTGTGCATCAAAGTAGGTATAAAGAGCATGACTTTTATTAGAAAGAACTTCCCCAATTTGCTTTTTGATTAATCACTCTGATTAATTTATAAAGTTATATCCAAACAATTCTATTTTTCAGAGGAATATTCTTTACAGTAATATATAATGTCTTTAATTTTAATTAAAGCAAAAGGCATTGTGGTCTGAGACTACAAAAGACTAACAGTTATCACAGGTTAATATTTATTCTCACAAAGCATTTTAAAGAACATGACCTGTTGTATCTATTCTTAATACAAAATGAAAAATTAATTCAGGATCAACATTTTTTATTGCTCTTTATTACATGTTATCATGGAATATTTAAGAATGTAGCTTTTTATCCATCCAAGTAAGTCACTGTGACATGCAGTATAATTTGCTGCATTTAAGAGAAGCTTGTGCTGGAGTACTTTAAAGCCATTTTGCTCAAAACCTTTGAAGTTCAGCACACTAAACCTACCCCCCCCTCCTCCAGAGAACCACAAAAAAGAGAAATTACATTCAGGGGTACTTAATACTTGGTCTACATTGTGCTTCAGAATTTTAGGTTAGGGTGACATGACAGAGAAATTGTGTGCAAGTCTTATAATCCCTATCATTCAGATTAAATCTTGAAAGCAGATACTAGTGAATGAACATTCAAAATGATCCTGCAGCATTACTTTAAATTCAAAGCAAAATGCTTCAATCAGGTGCAGAGCAAGCTCTAGGTATTTCATGTTCTTTTTAACAAGCCCTCTTTAGAAGAGTAAATTATAACTTTCTCTAACAGTTTGTTCCTTGAGAAAGAAAGAAAGAAAATATTCTTCAAAATCTTACCTTTCAAGGAAACTAGAAAAGGGAAGTATCACAGTATAGCCATAGTGTATCATCTTCACCATATCCAGTACACCAATGTATTGCAGTTGAGCGGACACATAGGAGTTGTCAAATGCATCTGGTTGTTTGGTGTTGTTAGGTTTGATGCACTGTATGAAATGTGGAGTGCAGTTTTGCAGCTTGCTAATGATATCAGCGATTGAGTTCTAGGAGAAAAAAAACACCAGGATTATTTGGTCTTCAAAGCTCTGAAACAAAGTGTCATGCATTTTCAAAATGTTTAACTTTATTTTTGAAATTCTGTTAATTGCCTACTTTTTTCCCCAAGACAAGTAAACATTTTAAACACCCCTTCTGAATGCTTTGAAATCTGACCTGTAAAAATATGATTTTGGATTTCCTGTTAAGTGACTCAGTTACTTTAAACTGATTGGATCAGCTGAGGTTTGTTAATATTCCAAGCTTACTCATTTCAATATTGGAACTGTAATGAAAATCAGAACTACAACTCAAATGAGCAATCCAGTTCTGTGTAAATAAAATAATGGAGGTTAGGTCTAAAATGAAGATAGTAATACATTACAAAGGTGGGAAAACGTCTCCTAAGTTTAATTGTGTTTAAAGGGATAATGGTTTTTGAAATGTTCTATTATTTTGTAGCACTCAGAGATGTCATTCACAAGGAGCACTATACAAATGTGCATGTATTATATTTTCTTTTGGTTCCAGCTGTGAACTTGCAAAAACTCTTACTTTCTGTAGCCCATCAATGAAGCTTGAGACAGGAGCAGTCAGGGAAATGGATGAAGCTCGAAAAGTGTCTTGCACTACTTGATGTGAATTTGGCAGAGAAATAAAGATGATATCACCTAACAAACACTACTATAAAGCTTGAGTTATTTTAAGAAGAAGCTCTTGACATACCTGCCCACCCAAGCACTGTGCTTTCAGACAAAGAAAGCTACTTGAAGGTGTTGGTGCCAAAACAAGTGAACGAGAACAAACTCAAAGGAATTTGATTTTTATCGTATTTGATAGTGATGTATTACAATAACTATAATATTGATTTGTTTTATGAATTAAATACATGACTTTATTTGATTCCTTACCAAGAAATTCTGTCCGATGAGAAGGACTGTCACGTAATATCTCACTTCTATCCACATTTGCAATAGAAGTATGTCTGAGTCAGATCAATGGGAGTGACATTACTATGGAGTCAGTCATGACTAATTTCAGTTGTAGTATATTCATGTTAGTGATGTAGTCAGCTCATGATAGTAGTACCAAACAGATGTTTCATAGAGCTGTAGCCAAAAAAAATTATATTTCAGATGAAAAAGAAATTGAATCAAAACATGTAAATGGTACTTCCTGTTTGTCAAGAAAAATACTTCTGCTGTTACATCAAATAACATATTTTTTTCTTTGGTGTACTTATCCAGCTTTGTGTATTTTATGATCTTTTGAGTTTTATTAAACTCTGGCTTTTAAGGCAAAATATTATTTTTTTTCCTCCTGATTAATTAACTTGTTTTCTGCTTCATATTTATTATTTGTTTTGTATAATTTTGTGACTGGAAATCTCAATTGCTACAGTAAGGGGTAGTGGGAAAAAAACATTCCCATAAACTTTCCTTACAGCCACATTTGAAAGAAAAACAGGCCTATTGATGTGGTCTATTGTTGTCAGTTTGTTTTGAATGAAGTCATATTGTATTTTAGTGCCATGGTTTCATGATAAAAATATTTAGCTCTGAACTGAAACAATATTTTATACTTAAAGGGGCCATGTAAATAAAATAAACTGTTAGAATGATTGACAATAATGTATACCTTTCTCCTCGAGGCAGTTCTGGTTATACTCATTGAGAAGGCACATGTGCTTCTAATGTGATGGTGAATGCAGAGCAGATCTTAGGTGTATATTTCTAATTTATCCAAGGCTATAAAAAAAACACTATTACTCCATATTTCCACTTACTGTAAGTACTGCTGTATCTGCTGGTTTTGGTTCCAAGTGAACTCCAAGTTACTTGTGATGTAAATAGAGACCAGGTACAACTGAGTGCTCAGTTAGAATGAAAATACAAGGCACTCTGGGTCCAGAGTTAAAAAAATAAACAAATCATATATGTAAGGTTAACAAATGTGTAATTGTTCTTTGTTATACAGGAGCACTGAGGCCTTTGTATAAGGGCAGTGACCAATCATATTTGCCATAATCAGACATCGGCACAGCTTATATAACTTAGAATTAAAACTACTATATATATTCAGTTTCTTAGGACAGCCACAACTTCGCCTTCAGCCTTCATGAAGAATATTGCATTTTATCTTTTTATCTTATTTTATGATGCCTGTCATTGTAAAACATTTTAAAAGAGAGGGTAAGAAATATACAGTGACAAATATCATTGTGATGTGGGTTGGATTACCAGTGTGAATTCTGGAAATTATGTGTAGTCCATAAATCACTAAGATCAACGTATAAAGGCCTACAAGGTGAGTACAATTGAACAGGGTTGGTTGGAATATACTGTTCTCCATAAATATGTATAATGATTATTCATTAAGGATTATGGATTAATATTGATAACAGTCATCATCAATATAAAAATGCCTTTTCACTGCTGCTCATTCCTGTTAATTGTGTGAAAGATAGGTCATACTTGACATCAGGCCGAGACCTTATCCCAGATTAGTCCAATGGGCAAACAGCCATATCATCCCAGGAGTTCTACTCTGTGTACCATTTCTGTCTTGGTGTGGAAGAGACTGCTTCATCTTAAAAGTTACATTTGTACTGTTCCTTATTTTGTGTATGAATATTGCCACAGATATACCATTGGACTAATTAAAGATTAATTGTTTTCCCTTTTCCTGGGCTAGACAGTTTGCCTTATTTACTATATTCTATTTTTTCCATCTTTTTAAAAATAAAAATACATTATCTAGTGATGCATAATAATACAACAATCTAGTGCAGTCCCAACTACACTTGCTTTGACGGTAAAGGTTTGGAGGCTAGGCGGTAGACTTTGGCATTGGCTTTGCCCTTGTTTTCTAGGACTAGGATTGTTCTGACTCCTAATCAATACATGTCTCAGTTGTATTTCCTTTGTCATCGCTACAAAACAAATCTTAGGAGTTGAGACTTGACTCATGTTTCAACATTGCAATCGACGTACAGTAGAGGGTACTCAATAGTCTCTATGCCATTGGATGCTCAAGGAACTTAACTTGAATTTCAGCATTAACCTGTCACCAAGGACACCAGTGTCAATATCAAAGTTGCTGACAGCAATCCTGAGGCAACTACAACCTCAAGGATTAGGACTTCCACAAAGACACATGCTCCAGTGTGGTTTCAATGACACTGCTACAGCAAATGTATCGATACAGCCCTCAGGAACATCATTAACACTGAAGGCTGTTCCTGCGATACCAAAGACACCAGAGAAGATCAGCCCCCAAAACACTAGCCTCTCCCCAAGGATCCTCCACTGTCTAGACATAAGAACATAAGAAAAGGTTACAAACAAGGGAAAAGTATTTTACCATCTAGCGTCAGATAAATCGTTATATTGCATATCACCTGATATCAGACTTCCATATACTTTGGTGTGATCTGTTAAGGTCAATGTTCAGAGTGTTAGTGTAAAGGTCAATTTGAGCATATACCACTAGCTGCACAGTACTGAAAACAGTTCTTTGCTGCTGCTTTGTTAGACTTCTGTTCATTTTGTGAAAGAGAGGTCATACTTGCACAGCTGAATGCAGTGAGAACTGGAGCACTCAAAGACACTGTTTCCTCCTGGGAATTGTCAATCCATTTTGAAATTGGAGGTTTAAACTTACCCTGAGTTGTACAGCCACAGTAACTGGACCACAGCGTTCAAGGGTTTGGAGAAATGAAGTTGTTCCCTTCTTTTTTAAAAGCTGAAAATAGAAACAACAAACAACAAAAGAAAATCACATTACTTGAAAAACCTAAATCCCTCTATTTCATGGTTAGAACAAATTCAAGTAAAAAAGTCATATTTACACTGAGATTAAAGACTAAAAACAGGGGGCTGAACTCTAGCATTGCCTACAGATCTGCTTTTCTTAAGCAGAATTGTTTCTATCTATGGAGATTCATAATTTATTAAACAATAAATAATCTCCACTCAAAGAGAACAAGGCTGTAATCTAATAATAATGGAGGTTCCTATGCAGGGCTTTTCTCACCTTCAAGAAGGGTTGCTATGGTAACTTGGCAACTAACATGGTAACACAAGTGTTGGGAGGGCTCTTATTACTGAAGTGAGATAACAGAAAATAAATAAATCATACACATACATTCAGACATACATTTTGTTGCTATTCACATTCCCAGAACTCAACTGTGACGTTCGGTTTTTCCCTTTATTTCCCTGTCATAGAATGTGAGGATTTTACTGAATGTATAATGCTATACATTTCTGAATGAGAATGATACGTTTCGTCAGCCTTATGCAGTGTCAAGACAGACAGTCATGTCTGTAATTTGAATCTAAGGAGGATTTTCTGAATGCATGTGGGGTCAAGGCTTCTATTTATTATATTCAATTAAAAAGTGTTTCTATATTTCAGTACTATAAAATGCACTATTTTGTTTTATTATTACAATATAGCATAAATAAATATGTAATATTATATTTATACCTCTTTAGCCAAAGGTTTGTGAGAATAAAGCCGATACCAAGACTTCTTTCAAGAAGAGATCCTTGGATCAATTAACTATTGACTACCAGGCTAGGGGCTAGAGGTGCTGAAAGACCTCCTCTCATTTGTTACTCTTCTTATTTCTGAGTATTTTACAGAAAATTGAAGTGGTGTAAAATTTTAGACACACAATACACATTACAGAACTAAAAGAGAGAAAAAAAGAAAAGCAGAACAAATTGTCTGAGTATAATCAAGAGTAAAATCAGATTATACATTAGATTTATATGGGGAGCAAATGATGTATTAACAGCTTTAGTAAAAGTTTTTAGAAAAATTAAAAATGTTGACAGTCATGAAGGTCTCTGGCAATGAGCTCCAAATATATAGTGTTTCCCCAGAGCAGGTTCTTTGTCTATGTTAAGATCCTGGTCTTCAACAGAGTAAGTAGGCCTGAATTAAAAGGATCTCAGATCTAGAATTGGGCAATACTGGTGCTATAAGACCTCATGATACCTTGCAGGTAGACAGCTCAGTACTGTATATGTGAGCAGGAGAATGATAAAATGTACTCTACATTTCTCAGGAAGTCAGTGCCATCTTCATAGAATGGGAATTAAGTGCTGATGCAGAGTAGGACACAAGCTACACAATTTATTCACATACTGATGACTATTTAATACCTTAGAACCGTGGTTCTCAGATCGTGGTACGTGGAGCGCCCCCAAGTGGTACGCCAGATGATTCTGGAAATTTATTGTGTGCACTAAAAATGTGGGATGGGACGGGTTTTCATATTTTCTATTTTAATAAAATTTGTTTGTGTCGAATACGCAGCCTACGTACTTAGCTACGACAATACAATGCATGCTAATACTTGAGTGGATACAAGAGGTACTATGTAATTCTATACCATTGTTTCGTGCTACGAACCTAAGTGACCAATTGTATTAAAAGTAATCTTTTGCAAATAGGGAGGTAGGAGAATGTGCATGATTTTGGAACAATGCCAATCTTGTGAGCACAGGAAAGTGTGATAGATAGAAAAATATTTAAGGACTGTTCTAGGTTAATGTGAGAAAAATACACAGAGCATCTCCATGTTTTGCTCCCATGCGCATAAAATAAATACTTCTTTTAACTTCTGAGACAGACTTCTGAAAAATGCAAGCTTGTGGATTACTAAAGCAAGTAAGCTCCCCACTATTGGTGAAGAACTTTGTTTACCATTGCCAAAAGACCTGATGCATATTATGTGTGGAGAAAAAGCTGCTAAACAGCTCGACCTTCTGCCTCTTTCAAATGACACAGTAACTAATAGAATTATTTATATGGCAGATGATGTCAAAAGTACGCTGATAGAGCGAGTTAAAATGAGTAGATGCTTTTCACTGCAATTACTGTAGGTGAGTCTGTAGATGTCGTTGATTTGGCCAATTTGCTTGTTTACATTAGATATGAGTTTGAGGGCATGCCCCATGAGGACTTTCTGTTCTGTACGCTGCTTCCAACAAGAACTAAAGGAGGACACATTTCAGCTTCTGAATGAATTTATCGAAGAGAATGGCATCAACTAGCACCACTGTACAGATGGTGCTAGAGTGATGACAAGCTGACACAGCGGTGTAGTTGCACGAATTACTGAAGAGAGGTTGGTCCACATATGAAGTGGAAGCATTGCAGCATCCACCATGAGGCCTTGGCAGTCAAGAAAATGTCTGAGGATTTAAAATCTGTGTTAGACTCTGCTGCCAAAGTTGTGAATTGTATCAAGGCTCGACCAATGAATTCACGTCTGTGGTTTGTAATGTTGCTGGTAAAATTAGCTTACCTGGCTGATCTACAGTATTCTCAAGTTTGAATGAGCTGAATATGGGACTGCAGGAAATCTCTTTAACAATTTTTAATTTGTCAGACAAAATCACTGCTATGAAGAAAAAGCTGCAGCTTTTTGGTAACAAAATCAAGGCAAGTGATGTCTCTGTTTTCCCAACTTTGGAGAACTATCTGCACACATATGGTGTGGCACTTGATGCTGCTGTTTGTGATGTGATTGCAGTGCACCTCTTGTCATTGGAAGAACAGTTCTCAGAGTATTTTCCAGTTGAGGCCACACCAGAGTGGATCAGGAACCCCTTTACTGTTGATGTCATAGGAATACCCAAGGATCTGACCTGTGCTGAACAAGAGAAGTTGCTCGAGTTATCATCTGATGCAACGTTGATGTCAGAATTGAAACGACAGTCATTGTTGGATTTCTGGATCCAAAGAGTGAATCCCCAGTGCTCTCATTAAAGGCTGTGCAGTTTTTGATGCCGTTTGCTACTACCTACCTTTGTGAGAAAGGCTTCTCTGCTCTCACTGCAATCAAGACAAAATACCACAACAAAATGGATGCTGAGTCAGATCTGCGTTTGAAGCTCACTGCCCTCGTCCCTGACATTGCAAGGCTTTGCTCGACTAAACAGGTTCACCCCTCTCACTGAAATGGTAAGTGGTCAGTTCTATTTTTATTATGTTGGTCATTGAGATTTTCTGGGGTTCCTACAGTATATGAGAAAATGACCGGTAGGTGGTACTTAGATGCTTTGGTTTGATCAGGGGTGTAACTTGGTACAAAAAGTTTGAGAACCACTGCCTTAGAAGATATCTCAGTAAGTAAGGGGACATCACATACAGTACCAGTGAACCCCTTATACTTTTCCATGTACTGCAGTAGAATATCATTATCTATAGTATCAAAAGCTGAATTTAACATCAATAAGGAGAACATTATTAAGTGCACCAGAGTCAGAAGCAATTGGCAAATCATTTACTACCTTAACCAGGGCTGTTTCTATTCATCTCTGTCTAAACTCCAAATGGAAAGGTTCAAAAAGCTTATTAAAAGCAAGATAAGGCTGCAATTCAGCTGCCACAGCCCATTCCAGAATTTTGTTTATGAGAGAGTAAATTGGCTATAGGACAATAGCTCTTATATACTTGGGTGTCCAGGACAAATTCTTTACACACAGGTGTGATATCAACAAACTTTAGTTTACAAAAACAGACTTTTTATTGAGGTTTTAACAAATGAAAAAAGCAGAAAAGCTAATTTTCACTAGAGTTATAGGAATTGTATCGTAGCCACAGGAAGGGCATGGCTACCAGCTCATTCAAACAGGCAAAAATATCAACAAAGGAGGGACAAATGAAAGCAAAATGGCACAATTGTAATGACTGCAGGAGGTGAGTTTTAAAAGTAGTTATTAATTTTAGATATTTAAAAACTGTAGTCTTCTTATTTGTGCTTTCTGTGTATTTTCCTTGTAATAGTGTTTCGTGCTTAATAATCAATTTAATTTATTTTAATTAAAGGTTTTTACTTTATTTTGAATTTTACAAGAAGCAAGGATTGAAAGTACAGTAAGTGTTGTATTGTCTATAACTGCCTAGGACAGGCCGACTTTTGAGTTCATGTTAAATTGTTGGCGGATACTGTGTAGTCCCTTAATATATTATAATGATTTATGATTATTCTGCTCCCAACAAAAGCCACAAAAGGCCAAGATCTATCAACAACAAAATTAGCCAAAAACTAGCAATAAATCCTGGGTCTATTTTGTTGTTAGGCCACAGCTGCAGATTTAGTTTTAAGAAGGCTAGAGCAAAAACGTCTGGATCAATAAAAATCCATGGAAAGAGTGTTGAAGGTTACAGCTTCTAATTTCAGTTACTTTTGTTAGTGGGATCTCATAAATAGAAAACTACAGTAAGTGTTTGGCTGCTGTTTATAGTTGTATTGGCTGTTGTCACATTTCACAATCTCATACGGAATGCATTTCTGTTTTACAGAAAAAATATTTTTAATTTCCCTGAAACAGCTATGGGCCTTTTGTAAACTCCAGATATATAGACAGATTGCATCTCCCTATCTCTTCTCCTCCCCCTTCACTTTCACCGGAGGATTTTGATTTGCATTACAGGACTGACAGTTGGCAACATAGTAGTGAAGATGAATGGAGGGAGCAAAATCCCACATGGAGTTGTGAAAGAGGACACAATGTAAGAAAAGGAGACTTCAATGGGTAGGGGTAATTAGAGGAGGTCTGCATCGAACCAATGAGATCTCGTCTAGAAGGTAACACATAAAAGTACACTGTGACATGCACTGTCTGCCAGTGGACATTGCCATAAATGGTATATTCCATCTAAAATCAGTTTTTGAAAACAATGTATTGCACTGTCTACAAATACATTAACTTGTGAATATAAGATAATTAACTTTTCTTTATAGTGCTGTCAACTCTACTCTGTGCTGGATAAAGTGGTTAGAAAATTCTGTAGAGGGATATAGTTCTTTCTATAATGTATGGTTTTTGTATATCAGAGTAGTACAGTATATGCATTATTTTAAAATTATTTGGCATGAATTGTCTTTCTAAATTTCACTAAAATTAATTAAGTTTATACATTTTATATTTTTTACTTTTGTGTGGCATTGCATTTACAAAATATTTTAAATATATACTTTTAAAGCAATGCTGACAAAGGGAAATACTGAGTGTGTGACTATGTGGAATGTTACTCATCATAAACATTACTCATAAATGTTACTCATTTGAAAATATCATCGCATACTTTTCCTAAAAAGAAAATGAAAAATATAAATCTTTGCAGACAAAAATACACTATTTACCAATATGCATACCAAGAGCTACTGGTATAATTGGTTCAATAATCACTCAATGTTTTAATGCCTCTCTGTTTATATATAAAGTTAATGAGAATATTGTGATGTTTTCATCCAAAGTAAAAATGCCTATAGACATTACATGATAATTTTTTTAACCCTAATTTACAATTCTTCATTTTATTACAGTATTTGCTTTGGAAATGCAAACCAAATCTCCTTTGAGATCAGAAACCCTATATCATTTCAGGTGCAAAACATCTGCATCTGAAATATCATACATTTAGTGTAATATCAAATTTGTCTAACTTGAAATACATCAGTGTCTTTAAGTACTCTCAGATTATTATTTTTTTATTTAAAGTCACAAATAACATATACTATAAATCTACAATGAAGACCAAGGACAATTTGAAACAAGGTTAAGGTGGAGAATCAAATAAAGCTAGTCAATCATTACGTTGTGGAATATATTTCTTACTACCCAGATCAAGCCATCCTTCCAACCAAAGAAGCTGGACAAACATGATTTAAATTTAAATTGACGTGATTTGCAAAGCTCTCCATCTGGGATGGAAGTCAATATTCACATATGGACAATACCCTGGTCCCTGTGCAAAGCTGGCCTGTATATGTGAGGAAAAAAGCTTTTACTGAAAAAAGTTTGCGATAAAGCATGTTAATGACACTGCAGTCAGGTGGTAGAAGGATTTATGGTCATACTAGACAGAAATTATTTTTTGTTCCAAATGCAAAAAGGTCAGTCTCAGCACGCACAACACATCCCAGGTCTCAAGCAATGTGGTGGCATCATGTTAAGGAGATCTCTCTTCAGCAAAGACTGGGAAGGATTCATATAATCAGGATTAAGGGGATATTAATCCTGGTAGAATCCTTGAATAAATTCTGTTTGAGCCAGCCTGGAATCTGAAACTGGGTCAAAAGTGAGCATTTAACAGGACTATGATCTGAAACACTAGGCCAAAACCAGCTTGGAATGGTTTGACAAGAAGATGATGAATATACATGCATTTCCTAACTTGTATATACTTTAGTTTGGGTAAAAATACAAGTTTGTCATTTAGGAATTTGTCACTTTTAATCTCAGTAAAGCAAAATAAACAATTTTAGACATATATATTTCTAATATGTTTAAGTGTTATAATAGACATTGTATAGCCATCATGGTTTCCAATTAAATCATTATCAGATTATATCAACATCATTTGGTTCTCTCTACATATCAATAAAGCTAAAAAGTCTACCTTTGTGCTCTAAAATACAGGTTTATGAAGATTTAACTGTTGTTTTATCAAATTTGAAAAAACAAATGGCTGAAGTTGACCTTTGTATTGTGTTTCTGGGTAAATAAATAAGGCACATTAGTGTTTCTGTGTGGAAGGAGTGAGCAGTGCAAAATGTTTAAGACTTTTGCAAAACAGGGTATATAATGAAAATTATTTCTTAATTGATGTACATGGTTATCAGCTTTATAACAATTTAAAATCTCTCTAATGACGAACAATAATAAATTAAGGAAAAAGGCTGAAAAAAGTACACTTTTCAGATATGCACACTACATTGAGAAAGATCTAACAATGTTTGGATGACAAGTAATGCACTTGGAATTAGTCAGAACTACCACCATTTGTTGAGAACTAAGAAAGCATTGTTGAACCCTAAAAGACACAGTTTATTCAGGGGAAACAGTACCTTACTGAGGTCCAGATATTTCTTTGGTTCTCTGGCTGTGGAAGGTGATGTCATTTTCTGGATAAGCAGTGCAGCTTTGGGTCCTCTGAGCTTAAGGCGATGGTAAGGAGGAACAAGAGAGCCTGTTTGTGTCAGCTTGGACTGGAACAGTTGATGGATGATGACATTTTCACTGGCTGTGTGGAAAATGGGAAATTTATAAAGATAAACAAAAATTCCAGATGTGAAACTGTGTTGCTTTGAAAAAACACAATATTTATATTTGAACAATACAACCATTCAGAAACAAATGCTGCAGTTTCAAAAAGCTGTTTTGCTGTTCCACTGAGCTCTGAAAAGAGCAAGATTTTGTAAATGAACAAACGCCCAAATAATGATCATTCGATGGACGATGAAAATAAAAGTGACCAATAATCACACAAGGTATCACATATTTCACTGTTTATGAAAAGGTATGTACATTTCAATTTTTCACTGTCAGTGATTATAACATGTCTAGCGATGTACAGAACAAACAGACTTGTTTCATTTAATTTCTGAATGCATACTGTATTATAGCTCCAGTGGTGTGCTATTGTTGGAGAAAAGATACTGCAGTTTAGTCACTATGTGCTTTAGCATGCTTCTTATGTCTATTCATACATCAGTTTAAATGAGCTTTCAGAAGATTAATGTGTGTGCAATTGAAAATGGATATGTAAACAAGGAAATTGGGACATTCTATGATATTTAATTTCCTAAAACAGCTATTTGATCTTTAAGAGTGATAGACATTTTCCTCTTTAAAATGACCGGAGAAAAATATTTATAGATTGCAGAATGACTGGCATTTATCAGCATAAAATATAAAAGAAATTCTTATGGCGCTGCACATATCTTTTCTAGGACCATTATCTTGCATCATTTTAAAAAGAAATCCAAACACAACTTACATTTCATAACAAAAATAATGTTTTGTGGTAGGGAATCCTTGTTCTTTTCTAGGGCACCTGATAGATCATAGGTCACCTGGAAATCAGGAAAACATTTGCACTGTTTAAAAAATCCTATTATGTTAGGATCATAAGTTATTCTGATGAGTTTTGAGATCAAAAAGGAAGAAAAATATACATGCACAATGGTAACTGTACAGTATACAACATATATAAAATGGGTTGTCCACAAGGTATAACCACTTATTCAGGAGTATATTTTTAATGTAATCACACTTTACATAGGAATATAAATGTATAAATAAATTTGAATCCTGTTGTGCTCTGATGAAACCTATAAGATTATTATATATATAACATTTGAAAGGCTAATTTCTACACTACTCTTCAATAGCCATCTTGGTTTATACAAGAATATTATTTTACAATATTTGAATTGTACTAACCCCATATATTTTATAATGATTAATATCATGACTGTTTTTATTTGGCCAAGCAGGTGAAAAAAAGACTTCTGCTATCAGAAGAAGTTTAAATATGTGTTTGTGCTCAAGTACTTCATTGTCTGTATATTGATAACAAAATATATCACAACATAAAAAAAGCAGAAGCAAATGTACATATTGTTGACATTCAAAATTCAGATCAATCAGTTAATTGGTTCTGAAAAATAAGATTTCAAAAGTTTTTGCAAATCATAGCTCAGGTTGTCATTTTGACTGATAAAGCTCAACTGTTATTGTCATGTGTCAATTAAACTGGCCAATGTCAAATTTAACTGGCTATATTTGTCGACTACAAACAGTTGAATGTTTTATTTGCACTTTCCGCGTGATAATTTCACAGGATTTATTTAACTGGCTGCCTAGGTTTTTAACAGTAACACTTTCAGTTTGAATTCTGTTGTGCCAGGGATGACTCCCACCAGATCTGGATTTAAGTACCTTAACTGTTTTACAGATTAAAACTTGACAGCATAATGGCAGTTAGCAAGCCACCTTAATTTGGTGGTGATTTGGTGACAGGAACCTCATTTCCCCATATTTTAAATGTACGGTGACCAGAACAATATGTATGTCTGAAGTTAATGAGCAAAAAGTTTGGAACAGGAGCATTTTGTGATATAGACTGAAAATATTAATAGTACAATATACAACCATTTTTCCTGAATCTTCTACTTTGACCAGTATCCTCATCCACTACCAAAAGCATACAAAACTAATTGATCTCCTTTGAGTTGGTTGATGGATCACCCACATCTGCTTATGGGTTGTTGTGCTGTTCTGTCAGCTGACCAGCTCAGACAAGTTAGGTCATTCTGTGGACTCACCTTCCTTGCATAATGCATGACAGTGAAAGAGGGGCTCTGATCATTTGGTGCCGGGTTGCCATTCCCATCCTTTGTAGAGAGGTACACAGCATTCATGTTTGAGGTCTCCAGCTGGGACTGCAGCTTCTTGTACAGGTTTTGTTCGCCAGGGCGCAGTGCTTGACTCTCCTCATCCAACACTGACAACAGGCCATACGGCCGTTTCTGAAACCAAAAGCTGGAATCAGACACATCTGATCTTGGAAGACCTGTACTGCATGTCTATCTGCACATGTCAAAAGTATTCCACCCAGAAGGATGTGTGTGTGTGTGTGTGTGTGTGTGTGTGTGTGTGTGTGTCTTTTATTTTGAAACATACAATTGTGAGATAAAATGTTTAGATTTATCTTTTTAGTTTGCAAGGGTAAGCCCATCTCTATATACAAAAAATTAATCATAATAACACATAAACACGTAAATCATGAATTAGCAGAAAGACCCTTTGTGTTAGTAAAACCCAATGAAACTTGGAAAGTGGAGTGGGCAAGGCAAAACACCACTTCAGATGGGGTACAGTCCACAGACCAGTACACAGACACAAGAAAAATTTAGAGATACCAGTTAACGTACCCAACATGTCTGGATACTTTGAGTAAACCAAAGCACCTTTCAAACACATATATGAACACAGGATTGACATGCAAATGCCAGTCCAGAATCAAACTGAACACCCAAGAACTGTGTGGCAGCAGTAGTAATGCTCTAGATATCTGAGTGGGCCTGTTAGTTTCTGTACTCCTAAGGGTAATATTGTACGTATACGTAAAAACATTATAATGCAATGGAAAGAATAATATAAATTTAATATATCTGTCACATTCTGGTGAATAAAAAAAAAACTTTTGCCATCTGTTAAGAAGAAGAAATCGTTATTTTCTATTTAATTATTGATTTTAGCGAACTCAAACAAAGTTATGAAAAAATAACAAAACCTATGTTACAGTAATTTACAATTACAATTTTTAAATTGCAATTTTTTTTCTGGAGTGATTTCTTATAGTTCTGGAAATAATCATAGAAACTAGAGAAAGTGGATATATAATGAAAAATGTAAACATTGCCTACAGAATTTAAACTGTTGGGATTTATTTTTACAGTATGATTACTTTCAAAATAAATAAAAATATACTGCCTAACATCCATTTTGCAAGGGTAATTTAAAAACTGAAAAACAAACATTTGTAAATATATTAACTTTAGGAGAATGTGCAGACTTTGTCCCATAAAATCCTACTGAATGGAAAGCATTTGCAACTGAAAAGAAAGGAAAAAGACAAGTGTTCTGAAGTGCGTGATTCTAAAGCTTGTCATTTTCGTTTGGAAGCAGGAAACAGCAAATAAAGTATGCAAAGCCTGTCCTGCATTTCTTTATGAGACTTGCATCTTGTCAAAGAAGCCAAAAAGGATGATAGTTAAACCAAATATGCATCTTGTATCTTTGATCCCAATGCTGTGTTAAAAGAGTAAACAGAACTGTACTTTGCATTTTTTTTACCATCCACAAAATAGACATTTTAATAAGTACCTGAAAGAAAAAATCTAAGACAGCTGACTGGTTGCCTGGTGAATGTAGCGTTTCCATAGCGACTCCCTCCTGCATACATTCTGCCTGCTTGTGCTGAAAGAGCTCCTCCATAATGTACTGGTGAATCTTCTCATTAGTCATGTTGATGCACAGCTGGAGAATACATACCAAATACACAATTATATACACATGACAGACACGAGTTCTGATTAAAAGTACATTTCCAAGAGATCAGCTTCAATAGGTATCCTTTGTAAAAATCTGTTCTGTTACAGAGATCTTTAAACTGTTTACTACTGACATCTTTCCTTTGAATCACACAGTAGCTGTGCTTTACTTAATCTCTGCTGCATTTAACAGAGCTGAAATATGAAAAAAAATGTTACGAATATGTATATCTGCAGTGGTAATATACTGTAACATATGTTGTAGTTGATCTACAGTACTAGTTTATATTATTATGGTACAATGTTAGGGACTTTTTAAAGACAATATTTGCAATTGGAAACAATAGGATTTTATATATTTAACCCAAACACTTTTTTTCGGTATAGTTTCAAGGGGATAAACAAGAAATCCACAGAATTAACTATAAATGTTTGTTTTACATGTCCTAATCAAATGCATATAATGGACCACTCTCCTATCCCATCATTGTTGTTCAATTACTCAGTACTGAAGAACATAATATAAAGTACAAGACCTTACAAACACCAACCAGATAATTACATTGTTGTTGTTTTTTTCTATTACGACAGAAAGCTAAATTAAATTACAGAGATAACCTTTTTACAGTGCAGAAAAATATTTTTTGTAATAGACTACTTAATGGACATAATATGAGTAGGTTTTAAAGTCTGTAAAGAGATAACTTTAGGATTTCATGCCTCTTTATTTTGGCCAGCTCTACCTTACTGTGGAACTCTGTTTTCACTCGCTGGTGCATCTGCTAGATGTAAACAGCTGTTGCATCTTTATAAATATGAAATGAACCAGCAGGGATTCAAGACAGGGGGGTCCTGAATATTTTTATGAGACATTTCTTTGATTAGGAATGTCAATGGGATTTCACTTGAATGGAAGACCTTTATTGAAACCATACTGTATGAAGCAAACCTTTCAACCTATCCTTATGAGCTGCTGTATATAATTTATCGACCAATTGTACATTTGTAGTAAGCAATAATTCCTTAACTAGATGACAATCTACTTTTAACAAGTTACAAAAAGTCCTGTCAGAACAGTTAAAAATAGAAATATTGTCATCAGCTTTCTTTCCTTCAGAGACATATAACGATGGCAAAAGAGTTTTAAAGTTAGTTTATGCCTTCATTTAAATGCAATTAAATTATGCCAACCATTTATAGGTTGAGAGGCAAACCTTTACCTAGATGTACTGTAACATAATTGCAAAAAAGACAGATGAACAGGAAGGTAATATATTTGTATCAAATGTATGGTGATTTAAAGTAATTATCTCATAATGTTTTAATTGCTTTTTATTATTTATACAATATATTTATAATTGATCTAACTGATGCTTTTAAGTAAGGTTCTGGACATTGAAAACAAAGAGTAGAAACAAATGTAGGAAGACATAAACTAAAATAAATTAGTAAATTCAATAATTCAATATCATTGAAAAATACAAGGAATAGAAATTAAGTGAAATTATAAACTGTGCAATCTACATTAAACAAGAAAAATATGAATACAAAGTGAAAAATGTAACGCAAGCATTGAAAACTTGTACTGTCTGAACAGGGATATCATTCATACAGTGTGTATGCATGACATTTATTTGTATTATTCAGAGTAATTGAAAATGTATGGTGTATAGAATTAAGTTAATATGAAATTAAAAATAGTTAATAAAGAGTCTCATTAAAGCATGTTTTACTTATTAAAGAAGGCTAAATTATAACTATACAAACATTTATAAATATAAGACTGAATATGTAAATTTTATAGATAATTTGAGTGATAGCATTGCTTGCTTTTAATAATGTATTTAAAAGCGATGTCCTAATTTCTAAGCAAAAAGGATAGTATTGATGAACAACACTTGATTTTACTTGCTCATATCACAATATAAAGTACTGGAGCCATTAAATAATCCATTTGGAAAGCTCCAAGGTGTCCTAAAGAAATTCTTGGCAAAATACAGTAAAATGTATCTTATATTTTAATTTAACAACTACAGTACTTGTACACTAGCCAAACATCCCTATTTTATTACTCTAGACAATACACAAAATTGTAACAACTCCCCTTGACATGTTTATCCCACAGTTTCTCCTTGCTATTGGAATTTTTACATTGTTCAACATTGATCAATTTACTTACAGTGTACAAAAGTATTCACCCCATTTGAACTTTTTTGTTTGAATATTTGTGTGTTTCAATATGGACTCATAATGTATTTAACTTTTTACATTGATTGACAGACAACATTCTAAAATATCAAAGTGAAAGCAAAATTCTACAGATCCTCCTAAATTATTCATATAAAATTGGAAATAACTGAATATTCAGCAATATTCACCCCCTTTTGAGTCAATATTTGGTAGAGGCACTTTTGAGTGTTTTGGATAAGTTTCTACAGTACCAGCTTTGCACATTTGGACACTGCAATTTCTGCCCCTTCTTCTTTGCAAAATTGCTCCAACTCCCTCAGGTTGGATGGGAAAAGTTGATGAACAGCAATTTTTAACTCCTGCCACATATTCTTAAACTACAGACTTAAAAAAAACAATGTATTTAAAAATATATATTTTCATAAAAAAGAAAATTAAAGCAAACTGCAAAAACACACTATAATCTAGTAAAGGCATATTTTTAAGTTAGTCTGTAATGGATTTTTGCAGGGAGTACCACAGATGTATTACAGGAACACAAGGAGGTTTTATTGCTCAGTGGAGTCTAGTCTTCTGCAGAGTATATTTGCCTGAATCAGCAGATCTTAGATTAAGGGTTGGACAATACTCAGGCAATAAATTGTTAAGACAGCTCAATGAGATGTTCAGATCAATTGGTTACTAGCACCCAAATAACTAAATGGCCAGACTAGCTTCGTCTAGTTTATAACTTTTCTGATATATCTACAGGTATTTTAGATAACTTGGAGCTAGAACATTAAGTGTCTTATTCAGTATGCGAGCAGAATATTATAGATTTCAAAAGGATCCATTGCAGTTTGCAGAGGATGAATTATACATTGATGCAGAGTAGGTTTAAAGAGGCACAACATTCTGGACTTCAATTATGAATAACTACTATATGATTGTGTTTGATGTTTTGTGACTTTACTTTTTAATTCTTGTTTATTTCAGGCAACACAAAACTACAGGTATTTGGACAAAAATGGAAGTCAAATATAAAATGCACCCAAGACAATACAATATAAGAGTATTAGGATACGAATTTCTTGAAACAATATCAGGTGAATCCAGATTTTACATATTTTTGTGTCAGGTCAGTTATGTTTCTAGAAAGGTTCTCTGCCCCATACTTAAATGTGCTGGGTCTTGGTGACAAATACTGAAAAGCTATGGATCACCATAGAATTACATGTTCAGAGCACTATAGAAACCACAATTATATAGTCTGTATTGCTAAGAAAGTACAAACAGATGTAAATGCTACTAAAGGAATCTCAGCAGGGAAGGGTTATGGTTTAGAAAAATAAAAAGTAAATGACAAATTAAGATGTCTTGAAAATACAATTATATGCTCTGAAGTTGTTCTGTGTGTATTTAAACATAATGGAAAGCAAATGGAGCAGTCAATCTAATGCACCCCCTCTACAAATGTCACCATTTTAAAAGAAAACTAGAGTTAAGAAAAGAAAAGATTGACTTGAAAAGTATGCAATAAGCTCTCTTGTATTTGAATCAAAGTGAAAACCTCTAAGTCTCAAAGAGAGAATATCATGAGGGGATTTTACTCAAACTCTAAGATTTTGACAAAGTCAACCCAGTTCACTTCATCACAGTTAAGGATGCCACACAACCTAACTACAAATTAAAGGTCACAAATGAAAACTAAGGAGAAGCACATTTAAAACACGGAACAGGGGGCATTTCATCATACAAAGGGTTGTAGGAGTACGGAACAAGCCATGCTGTTGCAGCTGATACCATTGGCTTCAGTACAATGGCAGGATGAGGTCCTGGGAGCAATTACAGTAGATACTTAAAATCAAATAAACAAGATGGGCTTAATGGCCTTCATTAGCCATTCATTTTCTATGCACTTTTTTCCAGGGCAGGGTCGCAGGGGAGCTAGAGCCTATTCCGGCAAACAACTGGCACAAGGCAGGGCACGCTCTGGTTAGATGCCAGTCCATCACAAGGAAGGCACACCCAGACACGAACACACTCCCAGCAGGGCCACATTTCTCAGAAGCTAATTCATCTACCTGTATGTCTTTGGACTGTGGGAGAAGACCAGAGCACCCGGTGGTAACCCGCATGAACACATGCTGAAGATACAGTACAAACTCCATGCAACTATGGGGATTGAACACAGGGGCATAGATCTGTGAGACAGGAATTCTCCTCTGTCCCACTTTGACACACTAATGGTCTCCGCATGAGAGAATTTTCAAATGACCTTATGGTTTGATTTCAATATACACCCACCTAATATCTCAAAGCAATCAATGCCAGAATGCCTTTCCAACTTTTGCAACTTATCTTCAGATAAAAAATCCAAAAAGGAGGACATTCAAGGCAGAGAGAAAATGGAGGAAATGCTTTGCAAAGCACCGTACTGTATATACTAGGAAAAATATTCAGATCCGTGCACAATTTCCACATTTTGTTGCTTTAAAAGGTGAGTAATGACACTTTGTAGTATAAATTGATGTTATGTGTACACAACCTAGTACACACATTCAAAGCCCAAATCAAAAAGTAAGAAGTGAATCTATAATTACCAAGAAAGAAAAAAAAAACATCTCATACCTTAAGCGATACTGCAAACATTTGGCCAGACAAATTTGAAACTTTTTGGTTTAAAAAACTGACACAAAGCCAATTTAGTGCATCACTCAGTCAACAACATACTGTATCTATTGTCAAACATGGTGGTGGCAGCATTATGTATATCTCTGCATCTCAATCAGCAGGGACTGGAAAGTTTGTTAAAGCTGATGGAAACATAGATGGGGTTTTAAAACTGGGATAGAAATTCACTTTGCATAAGACCAGTGATTTAAGGCATAAGACCAATGTTACAATGGACTGGCATAAGAATAGGAAATACAGGTTCTAATGTAGCCTGACTTGAATCCTATTGAGAGTGTGTAGAAAACTGGTGTAAAGAAGCGATCACCAACCAAACTACAGTAAGTGTGCTTGAGCAAGAAGTGCCAAACAGAATGGACAAAACTTTCACTAAGTTAGTGTTCAAAGTTGATAGTCTTACCCAAAAAGGCTTTGACACCAAAATTTAAATAGAAATATAGAAAGTCACCACCCCTTTTCAAACTATTCAACTTTTGTTGAAATAAAATATACTTTTTCCAGTTTTATTTACAAATTGTACCTGGCAAAATCCAAGTGAAAAAAGAAAGCACAGTTTCTGAAAAACAAACAAAAAACATAGAATAATTGGGTTGGACAAGAGAACACCCCCCTGAGTTAATACTTGGTGGAAGCACCTTTTGCTTGAATTACAGTCTTGAGTCTGTTTGGATACATCTCTACCAATTTTGCACACCTAGAGGGAGGAATATTTGCCCATTTCTCTTTACAGAATTGTTTAAGCTCAGTCAAACTGCGTGGTGACCGTCGATGGACTGCCCTCTTCAAAGATTTTCAATGGGATTTAGGTCAGGGCTCTAATTAGGCCACTCAAGGACATTCGCCTTCCTGTCCCTCAGCCACTGTACGGTTGCTTTGGCGGTGTGCTTCTGGTCACTGTCATATTGACAGGTGAACCATCCTCCCATTTTCAACTTTCTGGCTGAGTGCTGCAGGTTTTCTTCAAGAATTTGCCTGTATTCTGGACCACCCATCTTCCCTTCTATCCTGACAAGTACCCCAGTTCCAGCTGAAGAGAAACACCCCCACAACAGGATGCTGCCACCACCGTGCTTCACTGTAGGAATGGTGTTCTTTGGATGGTAAGATGTATTGGCTTTTCACCAGGCGTACCGTTTTGCATTCTGGCCCAAAAGTTTGATTTTGGTCTTATCTGACCACAGCACCTTTTGCCACTTGGTCACATAACCTTTAAGGTGCTTTTTGGCAAAATATAAACAAGACTTGATACATACCAGACTCTCATACAGGCCAGATTTGTGGAGCGCTTGTGATATTGTTGTGACATGCACACAATGACCAGTCTTTGCCATAAAGTCCTGTAGCTCATTGCCATCTGCCTCTTGTTAGCCTCTCTGATCAGTCATCCAGTTTTTTTTTGCTCAGTCATCCAGTTTGGAGGGACAGACTGATCTAGACAAGGGCTGGGTGGTGCCATAAGCCTTCCACGTTTTAATGATGGTCTTGACTGTGCTCCATGGGATACTTAAAGCCTTTGAAATCTTTTTATATGCATCTCTTTACTTGTTCCTTTCCACAACTTTATCTTGAAGTTCTTTTGAAAACACCTTTCCACCCATAGTGGATTCTTTGCTTTGAAAAGTACTTCCAAGCAGTGGAATCCTCTAGAAACAGCTGCTTTTATTCTGAACTAATTTAAATCACCACAACTGATCACAGGTGGAAGCCAATTAGTTTGTTGTGTGATCTGCATGGTGATTGGTTATACCTGAGCAAGTTTACAAATGCAAGTGGAAGGGCGGTGTTCACTTTTCCAAATAAGGTATTTTACTGTTGTAGTATTAATTCATTTTCAGAATGTTTTAGAATTTCACTTGGCTAATGTGGGTTACTCTGTGTAAATAAAAATGGAACAAACATAATTTAATTTGTACAATCAAAATAGGGCCAGTGTCTACTGTATGTATGTCATATCTGACTTGTTTTGTGGGATATAAAATAAGGAAATGTTTTTAGAATTGTGAATTCTTTTTTCTGTCTTCTAAATTGTAGTTTCTTTAATGCATTAAATGTAAACATCCAAGAACAGTAGCTGTTGGTTATTACAACCTAATTATCGCACAGTGATTATTATGTTTTGAAGGAATAACCTGGTAAACAATCTGATGACAAGAGCTACAAATTATAACTACAATCAATCAGTTTCAGTACTATAGAAACTCAATATAATTGTAGATGTGAGTTTGTGTAATGCAAACGAAGTGCAAAATATCTCGTACAATACAGACCATAAACAAACCTGATACTTGGAATTAGATATTTTCTGATTTATCATCCATTCTATACGAGTATGTTCAGGAAACTTTTTTAATTAGATACCTGTTCAAAAGAGTTCTTCTGGAAGTCTTCAAATCCAAAGATGTCCAATATTCCAATTTCAATAACAGAATCTCTAAAGAAGAAAGAGGTATGGATAAAATAAACAATGAAATGTGCATATAACAAGATTTTTTGTCCCACGTATCGTTAAGGCCAAAACCACAATCAAATGAATTCAAGTTCTAAAATAAAGCCATATTATACTGTAAGACCAACATTATATCAACATGAATTGAACCACATGAAGCAGATATCTTCTTTCTCTTGCAGGTGTTGAAAGGTTAGTAAAGAAATCTAATAGGAGTGAAGCAGATGAGACTTCATAAGAAAATATAAAAAGCAGTAACGGGATTCCAAAAATATAGCCATTTTTGTTCACTGTCGTCTTTTAATCTCAGAAATAAAAGAACAAAATAGATACCAAAATATATATTTTTTCGGTTTATTTCAAGACTCTTGTTAGATGGCTTAATGCCATGATAGATAACATCACATATGTATCACCTAGAATTAGTCCCTATGTAGTAAATCAATTGTAATTATCTGTGGCTTGTATTGGAAAAAAAAAGACGAGACCTATGATTGTTAAACAAAACAACATGGTTTCTTTTACAATATATTGATTGGACATCATCATGGTCAAAGAGGTAATGAATAATTTGACTTGAAGCTATCATTTGGTTTTCTTTAAATATTTTTATTGATCTGAATCCCTTGCTTGTGCATGTAGCTAATGATACACTGTTTTTGCTGTTTAAAATGTCCTGCTTTTCAAACATGATATGCAAATCAAAGGTTGCCTACAATTTCGGTTGAATAATTCCTCTGGCATTTTTTCATTCTTTCACATTCTTTTGAACTTTTTAAATAATACACATCATGTAAGAAACAAAAACAAATGTCAGGATTGGGGGCACTTCTGAAATGTAAATAGTTTCATCAAAGCATTTAAAGTTTTCATTCAAGAACCAAAGATAAAATTATTACGTTAGCTAAGATGTGATTTACAGGGTACTCCTGAAAGAATGTTAATCTGTGGTTTTAACATGCTTTGTTGTATTACATGTTACAAGCAAAATAAGAATGCTGTATTTTGTGGGAACATGCGTATGAAGACAGATGGTACCAAAACTGCAAACATTACAAATGTCAGCGGTGCAGCTCATGGTCCTTGGTAATACTAATACTAACACACTATTAAGGCAGGCACATTCAGAAATGATAAGTGTATTATATACTGTCCTACCTAAATATTCGAAAATAACACCCATAGCAGGTCAGTCCATCTTCAGTGGTGCCAACAGAGACACATTGAAGTCCATACAGATATACATATTAGACTACTCTACTTACTGTACATCTGCAACTGCATCTGATGCGATGTTCAGAAACATATCACATGTTTTTAATTGGTTTTAGTTCCAGACAGCAGACATTCTTGAAGCTGTCTGATTTGGCAATTATGCCAAGTCTAATGTTCAGTGTGCCATTAAGCACATATTGAAAAATCATGCTACTTTTGAAGCCACATACTGTACATCAGCTTGCTTTGCCATAGCAAGACACTATTAAGCAGTATAATAAAAACAATTCCTTACACTTATATATCTTGTTTCTGGACACTCCACTCAAAGCACTGATAATGGGGACTCCCCTCCACCACCAATGTACAGCCCCACCTGGATAATGCAATGGCAGCCAGAGAGCACCGGTACACTCACTACACACCAGCTCTCAATGGAGTGCAGAACAGAGTGATGAAGCCATTCATAGATGGGGATATTTAGGAAGCCATGATTGGTAAAGGCCAGGGAGATATTTGGCCAGGTTAACACCACTACTCTTTTCGTAAAACACCTTCGAATTTGTCCATGGAGAGTCAGGACCTTGGTTTTGCATCTCATCTGAAGGAATTATACCGGGGCGTTTGGATCCATACAGACCATAGGGTGAGCACTCCCTACCACGGGGTCCCTAACTCCCCTTCCAGCAGCAACCTTAGCTTTCTGAGGAGGTCTCTCACCCAGGTACAGGTCAGGCTCACACCTGCTTAGCTTCAGTAGGTTGCCACTTGTTAGTTGCTGGGTTATATACTGTACTTTATAGTAGCTGCTGGCTGCTATTGCAGCTAATATAGTTAATATATCTAATACCAGCTTCAGTATAGCTAATAGTATTTCATACCTACATTAAAAAGGCAGTTGGAAAATATCTCAAAACAATCAAATATAATGAAAGGCGCAAAACTTTTGAAATCAGTGCTACAATATTTATGCCAGACTTTACCGAGTTCAGTTTAGATTTAACAACCGCCTTTTACATCAGTATAATGGAGAAGAATATTAACTAAGTTTAGCATTGACAAAATGTCACCTAGACCTCTACTTGTTAAATTAAGTCAATATATCTGAATTTGCCTGCAGCTTTAAAAGATTATCAGGTTTAAGACTGAATTACTAAGGCTCTGCCAGCTAGCCGTTGAACAAACACATTAAAAGTCATAAATAAAACAGATTGCTTACAATTAATTCACTTTAAGCATTACACAGTAGAGTGTTCACAGTTACTGTGCGCATTAATTATTATTCATAAAACAAACAATCCTAAAGAAAGGTGATGTGGCAAATTTTAGACAGTGTGTAAGGTGTCTGACCTGCAAGATGGGTGTTATTTTGTGATCAAGCTTAATTAATTATAAATATTATGGTTACACTTCTGGCCTACAATATTTGTGACATTCTTAGTCAGCATCCTTATATACTATACTACTTGGTGTAGATTGGCCCTTATATACAACTGCAGTTATTGTTCTGTTGCTCAAAACCTGGTCATGCCTGGTAGCATAGTGGTTATCATTATTGTCTCACATCATTTAAACTCTTCTGTTTGATTCCACGGTTTGATTGGCTGCTTTTCTATGTGGAATTAGTTTCTTAATTCCAATTGCTCCCTGTGTGTTAGGGTAGGTTTTTGCTCTGGTTTCCTGCCACCAAAGACATGCAGAATGGGTTTGACCGGCTGCTCTGAAATAGTCCCCTACTGTTAGAGTTTCAACAGATTATCATACTTTGTGTGTTCTTTGTACAAATAGTTTTAAAGTAGCTACTGTATGTTACTAGAGAGAAATACAACCAAATACACTTGATGAGCCACATGATAATAAGACAGTTGCAGATGCATTTCAAGTTAAGTCTGATGGTTTGTGTGACAATAGCTGTATAGAGGTCACATGTAAACATTATGGATGAAGAGTTTGTCTAATGGTAAAACAAAGTATTGGTGAAACACTACTGTTGTCAGAGAGGGTGTGTGTACCACTGACATTGAACTGCTTAGATTGTCTCTGTGTTCCTTCTGTCTCCCTCCAGAGTTTTTCTAGGTTCTCATACACTCACTTTGAGAATTTATTTTGGTAATTGAGGTTTAGAAACATCTTGACCACACAAAGTCATATGTTATTTCTTCCTCTGCCTTTTAACCTCATTCAGCTACTCTCACTGGCACAGAAACTCTCAGAAGAATTTCAAATTCAATTATAACGTGATTAGATGAGTTTTAGATTTCAAATTTGTCTCAACAGGTTAAAGTAGGGATACAGCTATCTAATATACATTGCAATTCTGTTGGGTCACCACAGGGCTGTGTCTTGTCCCCTTTATTGTATACTTTGTAGATTAATGATTGTAAAAGCCAACACACAAATTATTAACACTGTGAATGGCAAAACAACAAGAAGCCCAGAATACCTTCACTGACCCATTCTAAATGGTTTTATTGAGTAGTGTAATGAGTCGTCATTAGAATAAAATATTTTGAAAACAACATAATTTATTTTAGGGCAAATAAAACCATTTATTAAAAGCCCAAAAGAAACATTTTTTTCTTAGGAAGCCTACTGTAGCTGCATTGAGAGGGACTAAAGATTTTAATACATTTCTATAAATCTTTTACTGAAAGTGTCTTAGCATATTAAATACTACAAAATTACACAACAAGAGTATTTGCGGTTATCAGGATAATTAGGTATTATTCACAAAACAAAGAATCCTGTAAAAAAGAGGGCCTGCAGTTTAGAAGACTGTTGGCTTGGTGAGAACAATTGTCATAGGGTGACTAAAATAGTGAACATAGGTAACAAAACCATTGGGGTAAATCAGATCATCTCGAAATGTAATGTAACTCTACAAATGTTCTAAAGAAGACCAACAGCATCATGCAGTGTGTGGCACACCCCCTCCACTGTGAATTTGCATCTAGGAAATGCTGCTCTGTCCCAAGGTGATAGAGTAACAGATACAGGAAATCTTTTAACCCCCTTCAATTTCACTTTTCAATAACGTAAATGTTTATTGATTTTATTTTATTATAGTTTTTACAGGACATGTAACTGAAGTATTATTTTCCTGACCACATCATTGACCATATCATTGATGATGGCTGTTATGTTATATTGTTGTGTTGAACACACAATACATTTGATCTTATTTATGTTGTATTTTATATTATTATTCCTAGTGGATAATAGTAACAAAAATAGTAACAAACACATTTAATATATTTAAACACATTTAAATATAAAAGACAAATCATAGAAACTTATGATACCCTATCATCCCATTAAATAAGATCACAGGGCAACTCTCAGGTCAGCAGCCATAGGAGGAGAGACCTCCTGGAAAAAACTAAGGTTGCTGCTGGAAGAGGTGTTAGTGGGGCCAGCAGGGGGCGCTCACTCTGCGGTCTATGTGGGTCCTAATGCCCCAGTATAGTGACGGGGACATCCTTCGGATGAGACGTAAAACCGAGGTCCTGACTCTCTGTGTTCATTAAGAATCCCAGGGCGTCTCTCAAAAAGAGTAGGGGTGTAACCAAGGCGTCCTGGCCAAATTTCCCATTGGCCCTTACCAATCATGGCCTCCTAATAACCCCCCTCTATGAATTAACTACATTACTCTGCTCTCCTCCCCACTGATACAGTAGCTGATGTGTGGTGAGCGTTCTGGCGCACTATGGCTGCTGTCGCATCATCCAGGTGGGGCTGCACATTGATGATGGTGGAGGGGATTCCCATTACCTGTACAGCGGTTTGAGTGGAGTGTCCAGAAAAGCGCCATATAAGTGTAAGCAATTATTATTATTATTAACTCAGCAAGTTCTATTTGTAGTTGGCTCAGTGTTTCAAATCCTTAACAGCTTTATATGCGTGTAGTAATAGATTAAAATCTAAGTTTGGACAACATATGAAACCAGGTAAAATAATAATATGTAGCTGCATCTATTTACTGTCAAGAATTCCCCATTGTTTGTAAAAGAAATGTTCTTTCAACTTTGAAGACCCCACAGATTCCCTCTAATCACCTTTTTAATGAGAAGTGTCAAATGTGTAGGCTCCAGTTTTTAACTGGGACTAATATATTACAAGGGAGACAAGTTTTCCAATTCATTATCATGTTTTTCTTACCCATTGCTGTCTTCATGTCCCTGAAGGTAAGAGTTGATGCTATTCACTAAAAAGCTGAAGAGACGGCTATACAAAGACTTTGCAAGAAGATCCCTGTAATGATTTGCCATTTCAACTGTATGTCTTCTCATAATTACGTCACCTATAATAGATAAAAGAATATCAAATTTAGAACATCATACTTTTCATACCATGCACTTTTTTGAAGCAGCTGACAAGGTACAAGTTGAGAAAAATCTTGAATTTTGACCACAAAGAGCACGTCTTGTGTTTATCTTTAAACTGATAGAACTGACAAAGGAAAATGTTGTTAATGCTAAACTGGATGTACAGCAATTCTTATTTCTTCTTAAAAGCACAAGAAATCTCAGATTACTCTAAAAGTGTGAACTCTGGTATAGAAAAATATTTTTTTCCCCCCATTTTCACAGAATACACCCTTTCCATATATTATTTATTATCCTTTAAATGGTTGCTTACCACATAACTAGGGAAACAGTATGCTTATCTAATCACATTCAGTAGAATTATATAAAAAAAATCTATAACAGTAGACAGACCATGTGTGCAACAAAAATATATGCACAACTATATGGTATATAAGCTGTGGGTGAAGATAGGACCAAAAATTATTCAACTATTTACAAATCCTGAGTTTCCACTTGGGTAACAAGAAATGATAGCTTGCTAGCTTGTTCCTAAGGGATTGTCATGTAAACAGAGAGATATAGCTTTTCAGCTCCATGCTTGGTCTCTGCCTTAAACAACAGTTGACACAAGTGAATTTCCAGATCGGTATCCATGTGGCAGAAACACCTCTGACTTTGCCTGGCAGATTACTCTGATTCCATGGCTCTGTCAAGTGAATGTCATGAGCTGTACTAACGTCACAGTCAACAGCTACATGTCCCTTCTCAGCAACAGTATTTACCAGCTGAGATGAAATGTGATTAAATGATGCTGAGTTTCTAATTTTAGACAAAAGGTCACTTTGCTTGTGTCGGTGTTGACTGAAAAACCCCAGTGAACTAGGTTAACAAATATTTATTTCAATGCCATTACACATTTCTCCAACAATAGCTATTTATCTTAACTTAAAGAAATTTACAAGTAAAAGTCTCATATTCAGTTATGATCTAGTTTTTTCAATGCATGCTAGAAATTACATTTAGTCTTCAACCCAAAATGCTGAAATTAAATTACTTTCATTGTTAAATAGCATGTCTCCAATTAGGAAAAGTGGAATTCATTGAGGGACCCATCTTAAAAAATTAGCTGAACCGTAAAATTGCTAAATTAAAATACTTTGTAATGAAGACTTACCTTTAAAGTACTGCACATCAGATGTCAGTGCAGATCCAAGTTCATCAGATGCAATTTGTAGCATGCCAGCAACTACAAAAATAATGTTTTATTAATATTTCCCAGGAAAAAGAAAAAACTTAATGTAAACTATGTTAACCAAAGTCTTCATTTTCATGAGATTTATTAAATCAGTTTGCCCGTTGTGCGACAGTATTACTGTGATTAAATCAATTAAAAACTACAAATGCTCAGCTACAACCACAAATGCATTACAAAAGTCTTTTAAAAAGGACTAACTGAAAACTTTGACTCCAACATTGATCACCCTTGCATTTTTGACAATACAAACATATTAATGATGAAACTGAAAAAAAATAGTTTTACACCGACAGTAACCACCCAAAAAAATGAAAATAGTTTTGCTGCAGTGGATACATCAAAGAAATAAACAAATGCAAAGGATTTTATTTTTCATTTTTCTTCTCACATTTTAAAGGTACTTCTTATGAAGAGCAACCTCTACCCTTGCATAGAAAGTTCTCCCCCTTCTGGAGTAACTTGATAATGGCAGTGAGCCAGGAGGTCACACATCACTGACCTTGTTCCAGCAACTGCTGTTCTGACACAAGTGCTGTCTCAGCGTCTGTCAGAGCCGTGAACTGAATGTCTCCAAGGTGTAGGATCGCAGAAAGAATCACAAACATGTTTTCCACCTCCTTTAAAACAACAATAAGCATAAATGAATAAATAATAAATGCAAAAGCACTTAACAAAAATGCAAAGAAGGACAGATTTTAATTTTTGACAGACCAATCATCTAAAAACTTATAAAATCCTTCTTTAATTAAGAAGATGAAAGAATTGAGCTCTTGACTACAGTACATCACTTCTCACTTGGTCTTAAACACAGCAGGCTTAACACATTATTGCTAGCTTAAGGTTAAAGGCCTCCTATTTGATTCTCCAGGACTCTGTTAATTACACTGTTGTATCAGATTTATTTAGCACTCAGAGGCCTGAACTTCTTATTGGTTCTAGCACATTGTAGACATAAATGAGTAGATAAATTAATAAACAATATAGTTTTTATTTATTATCTCTCTTTATAATTGTTTTCCTAAGAATGCTTCTAATTCTGTCCTTTTTGTGTACAAAACCCTTTCTGTAAAACATGTGACTTAATACACTTAACATATAGATATGCAGTGAAGTAAAATCACTCTAAAATGGATCATGATTCATAACTTCTTAAAATAAGTTTCAAAATATAGGGACAGAGAATTATACTCTTAAAACAAAGAAAGTCCATATCTAGAATAGATAATGGAATCAGTAGTGAATGGATAGTAACAGTTTGAGGAGATTTTGCTTGAAGCACTCAATGGGTTCATCCCAAGACTAAGGAAATCAAAAGCCAGGAAGCAGGGGCCCAAATGGTTTATAAAATCAATTAGAAAAAATAAAAGGAGTAAAAAAGAACAATGTCCAGTTAAGGAAATGGAGATTAATGAACTGCAAGCAAAGGTAAAAGTATATTGGAAAGGCAAGGGCAAAACAGAAAAGAATATTGCTGTGTGGGCTAATATACAGTACAAGACATTTCTTTTAGTATTATACCAGGAAAGGATGAAATTTCTCAGAGATAACTACAACCTTCCAGACAATGAAAGACAATAAGCTGATAAATTAAATGAATATTTCATTCAAGAAAATGACAAAATGCCTCAGGTGGAAAACCGAGAACTTTCAATATAAATAGTGCTTGGATAGAGTAGGCAATAGTAAATACAGGTACTAAATCACAAATCTTCCAGGTGTGATGGTATTCAATCAGTTCTGCTTTAAGAATTCAGAGGTATTTTTTAAAAGCTGTTAGCAAAACTCTCTCCACTGTCACTCTAGACAGGGGAAATACCCATAGACTGGAAAACTGCTAAACCACCATCCATCCATAACAAGGGTGATAAATTGATTGCAGTAAATACAGACAAATAACCCTTACTTTTAATAGGTTATATAAACAGCAATTAGAACTAAAATAGATGTTAATTTCTCCGACAATAGCATTATTATAGGATATCCTTCAATGATTTAGAAGATTTTGAATGCTTTGCTTACATAATGTGTTAACGTTCTATGAATAAGCTGTGGCAGTAATTGACACAAAATATAATATATGTAGATTTTTAAAAAAATTTAAAATAAAAATAAATAAAGATGAACCTAAATGTATAAAAATGTGGTAAATAACTCTAGCTTGGAACAAAGAAGGTTAACCGTACTCATCCTTTAAAACACATGCAGATTTATAGCAATAGTAATAGAGGTTCAAATTACACATCAATATTTCAATATACAATCTCAATTTCAGGAGGTAAATTCATAGGGATCATATTTATTACAAAATCAATTAAAATATCAACTATGAGAAGTCTGGCAACAGCTGTAATTGAATTGAGCAATTACATTAAAAGATTGTAACATGCTGAGTACCATAGAAACAGGCTGCCCCCTACTGGCTGCACATTCCCATCTTTTCACTGTCAGCTACCATGTGTTAAACAAACCAAGGAACTGGAAATCAGGAAATCAGAGAAAAAAATCCATATCTGACAAACAGAGAGTGTTATTTCCTTGGACAGTATTTTGGCTAAAATAAAGTTAAAGCAAAACAGTAATTGATGCTTCCCAAGGGAACAATTAGTTTTTTTTAAACTTAGTGCTCCAAACTTCACAGGAACATCATTGTGTTCTACAGAAAAACAGCCTATTACTGTACACAAGTTTCAAAATAGGCTGGATCACATACAGCTGGCAAAACAGTACAATAGTATGATGTCTTGTCTCAGGGGTTTCTCTCTGTATTGCTTTTGGATATCCCCAGTGTGTTTACCGTAGACGAGTTACCTAACAATTAAACAGACTGGATAGGGCACTCACCAGATGCTATACCAATAGTGGGCTACTCCATAAAAATGTTCACATTATGGTTTTTCATCTGACATTGATTAAAACCAGACAGCAAAGGAAGTTAAAGCTAACCCACAAGAAGCTCTGTAATTTTAGACAGCAATAGTTTACCATTCTCTTCTGGTTATCCACAACCTTTTCATTAATTCAAAGCATTTGGTAGTTGAAACTAACTGGGTTGAAAGTATTATTTATATACGGAACAATGATCAAATCCATTACTTTTTTTTTACACAAGCTGTGTGAAAACTAATTTGATTTAAAAAGGTAGAAGGCAAGTAATCACCTGTGGGTCATGGTGTAAAAAGAGATGCATATCAGGAGGGTTTAGAAATTGTGTGAGGAAGGGGAACATTCATTTCTTACATCTGTTACTGTGTCAGGAATGTAAAATATTTTCAAATTTGTCATCATTCAACCTGTCTCCACTGTTAGTACGATGAATTCAGAAGTGTTCTACACAGATAACTCAGAAAATATTACACTGTTAAATTTCTGAAGGCTGAGCAGTTAAAACCCAGTACAGAAAATATTAACTGAGAAATCTGAATGAAGTTGTCTGGAGCAAGACATCGAAATATAAGTATTTTGGTTCATTTTTCTCTTTTGGACACATCTATGGTAATGGTAAATAAAACATAATGTCATACATATCCATTAAAACAACTGTAAATATAAATATAAATATAAATATAAATATAAATAAAGATGGTGAATGGTCAATTCCATTATTTTAAACATGATTGTTAAGCAGGTTTTATTAAGCAATTGGCAACGATTCACCGAGATAAGATTGGCACTACTCTGTTATCTGCAATACACATTCTGAACAGAGCATGAGATTATATAAATAAATTGTAAGTGCTGTATGTCATTTTATCTTGTTAAATATCAAAATGTTGTACTTGAATCTTCCGACCCTTTTGACTTATGTTTCTGTTACAAAATGTAGATTGTTTCTTAAAAATAAAAACAGGCTGCTTTGGTCAGATTAAAATTGAGGTACTGGAACCAAAGGGTCTGTGCATTCCTTCCCTAACATAGGCCACATTCTCTCTTGGTTTTCAAATATATCCTTGGTGCCATCACAGAGAATGATAGCCTCCATTCACTGAAATACCTTTTGTTATCATGAGGATGAAGTATGCAAGAAATATCCCATCAAGAAAGTTACTCTACCAGACAAATGATTATATAATACCTTAAGAAATAATTAATTATTTAGGGTTAGATCATTTTAGACTTTCTGTTTTATCTATCAGAGAAGGTTTATCCAGTGCCATTCATAAATATGTAGTAAGCACTGTGATACTTTTATAATAAAAGAAATACTCACTACATGCCTTACTCTAACCATCACCAAGTGGCTATTTTAAAATGATGAAGCAATCTGAACATGAGTCTTTTGCAGAAACATTTTAACATCTCAAGCTGTTCCCAGGGAAATAACATGAAATAAATGGGATGCAGCCACTAGTGGTGATGAAGGCAGGCAGTGATCTACTGATTCAAGCATCTGGCTACCAGGGTGGGGGTGGGGAACAGTCAGCGGGTGGGGGGATGGATAATCGTCCACAGACATAGAAAACATGTTTGTAAAGAAACAGGACATATTGATCCGGAATTGTAATCTGTGTTTTCAGTGGCTCAGGCAAACATTACAGGACAATAAAATTGGTATTAACCACTTTAATCAGATAAGGGACTGCCAAATACACTAATATATAACATGCTGTGATACCACACTGAATGCGGTTATTAACTGGATAATGCGTACGTACACCCAGATTAGAGAGCAGAGGAGTACAGATGAGCCCTGAGCACCCATATGCTCTCTCTCCAGCCTGTGCATCCTGACATAAGAGGAACTGCAATAATAAGCAGGCATATTATTATTATTATTATTATTATTATTATTATTATTATTATTATTATTATTTATCATACTGAAAACACTTCCAATTTGAACAGAATGTGTAATATGATGTAGTTTGTCTGGTCTCTGATTGCAGGATTTGAAAAAAAACATACTTAATATGTACAATGCTTTGAAAAATGTAGTTCTAGCAACATCGGTTTAGTATAAGGATATTTTCTGCTTTTAAATAAAAAAAAGACATTTACTGTCCTTCACAGAAATATAACATTGCTGGATATTAACTCAGAGGTTAAACACACCTTGGCTCTTGGCATGTCTGAATAACATTACAATGTAAAAATGGCTGATTTAATCATTTTGTGTGATGCGGTCCTCTATAAGTAATAGCTAATAAAGGAAAGGATTAGCTTTTTCATTATTACTTGACTTACGTGGTTGTAATGCAGTAAGTAACATGCCTGTAATAAGGATTGTATCAGACACTCTTATCCAAAGCTGCATCAGCCTTAGAGCATCAGGACGAGCCATGAAGAGCCTAACCCAGCGGACACAGGGAAAAAGACAGGACGTCACCACGAACAGAGTGCTTGTCCTTTGCAGGGAAGACATACATACTGTAAATAGAGACACCGGTTCATCTACCCTGCTTGTCTTTGGAAAGTGGGAAAAAAACAGAGCTCCCAGAGAAAAAAAGTAAAACATATAAACTTCTTACAGAATACACCTCTGTGCAAAACTGAACCCAGGACCATGAGGTAACAGTACAAACCACCATGGTACCCTTGTTACATAATAGTATGTTAGAAAGTGGAAAGATATAAAAACTTTGTAGTGAAGATCTGGATCATCACAAATATAAAAAATGTTCAAGAATGTGTTTTTCCTGTGACTCAATTAAATCTGTAATATATCACATTTTTCCATACTGCCATTATTATTATTTGTTGTTGTAACAGTGCTGTCATTTAATAGTAGCAATAGTAGTAATAGTAATGGCATTTCAAATGAGACTTAAAATAGCCTGCTGTATGACTTAGTAAATTCTCAACTAAGGCAAGTTATAAAGGGAACCAAGTGTATTTTTTATGCTCTCAGATAATCTGTAAAAATATTGTCTTGCTCATACAGTCCTCAATAAAGCAGTGAGACCTGACAATGAAGTTTGCAACCAAGAAAAGCGATGCTGAAAGAGGGATGCTGAAGTAATCCTGAGTTTTGACTTTTGCTGTTTTGAAAAAGAAATTCACGATAATAGAAAAACCCCATGGCCTTTGCTGTATTAGACATAGGAAGTGCATATTCTGTACTTCAGTTGAATTGATGACCATGAGCTCAGTGTACTGCATTTTTGTATTCACAGATAATAAATGTGATCTTCCCACACTGGTGGGGTGTTTATTTCAAAGAAAATGCAGAACAATGAAGACTTTTAAACTCGTGTGACTGATGAACCTGTCTGGACAGGCTCTGCTCTTTGAATATCATGTTACAGCTAAAGAGAAGGATTAATCAGAGCACAAAAAAAAGCAGACAATGACTTGCTAATTGGAGTTGGAGCTCCTCTCCTGAACGTGAAGAGCATTAAATAAATAACCTCCAATGCACTCTCTATACGCACTGCAACTCACTACCATCAACTCCCGGAGAAGTGCTTAGACAGAAAACTTTTCACAGCTATAAAAGACTTACAACTACCATTAGCATTTTCCCAGTCAATAAAAATGTAAAACATATTTTTTTGGAATTCATAAATACACCAGCTCATTAAACTCATCCCATGTTTATGTACAGTATGAGCTTATTTTTTTGAAAAACATTTTTATTGACCCTACAGTAAATTAAATGTTGTTTTTTTTTCGAACAGCTGAAGTTTGGTTTTATAAAAGTGCTCCTGTGCTGGTTTTCTCCACAATAAACAGTAGCTTTACTTTGATATGGATCTGTGGCAGCAAGTGAATGAGGACTTGTTTTCAAGGCAATAAAATACTGACGTAAAGTGCTGAGAACAGGCTTTTCACAGAACATACCAGGTTGTTGAAACCCAAGGCCCTGAGGGCTTGTTTTAGGGCAGCACATTTTTCTCTATTCTGCACGTTTGTTGTTGCCGCAGTGTCTTCTAGTACATTTTGGTTCAAGTACCTGTAACAAACAAAGATGGAGTTACTGTAGTAGCTGGAGCACACACTGGGCAAGAAGTATTTCTTTTTAGGCGTGCTAGTTAGACGAGTTTAATTGAACATGTTATTGGACATTTTTAGAACATTAGTAAACTTTTTTTGTGTAAAATGTCAGTGTCAAAAGTAGCTTTGATATTAGATATTATTTAAGTGACATTTTACATTAGTGGTGGTACTGAAAAGGCTTCCTCAAAAAAGGAAACTATCTATCATCTATCATCTATCAAAAAATAAATATAATATTTCCATTTAAGTTATTTAACCTGTTAAACAGTATTTATTCACTTGCCCAGACTACCTTAGAGAATATTTCAGAAAAATATTTTTTACTGCTTTATGTTTAAATAACTTTTGCTGAAAACAGCCATTGTCAAAACTTTTTCTTTTAACTTGATTCATTTCACATTAAACATGTTAAGTTCTCATCGCGGGGATTTTATGTTAAACCACCAGTGAGAGTTGTGTAGGATGAAGGGTTGCTAAATATACAAGCAAAATGTGACATTAAAAAGGGTATAAACCTTCCACATCAGTACATGGGAAATTTCAGCTAATATACAGATGTAAATACCATGCAAACATCTCTGGCAGTCATGTCAGGATAGTAGTGACAAAATTAGATTCACACAGACAATTATGGTCAGATGAAGGTCTGTAAACAGATAATATTGTTTCATTAAAATCTTCACATAAAAAAGGCTATCTCAGAAAACATAATTCTAGCTTTAGTTTCTATTTCCAGAATGATCTGCAAAGCAGACAGCTACTAGTTAAAAATTGTTTCCTTTCACTTTGCATATATGTGTCATATTGTACATTCATGACACATCAAGTACCGTACAAGCGTGTTTCCAAAAGACTGAATTATAATCTCATCTTCAGTAAATGTCTTCTTTTTATAGGGCTCATCATCGACTAGGGCTCTGTTTGCTGTGGCTTCTTCTCCAGTCACCAGTCAAAGTTTACTTCAAAGTCATAACTGATGCTTGCAAATTGTCTGCAGTTTTTAAGGTAAACTCTAATACAGTTCTCACTGAAGTGAAAACAAGCGTCTTTGTTAAATATACTGCTGGAACAAAACACATTGTTGTTAACAGTTTCCTGATGATGCAAGTACTATTTATTTTGTAGAACAAAAAATTTACTTCTTGTTCAGAAAACCTTTCATTGTATTCTTTCTTATTTCTTTAACATTCATGTAGTGTCTGTATAAACAATCATTAGAAATTTCAAAGTGTACCTGTGGGACAGCAGATTGCTGAAATAAGGTGCACTCTTCTCTTCAGGTGATAGTCCATCATTTATCAAATAAAATACATTGAAGTTTTGCTGCTGAGGTGGTTGGGAAACAATTCTTGACTTCTCCAAAACATATGTATAAACCTTGGCTAAAATTAAAATAAGAAATAAATAAAGGAGTAGAACTATCATGGAAACATGAGTCACAAAGTAGAAACCCTAGATAGAAATATAATATTATCTCTTTAAATATAATTGACAATATCTTTTAAACATGTGGATCAAATAACATAAACCATTATTAATTAATTTACCCTCAGATATCTTACCTGCTTATTACTGCATACACAATATACTATAGCTTTGGAAGTTACAGAATATGTGGTGTGGATTTTTTTAAAAGAGCTTTATCTCCCTCTTGTGGTCAGTGTTCATATTGTATTTATTTTCTGAAGAATTTAATTCAATGGCAAGCAATGAAAAAAAAGATTCAGACAAAGATTCATCCAAGCAACAAATAATGACCTCACTGAACAAGAAAAACGTTGTTAAAGATTTGCAATTTGCAACGCTATTCTTTGTGCATTGCTTGTTTGAAATTATGTGAATTGCTTTATGTGAGTATAAAATGTACTTAATATTGTACGTCTAATTTATTTTTTATTTATAGAGGTAGTTATTTCTTCATTTGTCTCTGAAATCATTTCTTAATTCTTAGTTTCTTGCTATGTACTTTGGCCAACTCTCTTCTTTGGCTTAAATGTCAATTTCCTACAGCAATCAATAGTGTTTTGAGGAGATGTTTCTTTAATATGGTCAGGTTGTGTAGATCAAATAAATCAGCACTATATCATGTCTTTTTTTTACATTCTTCAAAAAAGTATTTTGAAACAAAGACATAGGTATACAGTATATGTCTCTGCTTTCCACATACTTTTTAAAAGACTCTCAGATATTTGATTTAAAGTAAACAAATGTTTACATTTTAAATAAAGTGGAATTATTGTATTAAAAATACTCAACCTTATTAAAAACAAACCCTGATCAATATTAAAGTGTAAACAAGTAATATCAATTAACTGTCCACTGAAGACATACTAAAAGAATAAGCAATATGAAAATATAACAGCTTTAATAGCATATTAATAAGATATGCTACATCCAAAAACTTGAAACAAATGTGGATAAGCTTACCCCCAACTAAAGTTTTTTTCTTTTCACAGTACTGCAATGAAAGATACTTCATAAAACGACTGGAACTCTCATTAAGTTTTGTCTTAGCATGACCAAAGCTTTCAAGGATGCAGTTTACCTGGTATGACAAAAGAAAGAAGACAAGCATTGCATTTAAATATATAACCTATGGTTCAAGAACTTTGTAAACATTTAACTTTAATGTTTTAAATATAGTGGAATTATGAATGACGTTTCTAAGATTTATGCACTCCGTTATAGATAGATATACAGTACAGTATATCTATCTATATATCAGTATATAAATATTATTCATAGTACGATGCTTATGACTTTTAAATTACATAATGGTGTACTCACTACCCCTGATTCTTTACTTATGCTGCAAAATTTTGTTCAAGAAAAATTTAAGCTAAGCTGAAAATAAAGAAATAAAGTGTTTTTAGTGTTTTATACATTTTTCTGTCCAAATGTTATGTCAGGTTAGATGGACAGTAACATTACTGTATGGTAAAGCTAGTTGTAGACCTAATAATAGATTAATGTATTATTTATAAAGTAATTATGGCTGTTGAAAGCAAGGAAATATAATCTAATGCCAAGCAAAAGGTTGGATATACCAGTAAATTGCAGTAACCTAAATCCAACACCAGGGAACATAAGTGTACAATTGAAGATCGGCAACACAACTGAGCAGCAGAGGTGTGTGTGAGTGGGTGGATGGGCGTTATGTGCCAGCTCATATAATAATGCATTTCTCATCAAAAAAAGTCTCATCATTGGGGTCTCACAACAATAGATAATCCCTTGCATTAGAAAAGTTATCCAAAGAAGTCACATTGAGGTCACAAGCTGGAATAAATAAATAATAGTAAAATGTTTATACACTATAAATAATTACAAATAATATAAGGATTACAAATATTCCTAGTAGGGGTAAAATTCAATACATATTGTAGATTAAGTATTTATTAACTATTACTTTCTGTTTATATTATCTATATTATTATTATTATTATTATTATTATTATTATTATTATTATTATTATTTAACTAAATTATTATTTTTCTAAGAATGATTTATCTTCTGACCTAATTCACCATGAAGCTCCGCAGATGTCTATAGAGTTGTGCAAGAACTTTGTATATACTGGAATTGTGTCATACTTTGTGTCTTAAATTATTGAGATGAATTGAAATCTAAGTAGAAACCGTAGCTTCTTTTTGCTTAGAGAAATCAGAGTTCAATAACTGAACGGGTAAAGAACATTTATTATAGTTTATGTATTATGTATTGTTTGATAACAAGTAGGGTAACAATAATTTCTAAGTTACTGCAACGGTAATTGAAGTGTATAAAAATGCATGTTATAGGATTGTTGTATGTATTTTATGTATATATACAGTATCTGTCAGTATCTGACATTGAGTAACAGTATTGAGTAACAGTAAGAGAAGATGCGGTTATAGACTCACATGCTTTATCTTGGATCCCAGTGAGCAGAACTTAGTACTGGATCGTGAAACTAGATGTTTCACTAAGTGTTTACAAGCTTCACTCTTCCCAGAACCACTTTCTCCACTGTGGAAACAAGCAGATTTCATTTTTAGGTTGCCTGAACTGGTATACACAACACCCTACCATTGGAAGTAAAAACATCTAATATAGTGCTACTGTAATTGTCTAGTTCCTAGGCCAAACGTTCCAGTTAGACAACCAGTCTGTAGAACAACATCTTTTGCTCTCTCTGCAATTTAGTTATCATGAATGAGCCAATTACAATATATAGCTGGTAGCCAAGTCTTGTATTGACTCCTGTCTTATATGCAAAGTCTAATTGACTTGGCCATTGATTAGGTCATCGTCATTAGCCAGGCTGTTGACAAACAAATGCACCACCCTGGTGTACAAAGTTTGTAATTTGTAGTTTTTGCTGACATTAACAATAACCTTCTTTCACAAATGAAAGTGTTCAGTTTGATTTATTAAAAATATTCACTTTAAACAGATGTGTATTCCTAATTTGCAATTCGACAATATAGGACCTAATTGCAAGGGGTGACTTAATTTGTAAAGCACTATAATTTAGTAAATGTAATACCAAGGTGATTTACTGAATTCATGGCTGTGAGGAAAACTCTAGAATGTCTATCTTTCCCTTTAGTGACTATAGAAACATTATCTGTATGTGCTTTGGCAGGATAATGGAATCCATGCAAAACAGGATAAAAAAGGCCTTTTGGAATTTAACAGAGATGATAAAGACAATGCTTTCTATGTTTTTGAAGGGGGTTATCAAGAAAACAATATTGCTTCTTGCAAAGGAAGTTCTTCTGCAAAAAAATGATACGCTACATAAGATTTGCATAATCTCCGTTATCGCAAACTATTTATTATTATTATTGATTTTTTAAAGACAGCTGGTATTTATAGGTTTTACACATATATCCACATTGTATTTGTTATCATTAAATACACATTTTATGTTTAGATTAATTTCTCATGAATAAACTCTACAACACATATATAGATATTAACTGAATAAGGAAATACAGTAGCCCAGTCCCTGATTGTTTACCATAACCCTTTAATTACTATATAAATTTAATGTTTGTAATTAAAACTCGAAGCCATAAAATCACCTTACTGCTGCCACTAGTGTCTGTCAAGAAGATGTAGTACAGCCCCTGTGGAGCAGACTGCTTGTGAAGACAGATGAGTAAATAAACTGAAATCAATTGAAAATTTGCCATTTAAAAGACCCTTAGGGGAAAAGGTGATTCTTTTGGCTATTAATCAAGTGGTAAGAAGGCTGGGATTGTACCTGAGGATAAAGCACTGAGGTCGTTGCTCTTGCAACATTGTGTGATATGCTCTTTCAGCTGAGGAAAAGATGTGAGGTGGGAGAGAGGAGCACAATCTCCCATTGGAGCTCACATAAAGCTGGCTAACCTGCAACACAAAATTACCTTTAGTTGATTACAATGTGTAAAGAACTGCATATTATACCCATGCTGAGAAAACAGCTCATTCTTTCAATTCCTACCCTTTTATGTGTATCAGGAACAAAGGATTAAGGTATTGAACCCCTGAGTCAGTCTTTTCAGAAACAAGAAAGTGGTGCAAGCTGAATCATTAACATAATGGAAAACAAAATCAGCAGTGTACAATTATATGCTAGTATTTTACTGATATTTGTCCTATCACAGAAAGCGAAAACCCTTTTCCATTGTGTGTCATACCAGCACAAGCTTTACAATATGTAATGTATAAAGATACCCATTTATGTAGCTCAATCAATCTCTATTGAATACCTTTCTTAATGGTGAAGTAGCAATATACCTAACTGGGATTTGAACCCAATAAAAACTCTGATCAAGAATCCATAATCCAGGTCACTCCTGCACACTACCATCAAGCTGTGTGCGCTGTTTAAAACCCATACCAGCATGGAGAGGCTGTCCCTCCATGGTGGTACACAGTTGTCATTTATGATCATTGCACGTTTATGCTTTGTATGCAGCATTAATATGATTAATTAAGAATGATTCCATCTATTTTCTAAACTGCTTCATCCTGTACAGGGTTGCTGGGGGACCCAGACTCAAGGCAAGGTACTGTATACCCAGGATGGAACTCCAGCCCATCACAATGTGTGATACAGTATCTTCATTTCACCTTTGTTTTTTGTTGTCTGGTTTTGGACCTGAAGTTAGTATTAGACCTAACAATAGCCAGAATTCCAAATGGAGATTACAGAAAGTTTCAAGCTAAAACCAACCAATATAACAAACACTTCTAATTCATCAATTTAAAACACAACCTAAAACATAAAAAAGCATAATTTACACATAATTTACAATTCTACTGCTAAACCATTAAGCTAAGAACATTATGAAAGTTATCAGTTTTGTTCTACAACAATTCAGATGTAACCCTTATTTAACTACCTAGTTATTTTATGTAATCCACCACTAAATCCTAGTATTTACTACATCTATTACAAGGTAATAATATTGAAGGAGAATTGGTCTTAAAATATATTATTTTTATGTGATAATTTTAGACTTCCTTGAGTTCCTCAGTCTTTGACATGTTGACGTTCTTTTGCTTATGTTGGTGAGAGTGGTTGTATCTGTATAATGACAGGTAGAGCACAGTTTCCAAATTAAATAGCAATCAAATATGATATTCCTGCTTTAGATCACCTACACCAAGCCTACTCTGGGCCCTAATGCCCCGGTGACTTCCTTTTAGTAAGTTCTGGCATTTTTGCAGTGTCATTACAATTAGCAAAGCTGCATTATGTGCTTTTTTTACAAAGCTTTGCATGTGTTAAGTGACAAGTACACATTTCTGATCATACACGTCCTATCTTATTTTCTTATTCTGTTGTGTTTCAAAAAGTAATGGAGAGTATGCTAAAGCATGCTCTTCCAGAATTCCTCTCTTGTATTTGGAGGTCATTACTGTGCACCAATCTGGAAAACACAGAGAGGGAGACATGATCAGAATTTCTGCTTAGACACCTGTACTCTGTTCCACTTCAATACCTCAGGTGATGTCCCCATAGATTTTTTTTTTATGTCATCCACAGTTAGACAATGCAGTGAAGCAGAAGGTGGGAATAAATTTCTGCCTAATGACATATAATCCTGAAAGGCTACATGACAATTCTTGCTATCTTAGCTGGCATGAACAACACAGCAGGTAGGTGCCATCTGAAGCAACCAGCTTTCACACAGAAAGTATACAGTTGTGAATGCATGGTTCACACTTGACCGATAGCATAAGGTTACATCAACAGGCTTTGGGACTGAGATGGTCTGACAGCAGAAGAAAACCACAGATGATGTGACATATGTCTCCTGTGCTGTTTATCACTGTTCTCCTTTACAGACACAGTCAGATTATGTTAAAATCAAATGATGCTTGAAATTCATGAGGTAGATGTTGAAAGAACAGGTCATTTCAGCTCTGATTCTGCTTTTTTGTGGCATTAATATACTTTTGTACAGTATCATAATTAGAAAATAATAAAAAAAATACTATAACATGACTAGTTTTGATTTCACTGTTTTTAAAACTATTATGTATTTTATTTTAAATATAAAGGAGTGACTCAAAATTAACAATTGTTTATAATTTACAATCGCAATGATTTTCTATATTCACTATATTCAAGATAATTAAATCATATGGTTGTATATGAAAAATTAAAAAAAAGATCATAGTTACTTTTTTACATATATTTTGCTACAAGATAGCTAACCAATTGTAGGCACTTCAGTTTTACTGCATCTCTGTCTGTGTGTCAGTTATAGGAACATATGAGAGGCTGCAAAGGAAAGGTCCAGATTGGTCCATCTAGCAAATTTGGTTGCATGTTGATAATTGATCTGAGGATTGAAGTCAGGATATGTAATTCAACAACATTTTCTGGGCCACACGTTTAAGAACTCCACACCCCTCTGTGCCTTATCTTCTCAGTTTCAGATACTGAAGCAGGAACCTTCATAGTTATATCTGTTTAAGACTAAAAAGGATCAGGACTCTTAGACTGTTAGTACAGGACATTTCTTTATACCCAGGAATGTATCTCGCTGCTCTTCACTGAACTCACTCCAGAGCAGGAATGCATTTTTTTTTATTAGGCGACCAAAGATGTACATAATATTTGAAATAAGGCTTTAGTGAATTGCACAATTTTAACATCATATTTGTTGATTTAAATTCTTAGCTATTAACTATTTATTCTAGCATTCTATGTGTATTTTTATTGCTTCCTCAAATTGCCTAGAAGATGTAAAAGATGTATCAACATTAACAGACTTTTGTTGCCCAGTATTGAATTCTACTGAATTATACCTCTTTTTAGTTTTCTTATGCAGTTCCAATAGTGTTTGCAAATGTTTCTGTTTTGGTATCATCTGCAAATGGAACTAGTTTACTAATTAAACCAATATGTAGATGGCTGATATAAATCCGGAATAGTTCCTAATACAGATTCCTGTGGTACTCCACTTATTACATCATCTACTTTCTGTATCTATCAAGACAGAAATATATTGGCAGTAAAATAACACAGATTTCATACATTTGTTTGTTCACTTCCTTTACAGCTGTGTGCCTTTCTATATTGAAACCTATTTCTGGAATGTTTCCAGAGACATTTTTGTCTTAACCTTACCTTTTGGCACGAACATTAAATAAACAGCAGTCTTCATGTCATTGCACAATCCAAAATGTAAAATAAGATTCAAGTCAAGGGACCACCATGACTAACCTTTAGCTATAACCTTTGTTTTTTTTCCAGGAAATCCCTTGGAATTCTCAGAATGTTTAGAGTTACTATTCGGCTGGTATATAGAAGGAAATAGCTCCATCCATTAAGCCTTCTAGAACTGAGTAGCACGTACAGTAACAGTGCAAAGTTAATGATATTTCACAGCATTCATTAATGTAATACTAAAGGTACTGGTACCTGAAGAATAACCAAGAAACCCATTATACTGCATAATCCCTACTGAATATAACATCTGGCACAAGGAATATTTTTTTTAATTATTTTCGTCTCTTTTTCTAAACATATTAATGTGCTCTTCTGGAAAAAAGGGTCTGTTTATGGTTCAGTTGGTCAAAGAATTCTCAATAATTCAACAGAATACATATTTGGTAGAAAATATTATCCAACCATATTGTAAATGTCTATCTTTTTCTTTTAGTTTTACAAAGTTTGCATGTTGAGTTTCATCAAGAAGTATTAATTTTGTTAAGCCAATCTTATCTTAATTTGGGTGTCTCTCAGTATAGATTTTACATGTTCTTTCCATGTTCCATGTTATTTCAGTGGTTGCCATAGTTTTCTACCACCTTCTTAAAATATTCTTGTTTGGTTTGGTGGTCTGTTTTCATTTGTTAATCTGTCTCTTTTTCTGTGACCCTATAATGGACTTTCACCCTCCACTGGGGTTCGGGGGTTTTGCATTTGTGGTCTATCAGTTCCATCTTGTACTTTAAGCTTCTGAGATAATGTATTATACACTGTATGTCTAAGCACTGAGGTAACGCACTGCCTTCAATATCCAAATCTATATTAACTGTGCTTTTGTCAAATAGAAACAACTGTTTTTTGGTGACATGTATTAATAAAATACATGTACTACTTATCACTTAAGTAATATTGGATAACAACATGTGACTTAACAAGTACATCTTACAACTTCTATTATAATAGGCAAAGGTCACTTACCATTGTTGAATAAATCGGAAGCTCCTTATTCGGGTTAACCAGTAAAAGAATATTTCCAATATATGTCTGAAAAGAAAAAAGGATGCAATGTAGTTATGAAACAGACTAGTTATTCAGCATCCTACAGTATGTACGGTATATTCTACTTTGGAATTAATAGAGACATGAACTGTTTACCTGAAGAACAAACACAGAATGGAAAAATAAATTACTCCTAACTCAAGTAACATAAAGTACATAGCACTGACCTCTACTAAGCCTTTCATCAGTACACAAAAGGATAAAAAACAAAAAAACAAAATAGATAATTGAATTCTTCATGATTTTGTGACAAAATATTAAAGTGCTTGTGGCTAGACATCTTTTAATCACTATTGAAAATGAAAACTTTTCTTATGTATCTAGTCTATGCCAATGTAAATAATGAATTACAAAACATTTAAATTAAGTATAAAGAAAAAATAGTTGCAACATTATGAAACATAATGTATCTTGAAATGCAAAGCTGAGCCCGAAAACAGTTCACAACATTTTATATACACTTATCATTTTTGTGACATTCTAACACACGTCCTTAGTCCTGTGTTGCAAACTTTGTTTTGGACTTTTTTAAACGCTAAACTGCTGAATTTTAGTAATTTTATATGAAGAACAAAGTTAATGCCTGATAATTAGATTTTCCTTTTTATCAGGATTAAACACAAACAGGCCCACTATATAAAAGAAGTCCATTTTTTCTCAGTCTCCATATGCGTACTCATTCTTGCTCAACAGTTATCTATGTACATTTTACTTTAAACACTAATTTGTGTGCACAATGACCCCCCTGACCCCAGCTATCCTGCCATTAGATCTGTTGTATGGTTTCGGTACCCTCAAGCTTTTAAAAGGTTTATTTCCTTCACAATAAATTAGGTGTCCCCAAGACTACTTGTCAAAAACTCCTTCTCAAGTAATCTTCTTCTGGCAATCTGAGGTCCACTTTAATGATAATGAAAGAATGGGAGGCTTTGGATGTATCCATTTCACTTCCTTCACAACAAAGATCCTAAAGAAACATAAAGTGCAGTAGCTTGCCATCTGCAATCCACGTTACTTCTTCAAGGTGGAATGAAGCAGCTATTACACCAGTCCAAAACACTACAACAGGACCACATGGGCAACCCAAAGGACTGAGGGTGAGAGTACAAGAGTTTGTATACAGTATATGCTGGGTTCTCTCTTTTGACCTCAGGTAATATTAAAGCAAACGATACTAGAGAAAATAAAATCCAAATAAAATTGTTTGGCATGCAAATAACAATGGGAAATCACACTAATCAGTTACTTTAAAAACTATAAATTATGTTTGTAATTAACTTAACTTTATATTGTATGGACTTGTGGAAACCAAATTGAAAGGAAAATGATGTCATTATATTCATGAAGAATATGCACAGTGCAATCTCTTTTATCACAGCATTATGAATTAAGTGTTTGTCTATTATGTGTGTCAGCTGCTTAACTATCAGTTGTAATTCATTTTGATTAATTATTCTTCAAAAGTGCTGAAATGTGTTACACCATACAGTATACTGTATAATAGTAATTCCAGCACTCAAACAATGGGACTCAGAAAAGATCTGAAATGCTAGAATGTTTGGAATAAATGCTAATCCTATGTTTGAAAATTGAAACAAGTGCTGTATTTATATATTTTGATTTGAATTCAATATAATATTTTATACAGTGTATTTTTGTCATGCACCTGCAGTTCAAAACAGTGGTATGTGTTGTATAAAGTAATAAGAAGATAAAGCATACCACACTGTAGCTCTATAGCCTGATGTGTGGATTGCCATGGATGTACAGTAGTCATCCAAGCTGTATTAACAAATCCTGGCCATTGGAAGTGTATTTGCACAAATTCAATGCATTATCTTTAAATGTTTTGCCGTTTTTAGTGATTTTTAACAATACTTCCATACAGAATTCTCCAAGTTTTGAAGTTTTCGGATAGATTTACAAACACTGCTTTTTCAAGTTAAATTTGTGTATCAGCCCTCAAGGCAACAACTGATCTGATGAACTGAATGAAAACAGTCAAGCATACTATTACATAAAATTCTTTAATGTATTATCTAGATACAGTAAATAACATATTAACGTATCTAAAGAACAGAAAGCAATAGCAGGGCTGATAACATGTAAAAAGAGTCAGATTAGTTAAATACAACAGCCAGCTGGGATAGAAAACTAGGAAGTCCTGGTGCAACAATCAATTAAAGCTTCTAAAACTGTATGAAAACTCTATATTGACTTCTATATTGAAATACTTTCTCATTGGACAGTGGACAGAGAAGAAAGTAACATTTCTGCATAAATGTTTAATTTGAAAAATAAAGAGGCCTGTCATGAATAATGAAGTATGCTTGGGGAAAATGATGCCTGTCTTAGGTCCCTACTGTACATGTTTGTCCTTCACTTACTTCAAGCAATTACTTCATTGTACTCCTCTGCGCATGTTTCAGTGAGAGGCCGAACTATATTTAGTTTTCATACACCACGAGCTGGAACATTTTCTTTGGCTGCTTTTTAATCTGTGCTACAGACTTTTCTAAGTCACAAGCTTTATGCCAAAGTGGGAAGTGGTGTGGAATTAATTTTTTAAGGCAGCACAGGCTGCACCACAAAATCAATTTTTCAGTTATTTTAAGAAACCAATTGTACTATTATTCTGCAAGCACCAGAATGCTGAATTGCCCTGCTATTTATACACCACTGTGTGCTACAAACTGGAACCTTCTGAAAAATGTAATAGAGGTCTATGCATTCTCACTGCAGACAATGTGAACAAAAGACTGAAAAAATAAAAATAAGTTGAAATTATTTTTTAAAGAGCTCCTGCAAAAATAGTGTAAGATTGGACCATATCTTCCTAAACAACTTTAACTCCCATTTTATAGAGTATTAAATAGCATAATTAAATAACAAGGCATAAAGTAAATAACATACAACTGTGCAGAAATGCAGAACTAAGCAATATGCTGCACCTCAAAATGCTGATCAAAGCGATTAGGATGCTTCTTCCATTAGTTATACATCACACACAACAGGCTACATTATGTTTAGGCCTACAAAGTGTATTACCTAGCATGCAAATTTAAAAAGTCTTCAAATAATCAAAATCTAAATTGGACTAATATACATCATTCCTCATTAGTGAAACATAATTTGTCAACCTGTGTCAGATGGGCAATAAGAAAACGCCATTTCAAAGCCCTGCCCCACTGGGCTGTGGGTGTTGTGCTCCACAGGGAAGGGAAATAGTCCAGAGCCAATTCACCACAATGTGCCTCATCCCCATCCTAGTGAGGCTTCACAGGCAAAAGATTCTGCTGACCTATGTGCTCTATTTCTCACTCACAAAGAAATTATCCAGATGAAAGGCAAAACTTATAATAATTGCTTACACTTATATAGCTTTTCTGGACACTCCACTCAAAGCACTTTACAGGTAATGGGGACTCCCCTCCACCTGGATGATGTGACAGCAGCCATAGTGTGCCAGTACTCTCACCACACATCAGCTCTCAGTGGGGAGGAGAACAGAGTGATAAAGCCTGTTCATAGATGGGGATTATTAGGAAGCCATGATTTGTAAGGGCCAATGGGAAATTTGACCAGGACGCCGGGGTTACACCCCTACTCTTTTTAAGAAACGCCCTGGGATTTTTAATGACCACAGAGAGTCAGGACCTCAGTTTTACGTCTCATTCCAAGGATGGTGCCTTTTTACATTATAGTGTAATACTGGGGCATTAGGACTCACATAGACCGCAGGGTAAGCACCTCCTGCTGGACCCACTAACACCTCTTCTGGCAGCAATCTCAGTTTTTCTGAGATTTCTGAGGTCTCCCATCCAGGTACTGTCCACACCTGCTTAGCTTCAGTGGGCTGCCAGTGGTGAGTTGGTGAGTGATGATATACAAGCATATCTCCTCAGCAATATCTCATTTTCATAGCCAGGTTTCATATTGTGTGAAAAATAAATTTAAGGGGAGGAAAATCTCTAGTACTTACATAGATCTGATCATTTCCAAAACGCTTATGGATTTCGTACAGTAGACTACTGTCTGTTAATTCATTCAAGGAAGCCAAATCATCATTAGGTGCTGGTGGCATTAACTTTACCTGAAACATAAAACATTTTATATTTATTTTAGAAAACACAAATATTCAAACCATTTATTTTTTATGTCTTCATATCAGAGAATCCATGAAAAACAGCTGTATCTTTGTCAGCAGCTTGGTGTGGTGTGCCCCCTGATGCAGAATTCTGGATATCTCCCCCATTTTGTGGATTATCTAAGTGTTACATCAAGCTTTTGCTGGAGAATGCAAAATGAGAACAGGAATAACAGTTTATTCTATTTTGTGATCCTTCACATGACCCATTACATAAACAAGCAGCAGGGGCAGTGAACGAATTCTCAGAAAAAATTGAAATCCTGCAGTTCAGATCAGCTTTGTCCTTCTCTTTTCATGAAATATAGGCCAGTGTCAGTATCTTCTGATCCTCACACCTATTAATATATATACTTCTGAGCACTGGTCTGAGGTTTCTATCACATGTCCCCTAAGACGACTTCTGAGAACTTGGTGACAACTGAGCATTTAAAATATTTCAGGCAGGAAAATGGAGCTTCTATTAAGCATTAATTGGAGATGCCTAAAGCTAACTAAATCCCTCATCTTCTTTCTAAACTAAATTCAGCATTTGTCTCACATTAAATATATATTTTATCTGATTGGCAGAATATCTGTGGTCCTTAAGCTCTTCGCAAGCAAACACTGTGATAATTACACTTCCTCAGTCACTTTCCTTAATTCAACATCAAGTACTTCATTAACCTGAAACATCCTCCCACAAAGGCATTCTGTTTGAAGAATAGCACTACTTCTGAAGCTGATTGTTCTCTTGCCTGTCATTTGCTGTAATGGGACAGACAAAATGTCTTGTCCTACAAAATGTAAATTTGACAAATTTTTGCTTTGCAAAGATAATTTTCAGTATAAGGAAAAGACAACAATCTCTCACACAGCATTTTAAATGAATAACTGTAACAGTTTGTCAGTGACAGATACAGCATAACAAGGACAATCTAGAATGTCTACAGGGCAAAGTGCCTAACAAAAGTTTAAAGTGATCCTTTCCGTAGACAGACCAGGAATCCAATTTTGATTCTTACAATTAGTTTTTCCAAACAATACAAACAAAGGACTGATCTTTTCGTAGATTTCCTTTTCACTTTTTCTCTCCAGATAATGACCATATACATATATTGCTACGTCAATGCTTAATTTTGAGATGAAAATACAAAAAAATGCATGACTAACAATTGTTTTGAATTATTTCAAATTAATTTAATTTTGATTTTAATATTTGTTAAAAAAGGTATTTCTTAACACAACACACAACAAAGCATATGGAGTACGCGGAAGTTCCTTAGTGTCCCCGCTGAAAGATGAATTGTGGGATCTGATGTGATGCACTCCCCTTCTGACTTTAACATTAGTGTGGTTAAAATTTGGGAGTACACAGTAAAAGCAAGACCTTGAAAGTCTCTCCAGAAGGCATCTATTAAACATTATTTTTAAGCATTTTTAATGCTAATCACCAAAGCAACATCGGTGCAAGGCCTAATACCTAAAAGAAACTAAATGAAAGATGAGTACACTAATGTATTGTACTGTATATCAGACACTCCTTCATTTTAGCTGTCCAGCTATATAAACACTGTTTTCATAACCGTAAGGTATTAAGTTTCAATTCAAACTTAGTGAGCTAATATTTGTAACATACAAAAATGTGTGTGGTGTTCCACAAAAGTCTACTCATTCCAAAGACGGATTATTCATATACTGTACTCAAAATTTATGCAGGGCTACTGTAAGTTTCAAGACTAAGATATATATATATACTCTATAGTTTGCATGGACAATGCCTTAAACTTTTCAAATTGATTTTAAGTAAGCCATTGAATTTGCGCAAGCCACTCATTCTATGTTAAGTTAGAATATTTTGGGGGGTTTAAGATATTTAGCAAAATTCACCTAATTCAAAATAATTACAGGAATATAATCATGTAAAGAAGGAAATGCCCTTCAAACAGCTAATAAAATATAAAGAATAAAATATTTTTCTCTTTAAATGGACATCATCTGTCCTATGGATATTTTTACCATACCTGTTCAGGCTTGCTAGTGCTGCTCATGAAAGTGCTGTCACATCCATTGTCTTGAGAAGGTTGCCTTGATGAAGCACCAGCTATGTCTCTAAACATGGCGTCTTTCTCAAGCAAGCTGTCCTGCTTGGCGATGGGTACAGTAAGGGGTATCCTGGAGGATGACAAGAAAGTAACATCAGTGCAAGGTCTAATGCCTAAAAGAAACTAAATGCAAGAAGAGTCCACTAATGTATTGTACTGTATATCAGACACTCCTTCATTTTAGCTGTCCAGCTACAGTATATGAACAAAATAATGAAATAATTAAAAAATAATGAAGTCTTCTCATGAGTGAAAATGAGAAAGAAGATTATTTTTCAACCCAAAATATTATTAAAAGTAATTCATAATACTTATAAAATATTAATGAAGTGCAGAGCATTTAGAAGTGAGGGTGCCTTCTGAAACTGGCATGATTACAAGAAAACAACTAAGAGCAGTTTCTGAGGAAAACTTTTCATTAATGTGAAGACTTTTTGAAGTTCCAGTATTTTGCATTTTAAGTGGCATCTTTAATTCCAGTGAAGTACTGTATTAATATATGCATTCTTTTAAAAAATATTTTTAAATCAACCCATCTTACTATACATTTAAAGAGACTGTTACTACAGTATATGAACATATCAATACGAAGATGAAGATATAAACCTACAGTTTTTTCACTGGTACTGATACATCATGGATGATTTCCTCATACGGTTCCTCTGATGCCAAAGACACGGATGATGGATCCTGAAGCCTTTCTTCCCAGGTTGTCTCTGCTTTTAAAAGTATGTCTGCTATAAATCCAGAGGCGGCAATGTCTATAAAGTAAGGCAAAATACATTATTCAGAAACATAAAACCACAGACAAGGGAGGTATACCACTTCGTTCAGCATTTTTGTCTGACTAACATCAAACGCTGTGCCTGCAGGGCTTGTAACAGTTCCCTTAATTGTCTCAGCAAGAAAATCTGAATCTAGAGTGAATACCAGCAGCCATGAACAGATGGACAAGAGAAGCAATCAGACACTGTGAAATTATACCAAACTGTGTTGATTTTAGCATTTTACTGATTCATAAATCATAAATTAATTTCCCTTATGAGCAGAGCCAAACTGAAACTGGGCCAAGGTGGGGAAGAGAAGAGGAAATTACACAGCTTTTTTGTGTAACAGGGCCTCATTCACCACAATACTCCTGAAAGATGGTGTAGGAGTGTACTGCATCAGTTTCTACATGTGCACCTGTCCTCACAAAAGGGTTTAGGCACAACTATTACACATTTAAGAGATGTTCTTATTTCACAATTTTAGCAAAGTTTAGCAATTTTAGATTTAAGGCACTGTTACACTTTGACCCCTAAGCATTCTATACCATTTACATTTCTTAATAAAAGAAAAAAAATCATGAATAGACATTAATGATGGTTTTTGAGTTGTTTAAAAAACAATATACAGTATTAATAAGACTGGTAAAATAATGTTCCATTAACCAGAGTGACGGTATTAGGAATTCACTATAAAAATATAAAACACTTTTGATGCTTGATGTTTGATACTTGATTGATTTCTGGGTCCTAAACCTTCCATAAAAATTGCATCCAGGTGTCTTCACAGTGTTGGATGAAGAAATGAACTCCACATTGGTTCCTTTTCTCAGTCCCAGCAACTCAGTAATGCTGGTCTTGTATTATGATTGCTTTGGATAGTGCCTGTTGGCTTTTATTGTTTTTGAGTGATGTTGGTTTTATTATAAGTTAGTATTTTATTTCATTGTGAAGGTATTGAATATGAAATACCAATACTCCTATAAAGATTATTTTTATGTAGTCAAACTAAAAAAAAATCTAGTTAGCAGATTTTAAAATATAGTACATGATTTTAAATTCTGTAGATATTACAATTATCATTGTAATAAAGAAGTTAATGTCATTATTCATAATTAGAATCAACATAATTTAAGCTTTTTGCACAACCGTATATAAGACCTTAATTTATTATTCTCAAACGTTTTCCCTTACCTTACCTACCAATTTATAGTAAGAATAAGAATGGCTTTAAAAAGTGTAACAGTCTGACCTTATTGATTCTTTCTTGTTTAAAAAAGGTCATGGTTATAAAACACTTTCTGTAATTAAATCTTGGAGTAGAAAAAAACAGGCTTTTCTAAAATCCAAAGAAAATGAAATAATGAATAAGAAATATTTATGTGGTTGAACCTCCTGTATGAGAAAAAAAAGCAAAAATACATTACACGAGAGTTACACTTTTTGTTGTTCCAGACATTTTTTGAGCTAATCCTGTACTTAAAATGAGTTATCGATTGAGTGAGAGTTGCACTACAGAAGGTGATTGTATTTAGGGTGAATTCCATTATCACAGTGATCTAGATAAAGAAGGGGACTGGAATGTCAACACATTGACAATGCTCTCAGAGGCTTCTTGTTCTCCCTGCTAACACAACTGTGACTCAGGAGAAAGAGAACAGATACTACTGTGAAATGTTTTGTATTTCCAACATTTTTTTACAGTCCTCCTTTGACTTAGACTAGATAGGGGTCACTGGACACAAAGATAACACTATTTAAGAAGTTATAGATAAATATAAGGATTGAGTATTCTGATTTTCTTATTTTTACTGCATCAATATGCCCAGTTTTATTGCTTATTTTTTGCCCAGTTATGCAATTTACAGTGTATGTATACAGTATAAACTCTGATATATTTAATATTTATCTACAATAAAGTTTTATGTAATGGGTCAAATATTCAGAAAGAATCCAGGGTTAGCTTGTTGTAATAGTTTGCTTACATGGTTACAACCCTTTAAAACAATTTAATTAAAATGACAAAATTCACATAAAGGTGACAGGAAAATATTCCTGATAAAGGTGCCTATATCATTTTTAAATTCACAAAAACAATCAAGTGTTTTGCCATATATTATTTTGATATTATGATATTTTAATCACTTATATCGGTCCTGCAGATTTATAAGAATCCCAAATTGCAACTTACAGGTACAATTCCTTGAGTCCATTCCTTTTTTTATTTGAGTACAACAGAAAAACAAATAGAATCGTGTTTTGGGGTTTGTTAACACTTTAGAATAAATAAAAAGATTCTTACCTGAAGGCTTCTCTTCATTGCAATTGAGAGCATTTGGGTCTGCAAAATGCTTGAGAAGGTGGTTCACAATACCAGTCTGTGAAAAAATGTGCAAAATGTAACAACTTTTTAATTCTTTAAAAAAAAAGTACAAAATATAATACTCACGGGAACTTTGTGAAGTGAGAGGTTATTGTTGGAATTTGAAGTCATTGTTGTTGGGGATACCACCACAAGTAGATAAAAGATTTTACGGTTCTTGCATCACTGCTATTTTCTTTTTCTACACATTCAGGAGATCGTCCTTTATACGGCATAATTACTGAAGTACAGTACTCCCTCAATGTCTATGATTTTAACAATTACAAATGTTCTCCTTAGCAATTCGGTCACAACAATGGGGTCTTGGATGAAAGAAGAACAGAGTGGGATGAAACAAAGTCGACTTTCAAATGAGTTGTTCAACAGACCAGGATCGTGAGGCCAATCCAGTTTGTGAGTGAGCCTGTCCCTGTCATTTGCACAATTACCCACTACCTAGCATTGGCGTATCAATGTGGTCTTGTTTTTATTTTGTTATGAACATTCCTGATTCTGTGTCGGCAGAGTTGAGAATGATAGGCTGGAGATTACCTTACAGGTTTACTGACATTTTTTGTCAGGTTTACAAGCTAAGCAGGTGTGAGCTTGGTCAGTACCTGAGTGGAAGACATCCTGGGAAAAAAACTAAGGTTGCTGCTGAAAGTGGTAATAGTAGGGCCAGCAGGGTAGTTATTCATACATCAAATATACAATGATCTTTTTCATAAAATAATATATGATACATTATATTGACATCCCCTTTTCCAAGTCTAGTGGTGGGACTTGCACAAACTTTCAAAATGCTATTTCTGTGTATAATTGATAATACATGCTTCTGGTAAATTACCAAAATGGGGACCTCATCAACCCCCAGAAGTGGAGCATATATCAAGAACAAGTTTGAGTGCACCTCTTCCTGCCTTTAACAGGATTGTATTACAGTTTCTCACAGGCCAAAAGACATGGTCTTCTGGTGCTGCAGAGTATTAAACTGTTTAGATTTCAGAGAGGGGTCTTCTGCCACTCTTTCTGTCCACTGAGTGTTGTTAGACTCTCCCATTCAAAATTCCTCCTCCTTCTCCAAGTACTACCTTGGCACTAGCATTGTCTAGATCCATACTGCAGCACTCTCCAGGCAGTGGCAAAAAAAATACCCAAGGATGATTTTGTAATGTTTCATTTCCTTTAGATGTGAGCTTTTCACAAGTTAGGAGAGAATTTCTTGTTTTTAGCCTGCTAATATCACAAACCTGCTTAATCCCTCTATGATTTTGGAGAGCATTGTTTGACGGAGAGGAGAGTTTTACGTATAGTGGGATAGGCACAGCAGGTTTCCAAAATCAGTCTGACCATTAGACAAATCCATAAGCCAGCTGAGTGGCTGTGAGACATTTTTGCATTACTGGAAATAAGAAACAAACATAGTTTGGAATGAGTTTTATTTTTTAAGGAGTCTTGAGGAGGTTGTTTTGCTTAGCTGTCCATCGTAGACAGGGACTAAAGAAAGTCATCTTATGCTTTGGTTTTTGGTTCGATTTGTTTACCCTTGCACTATGAATAAACTGTATTGGTTCGTACATTACAGCTGTGTTTCTGTGTCTGCTTTCCCTGATTTGTTCCTATTTTAAACATCCCCTTTATAGCACAATGACCAGAAGGTTTTCACAGTAGTTACACCTGTAGTTATATTAACACTCTACATTTATAAACACAGATTTTATACAACAGATAAATATGTTTGGGGATGTACCGTAGTTGTTTCGGTCCATATCTCTGAGACCAGCAACCATATTGGTACGGAAACTAGCACTGATATAATTTGCATTTAAAGTATGTTTCAGTTACTAAATAGACCACGAACGAGAATCTCATATAACATTGTTGTCCTCAGTCTCTTAGCTGCAGAAATACTTTATATGAGTGACTTGGCATTTTGCCATGCTAAAAGTTATTCTGAGTTGCAGTGATAACTCTCCCATTGAATGGAATTTGTCTGAGAGGATTACAAGCTGTGCCAGACAGCATCCTATTTTAAATACAAATACACAGAAGCATGCAGTTCAACTGAAAATCCAAGGCATCATGTGGCACACTAAAGATGGTCTATGTTTCTTAGCAATATTTTGCTTGTTGGCTTAAAATGGAGTCTATATTTTATTGCATTTATTGTCTCAATGTGAACTAGAGCAGTTATAATGGCTTTTGAAGCAAACATAAAGTGATACTGTGTGCTGGTAATAAATATTTGACCGTAAATTATTTCTGCATATTTATAGTGATGACCTTTATAGTTGAGAATGCCCCAAACAATTACTTCAAAAACAAAATATTTCTATTTCTATACTACTACTACTACTCTTTTTACTGTTACATTTTACTGTTTTTTTTGGAACACTTTCCATCACATGAACTAGGCATTAAGTATTAAAGATATATGGCACAAACAAGATGTGATCACTTCATTAAGATTTCACCAAAACATGAAGACAGATACAAGTTGATTTTACATTTATATTTTGGAATAAAACAATAACCAAGAGACAACAACTGGTTTGTAGACTTTCCTTTTAAAAGGCAGGGGAAAAAATAAATTCTCATGTACTTCGTAGATATCTATGAAATCATATATGATTATGAAAAAAACATTATTTAATCATTTTATTTAAGATTCAGGATTTACTTCTCTGCCCCCATGTTGTAAATTGAATGTAACCTCAAACTGATATTTCTTGCACACTACTTACAACTTAACAAAGCATGTCCCTCAGTACAATAGTTTTAAAACCAATAAAATATCATCACAGCTTTTGGATCCATTTATCTGTATTTTATCTTTAAAAGAATTAAATAGAGAGTATTTTCATTTTTACAAAATACTGCCTATAGATCTGTTTAGCTTCTTCATTTAAAATGACAATATCTGATATTTTAAGCACAGTGAAATAGAATTAATGGCAGTTTTTTCCAAGTTACTGAAAATAGTGAATCTGTTTTGTATTTACTGTAAAAGTACTTTTAGCTGACTTCTCATATCTTTACCTAGTGTTGCTTGGCCAATAGTAGCAATGCAAAGTACCTTACAAAAAATGGTAGAACCATAATTTTGAGTATTAAAAATAACTTTATCATTATTACTACAGAAACATTTAACTAAGAAAAACTGTAAGAAAATAATGTTTTTTTCTTTAACATACCTCACTACAAATGCACCCGGATATAAAACACAGAGAAAAAAAAACTTAATTATCGTATTTACTCATGGTAGTTTATCATGAACATAGCTTACAAAATGGGTGTCTTTACACAAGAAAAATGTGGTGTGTTTTATACAACTACTATTCAATTTTATACAATTTCTATTGCATATACTCTATAGTCATGGGAATGGAATATAAAACAAAATCTACCTGTCCATATTTTGCTGCAAGATGCAAAGGTGTCCAGTAGTTATTATCAGCCACTTGAGGATCAGCCCCATTCTCTAGCATTAGGGAAACCACATCCTTGTAGCCACTAGCACAGGCCATGTGCAACTGTAATTTAAAAAGTGGAAGAAGAATAATCATAACACTACTTAAAACACCAGTTGCCCTTAGCAGACAGCATAGGCATTCTGATCATACGAAAGACAGAACAATGCAGCTGTTTTAAAGAAATATCGTCAAATATTTGATCATAGTTTGAATTCTGGGGAAGAGACATTGCTGCAGGAGGTTTCACGGGGCAGTCTTAACCACTAGTGAAACATCTTTGACATTGTAAACAATTATCGCCAATCTAGAAAGATTATTAAGGTCTTCTCTTACCAGTGTGACACCTTCATCATTCCTCTGATTCACACTTCCCCCAGATGCTATTAAATGCTTGACATCTGACAACATATCCAAAGGGCGCTGTGCCTTCATTTGCTGCATGGAGCTGACATCCACACCTGCAACCAAGATCATTCTGTCAATCCAGGCTGTCTGAGCCACAGATAACCACAGCCCTGACAGGAGTGGATCAGATTTTGCAAACAAAGCTCTTCTTTTCATAAATCTCCCAGAAAGAATGCTCTATTTAATGTAAATTTAATCAGTGAGTCATTTTCTACACCAAATCATGCCCAGGGAAACTACTGAACATGGATTCAGACTTTGAAAATGAAGCAGGTAGATTTTTTCATAACAAGACAATCTGGAATACATAGTAAAATTTATTTTGCTATAGAGATACAAATGATGTCTAAAACCCTGTGGAGAGAGTCTGGAGAATGCTTCTATATACAGGTACAGTACAGTATACTGTATGACCCAATCATGCTTACTACTGTATTTATCTGTTTACAAGTCAAACATTGTAGGGTTTTACAGCTACTAAATCTCTCAATTGAAGGGAATAACAATTCAGTAAGTTCAGTAAGATTAACACTTCTCAAGTTGCTTGGAGATTGCTTATAGGCAGCAGTTTTCAAGTCTTTCTACAAAGTCTTAATAGGATTTATGTCATAACTTTGAGTGGGCCACTCAAGGACATTTACTTATTCCTTTAGCTTTGGGGTTGTACTTCAGCTTACAGTATTGTCCTGTGAAATGATTTTTTTTTCTCCCAGTTTTAAGACATGAGCAAATTGAAACAGGTTTTCTCTTGTATTTGCTTGTTCTTTGCTCCATCCATTTATGCTTCAAACTGGAGCTGCCTCCTTGATACTTGACTGTAATGATTGTGTCAACTGAGAAATCTGCTCTATTCTGTCAAATATATTGTATAGCATTTGGACCCAAACATTCATTTTCTTTCCTTGTCTGACCACAAAACCTTTTGCCAAATGTTTACAGTATCACTTACAGTTAATGTTTTATTGCTGTTTTTGTCAGTAATGTCTTCTTTCTTGCCAGTCTTCCATACTGGCCAACTTTGTGGAATGACTGGGATATTGTGGAACATTTTCTCCCACTGCCACTGAACTCTTTAGCTCTTTCAAAGTTGATGTTAGCCTCAAAAGGAAGTACAGATAATTCAATATTTTTGTATCCTAATAGGATAGTACAGTATGAGCTCTTTCAAGTCTATCAAGCATATCTGGATGACAAAGGTTCAGGTCCATCCTAGCAAAACACAAAAATGGTTGTCCAAACATATCCTTATGATCATCCACGTTAACAAGATTTCCAATTTTGATATCCAATGGAACTGTTCATAGCCTGCCCCCTATCCCTAACCATAACCATCTTTAATAATTATAAATGTATAACTGTTCAGTTTTTTAAAAGCCGTACACTTTTGTAGAAGCTGAAGATTTTTTTCTCTTTCAAAAATAGTAAATTGGTAAATGAGTACATGTTAGTTCATTGAAAAAAGTAAGCAAATGAACAAATAAATACAACTAGAAAACTGCAACTAGTTTTAGAAGTTTTGAAGGCTCACAGGCAACACCGAGAGTCACAGGATACAAAACAAATAATGTGCTTGTTACAAGTTTTACACAGGTTTTGTTTGCAGTATAGCCCATAACAGAACAGGAGAGCAGTCAGATGGCTATATTGATTTGCACAGAAACCCAATTTCATCAGACTGCAATTGTATTGCCAATGGATAGATACCTACAGTACTACGTTTGGACTTTACCAGCAGTTATAGAATCAAATAAATAAAATAATTGTAAAGAGATAATTTGATAAATGATTTTAGGTAGGATGATCATTTTAATGGTTGATATTCTGTCAGTTATGAAAATAAGTAGTTCACCCAACAGAGTAAGTCATTTAAAATAACTTAACCAGCAAGCCCTAACATTCATATTGACTATTATTTACAATTCTATTGCCAAATAGAGGTTCTCTAGTTTTGTTCTATTTATTGTTTGTTTTTGTGACCTTGAATGTAATAGCATTAAGACATATTGGTCTATAATGACTTCATTCCATTCTGTTACCCTTTTTATGTTTATAGGCTCTACATTAGCAATTTCCCAGCCAGTGGGCATTGTCTCTGTCTTGAGAGACTAGAGTCAAAGAGCTTTGTTAATGGCCAATGAATAACATCTCAAGTTTCTTGGTTTCTGATGGTTTATCTGTCCCAGTACACTTGCCTAGTATGTTTTCTCAGTTGTCTTGCCTTTGAACATGAGCAGTTCCAAAAATAGGATAAAAAACCTTAACATGTACTTTAGACATCCACTACTTGGAAGCCTAAAACTCCTTAAAATCAGTATGTGCCTCTATTCCTGGAAAGTCTAAAAATGCAAAAAAATGTGGAAATTAATAATTCAAAGGCTTATACATATCAGTGAAGGCTTTTTTATTTTATTTTTTTTATTTAAAACCTGGTTAGTAAGTCTATGTAAGCCTAGAAGCTTCGCTTTTTAATCCAGTGATTAGATGGAAACCAATGGTACTGTGACAGCTGTCAAAAGCAAGGTTGTCTTATCCATCAAGTAATTCCATGTGGAACAAGTATGATTGGATATGTGCTCAATCAGTCCACATCACACTGCAGACTACAGTATTCTGAAGGTGATTCTTCAATGATTATCAAGCCTATCCAAAATAAAAATGACTGAATAGAATTGCATGATTTATCCCTAAGACATCTTAGCAGTAAGATTAATGTAGCAATGCTTTTATTTTTTTAATCAGTAAATGTTATGAATATAATGTTACAGTATTCATTGAATCCTGTGCCTTTGGTTATAGTTTTTCATTTTCTGTACTGTATTAAATACATTGAACATAGCAAATTTCATCTCAATAGATCCTAACATATATACACATATACAGTACTGGAAATAAAATGTTATTAAAATGATACTCCCTCTGTGGTTTGAAGACAACATTTATCATTTTATATCTCAGCTCTGTGAATTTATGCTGTCAAATACTGTACATTTTTTTTTTCTTGAAAGGACCCCACAGCTTCAAGGCACATAAATTGCACTTAGTTTCATTGTCTTTAAGCTGTTTTATAAAATGCTTAACTGTATTCCAATAATTGTACTCCTGGGCCACCAGCCCCGTCTCTGGGTACATTCAGGGGAATGCTTTATATCTGAGTGAAGATATTTCTCATACAGACTTAACAGATTAAATGAACCCTCAGTGTTGTTCCATTGAATCCATTGAAGCAATCGTGTAAAAGAAATGCTAATGTTAGTAAATTACATGTGTCTTGAAAATATTTTAATTATCATAAGTTACAACTCATGATATAATTATAAGTTATGATGATTTGCTATATACAGTATATAGTTCTCATATAGTTATTAAAATCTATTACATAATAATTCCTCTTTTACTGGAAATTGACCATCTTTGTTTAATACACTTCATCAATCCACATAATCAATCTGAATGTCTAATTTATTTAATGAGCATTATAAGCTAAACTAGTTAAGTATCAAATTATTGTAGTTAAACAAGAACCAAACATCCTCCAGATGGCAGATGTTCTACAGATATAATGCTGTAAGTTTCCAAAGTTTCAAATTTAACAAAACGTTTCATTTCATAAAATGTGAAAACTTAAACTAAATAGTTTTCACAGTGCCAGAGGTCATATTAAATATAATTGCAATTAAATGTTTTGTGGATGAATAATAATAATAATTTTATAAAACAGCTCATATTCACAGATAACCTGGGTTCCTGGGTTTTGACCCAAGCACCCGTCCTCGACTACGACTTTGCCTCCCATCTTGTGCCTTTTGCTCTCGGAACCTTCCTAGCTTTTGTCCACGACCATTTCTTTGCCTTCCGTTTCGGCACAGAACCACAGATACCTGAAGTGCTTCACACTGGGTCCAACCTCTCATAGCCTGGTTCTACGTGACACAAAGGACTGTAGGATTCTCTAATTTTCTGGTCATTGGGTTAAAAACTCTGGGATTCTAGGTTACATAATTGACTTAACTGTTAATTAGCTACTGCAGTAACGTTTTTTAAAGTTATTTTATAAGCCTGTAGTTAGAACTATAAACTATCATTTTTCCAAAGAGACTTTGTGAATATTATGTTATTATTTTCTATGCTATCACATTGTGTAACATTTTGTTTTAATTTTTAAAAACCTAAAAGATGTTTGGTGGTGTTTTGGGACTTTTACCATTCTCTTCAAGATGCCGCAGAAGAACGTAGCTTGTCTCTGTTCCTTCCATTGCATAATCTAGGGGAAGGTTTCCGTTTACATCTTGCAACAGCACGTTGGCCCCAGCCTAAGAAATATACAAGGAAAATCAGAAATAAGGAAAGGATATACTAAACAGCAAGTAATATAAGAGAATATCTACTGTAACAAATAATGGGGTGCATTTTTTGGTGAGTTTCTGAAACATTAACATGGTCAGTGTAATTTAGTACCAATATACAGTATAAGAAGCAACGTTTTCATAGCCTATTAACACGTTAACTTTTCCTAGCCAAGACTCAGAATGTAACACAGATCTTGTCATGTGTAGATATGGAGATGAATATTAATATATTTTTTCCAATTTGTAAAGGAACACTTAATTCAATGTAGAAACACACAGTATGATTGTGATGATTATTTCCGTCAAGCAGAAATGATAACATATTTCAACTTTTCAAAATGCTTATAGCTGTTGAGAGTTGTGGCAACCAAGAAGTGTTCCAGAAGCATAGGGCACAAAATGGGACTACAACCTTGGCAGCAAATCTATCTACACCCACTGGGGCAGAGACACCAAATAACTTCAATAACACGTCTTAGAGGAAATCAGAGCACCTTGATTATGCACTCAGACATATTCTGCGAGAGCCTGCAAACTGAACAATACTTACTATGGATATTTCTATGATTTTTATGTTACAAACTTTGTTTCTTCAAATAATTAGTGTGAAAATCATGTATGTTTTAGATCCTAATTTTACGGAAGTATGATTTCATCAAGTGCAACTCAAAACCACAGTTTACTGAAGCAGTTCCGTTAATCTTCGTTTATTTGTTTGTTAGCCCTTCCTCTGTGTTTATTTTTGAAGTGCATTAATCTTGGTTTATGACAGAAAACACAGCCTCATATTCTAACGTCATGCAAGAATAGGTTAAACAAACCTATAACTCAATGTAGCAGTTAAATCATTCCTCACGGAAAAAAAAACAGCCTAATGATATACAGTATGCACCAATGCTTGTTCTTCTTATGAATTTCATTTTTTCCACAATTTGTCAAGTAGAGCGGAATAGAGAATGTCCAGAATGTTGAGATAAAGTTTCTATGTGAAACATACATAGCACCCACAAATTTACAGTAGGTGAAAATAATTTGCAATTGCTAATTGTATACAACATAACATAGTAATATTATATTATAACCTAATATCATTGTCCCTAAATCTTTCACCTCAGTGTGTAGTGTCACGTCTTGGGTTACATTATTTGCTACTCTCTATTTACTTTATATTTCCTATAGTATATCACATTGCCACAGTCAAATACCAAATAATATTTAATTAATTATACAGATATAATTATTTAACTAATTATAATGATACAGATAATTGCATTTAAAAAGTTTAACAGTCAATTTAGCTAATTAGTAAAAGCAAGTATTATATTTTTATAGGGTTTGAATGGACATACAGTATCTGCAGTGTACATGGCCATGTTACCTGTTGTTTGCACTGCCTGGTGCATTCTCTGGACCAATAGAATCTCCAATTTGAATAAAGGAATGCCCAATTTATTTATGAATAATGAACACATACTCTGAAAATATATAGGAATAAATAAAATACTCTAAAGGTTCATCATACTAAAGTATGTCACTATAGTATGTCATTATAAAAACATTGTTGAAGTACAGTAGTTCAGATGGGTAGCTGCGTCAGCATGCGTAGGCTGCAAAAGAACAAGTAAAAGGTTTATTCCATGCTGAAAAGAGAAGAGAGGAAACACAACGTTTCGGCTGTGGAGCCTTCTTCATGTATGAGGAACTGAAGAAGGCTCCACTGCCAAAAGGTTGTGTTTTCTTTCTTCTCTTTTCAGCGTGGAATAAACCCATTATTTGTTCCATTATAAAAATCTTGTGCCTAAAGGTAACAGAGAAGCTTTAGCAGAACATGATTATACCCTAATAATCCCCTGAATGATATTTGAATAGTATTTCTCAAATGTACGCTATTTTTTACCTGTTTTTTTCTCAGGCAAATATAGATTATTTGATAGGATCTCGAAATAGTAACAGATACAGTAATACTGTAAGTACATTAAAATAAACTATATACATACCATTGCAATTAAACTTTTCAATATGGCACTTTGTAAATACCAAGGGAAGGTAACCTTGACCTTTCCAGTTTAATTGCATAATTTGCCCATAATTGCTTAATTGACCCTACTTCTAACACTCACTAGAAAACTGGAGGATTAGCTTGAAAAAAAAAACATGCAAAAGAATGATTGTCTGTCTGTGGGATCAAATAATTGAGTTTTAATAAAAAATAAAAATCTTAACCTTAATAAAACATTTTAAAAGGGTAAAATAAAACTGTAAAATACAATAGCTTTATTCATATTAAGTGACCTCAGAACAAATGAACAGGTAAAATGATGCTGGATTAATACTACACTAAGTCTTCTTTATCCCTCAGGGTGCACTCTGTGTGCACAGTTCTAAATGAGCTAATCCAGCTCTGGCACGACAAATTTCGAGCTCAAAATCACAAATTCTCTCTGAAAAACAGTCCATTACAGCCATGTAGTAGAGAGATAAGAGAATTAGCATTGGTGATTCAGAAACAATGTAGCCCTCTCAGTGCTTGCTCATCCATCAGGGATTCTCATACCCTCCCTGTCAGCAAGAAAAGGATTTGGATCTTAAAAAAATGTTGGCACTAAGCTTTTAAGATAAGGACGTGGCAGTGCAGAATATCCTTAAGTATGTCCTTGACAGCGAAGTCTTGAAAGATCTTGCCAATCACATACATTAAGAGCAGACAATAAATTACTATATAATGATTAAGAAACACAGGGCATCTTTGCTTAAATTAGTATGCATCAACTACAGCCCCAAAGCATTGTGGAATGCCTTGCATATCCTTCATTCCAAAATTCTCCTTGGTAAAATTTACAATTGTAAAGTGATGTCATTTTTCCTCTGTGTTTGAATGGATGAGTTTCCATCAAATTTGCATTTGGAAAACATGTCAGGCATAAATGCTAAATTTAACATTACCAAAAGGCTTCCCCTGTACACTATACAATATAGTGTAATAAACTGTGTTCCTTTACAACAAAACGTTCAAATGAAATTTAGAAGTACATAGTTATTAATGGTTCATAAGGAGACTTTTAACCAAAACCTAAGAGTAGAACTCCAAAACTCTGCAGAGACAGCTTATTATAAGTAATTATGGTAACTTTATATTACATTTATTTTGATGTTTTTATGCAGGTTATTTATTCATGTAGTGTAGTGTTTTTAAATAGTGTCTTTTTGCCTCATTCAGGAAGAGCTACCAAAATATTCATGGTGTGCTTAGATAATACTTCTTTCCCCAACTGCCTTAAAAGTGTATTTCATACATTATTATACCTCTCTCTGCTTTAAATAATTCAAAGTACCTTTGTTTTATTCTAGAAATGTTAATGTTCAGCCACAGAAATTAATTTATTTTCAGTACTCGACTTTCCAGTGAATGCAGGTATCCTTTCCTTATGCAATCAAATGCAGTGTGCTTTATCTTGTTTTCTGGTCGAGTCACTGAACATTATGCTTTTCCAAGTCATTTTATTCTAGAATCTATTGTTATAAAATGGTGAATGAGATCAAAAACTGAAAACAGAAGAAGCAAAGCTCATCACTTCATAACAATATCTATCTATGGGAACCATCTTTGATAAAAAGCAACTGTAGCTGTGTAAAAAACAAAATAAATAAGCTCATGATATAGGTCTTTGGGTGTGTCAACAAGAACATCTGGCAATTCTGCTATTTTAAATATGCCCACTTGCCAGTGTCTTATGTGTCTTTTGGAGGACTTGTGATTATCTAAGACGTCTTTTATGAGTTCTCTGTAAATTGTTTTTGCCATTGTAGATAAACGCATATGAGGACTTAGGACACTGATAAAAACCACATATAATTATAATATTATATAATATATAGGTGTTTTCATACAAAGGTATATGTTCATGTATATTCAATGACACAGTTGCAATAGATGAATCCATATTTATCTCCAGATGGATTTAGCTGGCCACATACTTTTGTTTGTGACTTTATTTACATATTTTTGCTTTTGTTCAATTTCTGTGTACATGTTTAAATTATATAATTGTATTTCAAATGTTATTATGAAAATGCTGAGTTTGTATTGGACTATATCCTCTTTAGTCTTAGAATATGTTTAGAATATAAGATTAAAATCCTGTAATTCATCCCATGTACAGTATTTCTTTCATGAATTGTTTGTTAACTTCCATCTTTTTTTAAGAAAACCGTGAATTTTATTTTGAAATATTTACTTAAATGTCATTCTATATGTTCTATGCATTTTCAACCTAAAATCAGTTATTCATATTTCTGTTTACTGAAGATCACTAGAAAATAGCATGAGCAAAGAGTACTCTAAAGGAAATTAATATTTTCCCTAAAGCCATTTAACAGAGAAACATGCAGACAGTTTTAAGTGTTGTTTATTATTAAATATGCTGCAAATCTTAACCAAGCAGGCTTAGCCTACAGTCTATAGTTACATATCCAATTTTGCAACTGACATTAGCCACAGTTCATAAAGCACTCCAGGCTTATACAACAAAACAATTAATCATATCACTGGTTCAGTGACAAAAAAACAACTTTATGTTGGCAGCAGAGCCAACACATAATATATATTTCTTTTCTGTAGTGTAATTAAGATAAAAATTCACCTTTTCCTATATGCTACACATTCAGTAAATACCTTATTGAATGATCCACTCCCAGGCTTAAAAGGTAACAGCAAAGCTATTTTTATATCTCAAGATTAGAAAGAATTGGCATTGATCAGTGAATTTCAAACCATAATGAAAGTAAAATGTACACAGTAACGTGTAAAACTCCAATTTACATCACAAAATAGATTAAATTTCCAGAAATGCAATGCACCATATTCTAAGATTCAAACTTTTGGTGAGGTGCAATGGCTCTATTACATTGTAAAGAAGCAGTGTGGTGTACTATGGAACTGAACGTTAGTTGTACCTCCCCTTTCCAAGGGGATGTGGGGGTTTATGCTACGTGGTTTCAGGGGTTAATTCAGTTAGCTGTTCATTGGAAGTTCAATAAAGCTACCATTCAGCATAATCCTTGACTGCCTCCACGTTTTGAGGTAGATATCATAAGCAGGCTTGTGAAAAAATCTCTTTAAATCCAATAGAAATATTACTTTTGACTTCGAGATGGTTTTGCCAACAAATACTATTTACTTGTTAACTCTGCGTGCAGATCACATTGGAACATTTCTGCTGTGAAATGTCTGCAGCACAACTCTTACTTATTCACTTGTACATCACATTACATTAGTTGTTACAGTGAGCAGGAAGGGCCACTTCACGTTACAATTTAAGCAAACTTTCGTTCTCGCCTGTGGCAACATGGTTACTATACAGTACTTTACCATATGGTAAGTGAACACAAAGTTCATGGTTTTGTGCCTAGTTCTGAACTTGTAATGTTTGCAATACTATCAATTAATGTATTTGGTTTCCAGGATTTAATATAAGATCTGAGAAACTGGGACTCCAGTTCCCCTTTAAGGATTGATCCAATGCACAAATGGCAGGCATTCAGGCATTTAAGGAATGCTTGCAGTGTTTGGAAATGCAAAGGCAGACATTGTATTTATGTTAAAGAACTGCAGCTGCAACCAGGGATATTTCATGGGTTTGAAAGAACACTGGTTTTCAAAATATTTTTGAAATTGCTAAATTCATTGTTGCATGTTTCTGACTCATTTCTGTGTCTGGTACTTTTGATCAATCTATATGGGGTCTATGGCATTCTCTTTTGGTTAACAGTTTGGTTTACCTAGTATCAAATTTACAGTATGTTTCAAATGTTCATATAATGTGTTGTATAATTGTAATGTAACTAAATAATCTTATTATTCTCATAAATTATGTGGTTGTAAATATAATATATATCCTAACATTCTGTTTGCATTTTCACTGCTGTCCAGAAAATAATATTAAATAATATGTCAACATGCCTTTTTTCATAAGAAGCTTTTTAAACTCAGTGTTTCTCAACATTATATGAATGCTTTGTTTTAAATCTGTTACTAACTGTATGGAACACCCTATACTTGCATATATTGAATGCCACCTCTCATGTGCATGGTCAGTTGTGAATGCTTTCTATCTAAAAATCGAATAAATTGACACAAGTAAAGAACGGCAATGGTCCTAATACAGATCCATGAGGTACACTATTAGCTGCATCACCCCAGTTTCAGCGTTTCAGCCTTATCTGTACTCTTTGGTTTCTGTCATAATATACATATATAAGCAATAACATTGAAAAAAATTAAAATGAGCATTAAATACAAAACCTTTGTATTTAATTGAATTTCAATTTATATTAATTGAAATACCGTAGAATTTCAATCCTTATTAAAATCAAGAAAAACATAAAAAACATAAAAGTACTCTACTTATTCTTAATGTTCAAAATGGTATTGTCACTTCTATGAAACATTGGAAAAACTTGTGTTTTTTTCTCCTCTCAACCCATGTGACTGCTTGTGAGTCACAAAGTTTAATTTATGTTGTTATTCCAATCCAGTATTGTTCCTGTAATTGATTTTTCCAAGTCACCTGAGCCCCTTTAGGGTTACAATTTGACCACCTCCTGGGCATACCACGGCCTGGTGTGTTCCCAAAAAGTCAAGTCTTTAATGTTTCCAGGGAGAACTGGCTATCAGTCCACACAGAGCTACAGTATAACATGGTTTTTCCAGTCTCTGTTTCTGATCATCTGCCAGCTTTGCTGTCAACAGCCAAGGATCTGCCATCACTACTCTCCCCCTCAAGGAATAACCCACTAACCTATCTCTAAATGTAAAGAAAAAAAAAGGCTGTACGACATTGCTAATCAGCATTCAAATGAAGAAAGCTCATCCTTGGCATGGCATCAAATAGAAACTCCAGAATGAGGATATGGTCAATCTGCCAGCTGGAACAGGGGAAGAATGAGTTACCCCTGACTGCAAGCCTCAGACAGAATGAGGAGCCAGTTTCAACAATGCACTATAAATTATTGTGTGCTAAATGAATCTAATGGTGGTAGTCATAACAGGCCTGGGAAAACATTTCCTTTGTACCTAAACTCTTGTTTTTAGCAAGCCTGGACCTGGCATCCTAAGTAATTATGCCCTGATGCACCATTTGCACTGACTTTGTTCTCATATGAAGAAAAATAGGTACATATATCATAAGGTGAAGGAGCATATTGGTTTTTGTTTTTCTGATTCATACCAACCCCATGCAGTAATTCACTCATTTTCTAATGAATACAGCTGGGTAAATACATATAGGTTTCTGAGCATAACTGTACTTGCAAGCTTTTAATTTCCCTTTCAGTTGTTTTTATGAGAATTGTTCTTTAATTACTCCATTAAATTTAAATGAGCACCTTGATTAAACGATTTCTCAGGAAAGAAGTAGTTTTCTAGATAGATTAATTACCGTTTACAGTACGGTATTATATAAAGGTAGTTTTTATGTTGTCTAATATCTATTTCTATAACATAGAAATAGCCTGTTTTTTAATGATTTTTATAATAATTTGATCTAGCATCTGGACCAGACCTAATGGAGTAGTACAGTATGTATGTTTCACTTCTGTTTCTATTTTACACCCTACTACATTTGCTTTTGTTCTTATGTTTAGAATTGAATTTGGCACACTGACACTTTGAATAGTTATGAAAACATGTGCCAACTAATTAGTGTTACATAAATTACAATCAATACTGGGGGATACAGTATTACTGATAGCCTCCTCATTTTACTTCTTCTTTTTGGTTGCCTAATACATTTTTGTTTTATTATTTTTGTGCCTGCATTACAGTACACTGATCTCTTTGTCTTTTACATTTCTTAGAAAACTTAGAAAAAGGTTTTTTTTAAATAAAAAATAATTCCAGATGCTATAGAAGCAAATAGTTGACAAATAAGGTGTAAACAAACAGATCATGCAGCAAAACCAGATAACACATGTGTCAGGGTAGTACTGTACATAGCCCTTATGAACTAATACTCAAGGGTGCCTACTATGCACTACCAGGATATGACCATGAGCAGCAATACTGTTTACAACACTAACACAAAACAGAGACTGTGCTTTGGCGGGTTTGCAACCATTTCATGTTGGCACTGACAAAACCCCTTTTGAAACTTTTTTAGATGTCTGAATGGATTGGATGTTTTTTGATGTGGTTGGTTGAACATATTTTCCAGAATTTCATCTAATCACTCTCCAACAGTCTTATCCCATGAAAGAAAGCATACTGCATCACAAGATGAGCAGCCACATCTGCGCCAGAAAAAACACTTTGACTGCTATAAAATTTCACCATGCACAGAATATACACCTAAAAAAATGACTGCATAATGTGTCATGACACAGCACTCTGAAACTGTGGCATCAGCATTACAGCAGGGAGAGATTAATTCAAAATGGAACAAAAAGCAAATTGAGATGTCAATGTGCCAATTTTTTTCCTAGGACAAATGGAAGAAGATAAGGGTTTAGATTTGTATTGATTAACCTGCTGGATTAGGGATTCAATTAAATCATAACTGGAGATAAGGCTTGACCCGTTTACTTTTGTTGTTGATTTTCATAGGTGGGAGTCAGCTTACCAATAGAAGGAGGAGAGCAATGTCAGTATTGTCACAAGCACAAGCCACATGGAGGGGTGTCCAGAAATCCTCATCCTGCTGGTTGACGTTCATTCCCTTCTCAATTAGAATCTCTGCGGCAAAGGCATTGTCATAGCGGGCGCACTAGGGGAAGAAAGGTCTGCTTTAGCCAGTGACAGAAAGGTAGCAGTGTCAGCAATAACAAACAATAAGGCACTGATAACATGCACACACAATTTGCATTTCCATACGTGATACACAGCTATAATAACATTCCCACATAAGACATTTTAATATTCTGATTAAAGATTTTTTTTCCAGTTTTTTATTGCACAGTGTGCGCAGTAAATATGGCAAGTAAACAGCTTGCAAGTGATACATCACTTTCAATACACTTTATGAGAATTCATTTTGCATCTGCAGCTGGGAAAAGTCTTAATCCTTCTGCTGGCTGTTTTTAATTGCAATTACTTCTGAGACACAATATTTTCAAATTGAAAGTCATTCACAGAAGAACACGCACCGTATTAAAACGTGTAGGTCATTATACTTCACATTAATCATGAAAATTATTAATTACCATTAACTTGACTTCAAGAAAAAAATGGCATGGGGAAACATAATATTGTTATGCTGAAAATACTGTACTTATGAGACTTCTTCAACTATTATTACAGTAGCACAAATATCGATGCGAGCTGTTTTCTAAAAATGATTCCCATTCCCGAATGGTAAAGATTGAATCTTTCCACTTCAATATGTGATCAATGTCATGCAGTGGTTCACTGTATTGTCAGATTTTAAATCAATCGAATACTTGTTGGAAAAGCTGAACAAAAGCATTTAGTACTAATGATTGCCAAATAATGCTGCTTATGTGATAGTTGCTTCACAGACTGAACACAGAAAAAGTCTATATATACTAAATCTCTGCCATTCTGTGCTACACTGTTGCTCACTGTCTGTTTCTCTTCCAGCAATGGGTGATGGTGGTGGGAGTACATGAGTGCTCCCTGGTGATTTTTAAAGTGGTTAAATGTTTTATAAAGAATGTAAACGAAGATCGGTTGCAGATGTTGTTTTTATATTGCTTTTTCAAAAACATTTTCTTTCCTTATTTTTATCACAGAACTTATTAACATGTTAAGCAAAAATGAAACCATTTGTAAAGACTTAATGTGAGGATGAACACCAACAAAGGCATTTGTTGGTGTTCATCCTTTTAAAACTCACCCATTGGGTCAAATATACAAATCTCAAGTTAAGTTTTAATAATAATAATAACAATAATAATAATTAGCCAACTGTGAGGCTTCTTGAATGTACCCAATGGAAAGTGTCAATGAGTTATTTTTGAAATTGCAGTTTGGTAAGTAGGGTAATATCTTTATTTAATCAATTTCTGCCTAATGTACAACATTAGGTTTCAAAGGCTATTTTGAAGTCCCGAGAATTACTTTTGAGATAAAACAGAATGTGGTAGCAATGCCATTAAAAATGCTCTGTTTACAACAAAGAATGGAATTAAGCAGCTACACATTGAAAGTGGAAAAAATCATACAGTATACAGTCAGGCTTTCCTTTGTTAAGGAGATAACTAAAAACTGATAAAAAATACTCTGTGGCAGATGTTTTATTTAAACATGCTGCCCCTTTACAGATACATACTGCAGAAAGCTTAACTTCAAATTTCAAATTAAAATACCAAGGAAAAACCTATAAACCCTTACCAGATGAAGCAGGGATCCTCCAGAAGTAATGACTGTATTGGGGTCAGCGTCATCCTTCAGAAGCCTTAGGACTGAAAGATCAAAGACGACTTAGTGCAGAAACAGCCTTCATGCTTCTTATTTCCTAGAGTCTTAATTGTTGCATTAAAAAGCTTTAATGGGAAGCCTCTAAGGAACTAAACATAGTTACAAAGTGTGACAGCTTTTGTAAGCATAATTATTATAACGTACAGTATGGGAGTCTTGATAATTGTTAATAATTACAATTTTAGTTTGCATTTCTGCGCTACAAACTGCAGCAAAAATATAAAAATAGAATGTCCCACATGTTTTTAGGGAACGCCAAACAAGAGTATTATTCAACTGATTAGCCTTGATGACTGAAACTGATATCATGTAAAAGTTTTTCAAGATTATATTTTCTAAGAACTTTAATAAACCCTTTTGCTGCTGATTAAATGTTATTTTATTTATTTTAATTATTTCCAGAAATGAAGCAACAATAAAATATTAAGAAGCTCATTGTTAAACAACATAATAGCCAACAACAAAATACAAATATTATATTCCTACAAGAAGAATATAGTGATGTGAAGGTTGATTTTAGTGGAAGAATAAGAAATCTTGACAATCAATTGGGAGGGTGCTTTAATGGCAGTTAGAAAATCAATCATATGGTATTTATTAATACAATAACAGAATATACATAGTAAACCAGCAAGAGTAATGGAATATACAGTATGTGAATTGTTCTGCCTTGATACAAATGACTGATCTTTCACTTGGGGATTACGACATTAACAACATCAAGGTTAATATGTCTATAACATTAGTTATGGTCTACCTCATCAGTTAAATCTCTCATATAAGATATTAATACTCATGTTCTTGAAGAGAGGCTTAGCTTCTGTCACAAATTATGACAGTTCTCAAATGTGTTTGGACAGTTTAATTATCAAGATTCATAAATTCATTATCCATGTTTCAGTCATCTGAGAACGCTGGCCAATGCATTCTGTGAGTAGGTTTGAAAATCCGCGCTGAGAGACAAGCTGGCCTGGGTTGTCACAGCTGTGTCCAATCTCCTTCAGCCGGCTCTGTGCCAAGGACATCCCATGATGCTGCAGGAAGAGCTTTGCTTGACTTTGTGCTGAAGATGAATCTCAGGGAAGGAATTTCTGGCTTGTGTTGCAGTGAGTATGGCTTTCCAACAGTTCCTGCATAAGGTCTGACTTTAGTCCAGCTGAGTTAGATGGGTGGGAAGAAATTAACTTCATCTTGAGTTGTTGCGCTATTGCTTAATATGCTTTTATATTCAGGCTGTCGACAGAAAGGTCCAACTGTATTAATTCTGTTGATCAGGCACAATCATAGATGGCTGTTGTGCCGATGATCTTGGGCAGAATACTCTCTCTTAGTCCTGAGTCAGTCATAAACTAAAGCTCAGTTTCCTGGGTTATTTTCTGGAAGAGGCAACATGAATATTATCAGGAACCTTTGACATTTAATCTAAGTGTAATAATATCCCTTGCAACAACAAGGTATATATCTATTGGTCTTTTCCAACAATCAACATAGAGTGAAGAACACAGAGTTGAAAGAACTATTAGGGAATGGTGATTGTAATATTGTGTGCTGTGATATATTGTATGCTACACTAACCCCAATTTTAAAGTAAAGGAAATTGAGATATTAAAAGTAAGTTTAAATGTTATAAAGACAGAAGTCCCAGAATTATAAAGCATTTATTTTTAACTGTTTGCAAAGAGAGAGACAAGAATGGTGTTAGGAGTATCAAAAGACTTGAAGAAGATGGATTTCTTTTCCTGGCAAACTCTCATTTTGGAGGATGATCTCATTGATGACCACAAATATATTTAAGGAAAAATGGGCTGGATAATACAAGAAACAAAAAGGGGGAAAGGATCTGGACTTGATTGATCAACATAAAGAGTTTTGGACACTTTTGTTTTGATTGAGACATGCTTATACAAAATCCCTCAGAAAACATAATCCACCCCCAAGTGAATCCACTAACATGATATTTCTGCTCTGGAACTGGTCCAGAGAACAGTAACCAGATACATTACCAGACTTCATGTTCGACGCTAATAAGTTGAAAGAAATGACTGCTGTCTCTTTAAAAGACTAAACATTTCAAGAGGACCTGATTCTTGTATTTAAAATTTGTAAAAGCATTGACAATACAGTGGACCTATTAAGAATCATGAGAAACACAAACTAGAGGAAATTAGTTAAAAGTTTAGTGAAGAGCATTTTTAGCTTACAAAACTCACTTTTTATACACAGTTCTATGAAGTTGGGAACAGCCTATCCAGTCACTTGTTTAAGCTAATACTCTTCTTTCAGGCTTCTTTCAAGAGACTATTAAACAAGATTCTCTACTAGTTATTAACCACAATGAAGACATCATTTCATTTTAAGCCTTTAGCTATTTCTAATCTTTGAAAACAATTTCTTTAAGAAAGTCAAGAATATGAAATGCAAGCCAGGATGCAAGGTACTCAAAAAATATGTCTCAGTTGGTGAAAACCTTGCACACTATATCAGCATTTAAGACATTAAATTATAGTTCCACATCTTGAACAGATGTCGTCCAGATGCACATTTAATATCAGCAATGCTCTTTTAGATAAAAAATGAATTTTCAACATTGGATTCAAATAATTCTCACTATAAGAATCTATAATTCTGTCAGCAAAATACACAACTGGCCTATTTTGGCCATTTAAAACAATTATTTGAATTCAGTTCATTGCAGTAAAATAGGTTTTGAAAATAAATCTTAGTATCTCAGTACAAAACAATGCAGTGTTTATTTGGCATAACATCTATACTGGTACTGTATTCCTTAAAGCATGGGAATGGTGAATAGAAACAAGTTGCTAAATGGAGCCATTTATTCTTTTGTCTTTTTTATGTCACACGTAATCAAGTAAGACACCATTTTTTAATTTAAAAACGATGTTAATAGAGTTTTGGAAAGAATACGAAAAAATAAAAGACAATACTCAGTTTGTACTGAAATATTTTATATTATCATATAATGTCTTTCCTTGGCCTTCAGATCAATACATATTAGAAATACGAGGAATCTACATAACTAAGTACAATTTTATAACTAGGCAACTGTTTTATTATTGTTATATAACTTAATTGTATATGCTGGAACCTAGATGTAAGAACTTGCATATCTGTTGTTCTTCTCCAAACAAAGAGTCACCCTGAGTATAAATGTAATCAAGAACTGTGCATACCATGAAATGTCTAAAACATTGTCTCTGTCTTCTCTCAGGGATGTTATTCATCTTGAAAAGACTTAAGTGCTTGTGAATGAGTTGGGTGAGCTTTGTATGTACTTTACAGCATAGCAATTAATTTGAAGCCTGAAGGATTCCATGACATATGGAGAACTTAATACATATGTAAATTATTTAACCACTTCATGGGTGTTTGTGTGATCTGTGACTTTGCAATGCACAAAATGTACTACATCATTGCATCATAATATGGAAACTTTCATCCTGCTGACAACAACTAAAAGTGACCTTAACTCTCAAGCCTATATGCAGTGGTTTTGATTATAGTGTCAGCAGTGAGTTTGGAGTGCTGTCAAAATATTTTGGTTTTTACTGCATATGAAGGAAGAAATACATTTTATTCAAATTTTATGAAACATTATTACTACAAATGATTGAAAAACAGCCTATGCAGAAAACGTTAAGAGATATATTCTTTAGTTTTAAGACATTCAGCATTTTTAGAAGTTCAAATATTGGGATCACTGAAAAGTTATGCATTTTTATATAAAATATATACTTTTGTAAGGAACATATTCAATATTTAGACCAGCCTTAAGTATTTCACTGGTTCCTCAAACACATCAAGGATAAAATTGTTTTTCTGCTCTGCAAGAGAGATAGAGGAAGAGGATAAGGATGGCACCATCTGTGCATCTCATCATAATGACTCTTTACAAAATGAAGGCAATATTGTGCCCATTGTGACACTGCTACTGCAGATAACAGGGGACTGAGCCAAATAGCCTGGCATTCAAGCTGTGTTTGCATTAGGCTTGCAATAGATCTATAGTCTTTCCTCACAGGCATCAATTGACTTCCTGTTATTTGCTGCCAAAATGATAAATGTTGCAGAACATGTGATTAGTTAAAATGCCGAAATCAGAGATAGATCTCGGAAGCTAATTTCAAATTACTACAGTTTGTTCTACCAACATGTCCCTGAAAAATGTATATGTATATAATATTTGGTTCAGAGGATGAGAGTTGAATTAATATCACTCTTTTTTAATGCCATATTTACTTCCCTGAACATGTTGATCTACTGAACAGCATTACTATATATATATCTTTACTTAACAAGACTGAATCGCTGTAATACTGGATTGATTGCAGAGAAAGCTCTTCAGACACTTATGCTTTAAAAAAGTGTGCCTCTTCATTCTTCTTTGAAGGCACAATATCTGAAACTATTATGCTTAAAAAGAAGTAACTAAAATGATTTGGGGCTTATTCCCACAAATAATTTTATATAACAACATTCATGGGACCTGTTTGATGCTGATCATGGTTCTGGTTATTATCTCCATCCAGATGTTGCTGTAAACTCTGCAGTACAAGGGGCTGCTTGATTTGCATATAATGGTACATTGGTCTCTAAATGATTGTAAAGTCAATTTATTTTGTTTAATGCACAGGCAAAAGTCCCTAATAGATTCTGTTCACCAATGTACCAAAACTGTGACTAACTAAATCATGATTGATGGAAGTTAATTCCAAAAATGTTTGCAGAACATAATTTCTGGCTTATGGATAGTATTAAATGTATATAGTGATTCCATATATGCATATGATATGCATATTACTGTCTAATTGTATTACAGACTTAGGGTTGAGACTGGTAGCTTCTGTTGATCACAGAATTGTTGCTTTTGTCTAAAATTACTTGCTTTGTTATAGACTTCCAGTAGCTCGGTTCATGAATTATGTCATTGTATTTAAAATTATTTTGGACCTTGTAAAATTTATAA